GCTTTTGCTCTTAAGTATGAGTTAATCTTCTTATCCCACGTGATCACATGGATTTCGAAAATGACTGGAGAAGGTCTGTCCGCTCTCCGAACAATGACAAAAATCATCGTTCTGCCGGGTGTTCCAGAATGCGGCGAAGAACTTGTGCAATATGTTGTGCCTATGACGTCATCCGCCATCTTAACCGCTATGAATGTCGCAATTTGAAAACAAGTCAGTGGAAATTTTCTTTTAAAAAATGATACTGGCGCAGTATATATCTGCGTGTGGCGTGAGATCGCAAACCATCACGCGATCACGCGAGATATACGATGCCCAATATTCTCGTCGTTGAAAACCTTGACACGACAATGGGAATAAGAATGACTACAGCCATAGCGCAAAGCCAAAAGTGTGACCATGAAGAAGGCAATCCATGATATGCTAAGCACCTTTCCTGTCCCATGATGAGCCATAGCACATGACCAGCAATTGGAGTTTGAAACAACGTGCCCGTTTGCTGGCGAAACCGTGAGAAAACCTCTCCCAAACTTTCGATTTGCTTTTCAGGCCTAGCTTTTCTACTGAGCTTGGTACATCTTTTGGAAGTTGAAGCGTTTCTTGCTTCAGCAGAGCAACTACATTTCACAACAGAATCTGCTCATGTTTTTGATATTGAATCGTTTGCATTCACATTCACTCGAGGCCTCACTCGTCCCAGCACCAATTCCACCATTGATATCCTACAAGGAAAGTCAATCGATCGCAATCAAGTTCTTGGATGCGATCTCTTTTGGTGCCATTGGCATTGCCCTTCTTGTCATCGCTGTGGCTATCCTTCGTGTCATCAGGGCCATCGATCGCGAGCTCATCGTCTCTATGGGAGTTTTTTTTATTGTCTCGGAGTCTCCCTTGTCCATGGCTGATTTGAGAAAGAAAATGACACCATCGGCCATATTCAGTTCTGAACAAGTGTTGGTAATACAGGCCGCCTTTATTGCATTAAAGCTGAAAGAGAAGAAGGCTGCTTCTGTGAAAGGATCTACTCGTCGTCCTGACATGTCTAATGGCGCTGCCATCGCTGAGCTTTGCGACCTATGCGCCAACACTTCCCCCCTGAAGGATACTACTACCAATGATCCTTCTAAAAATGAGAGCTTTTAAACGAGAGCTACTCATGTTCATCTACCTCTTCCGTTTGATCCTCCTGGAACATCAAGGCCAACTCGATGATCTTTGGAGTTGGCCTACAGGGTACACGTACTACTGCACTAAAATATTGCAGTAGGTGGTCGCGAAAGTTACAGAGAACATGTAACAAAAATACAAAAATACGAAAACAATGGGTGGAAACTGAGAGGAAGACCGTATGGATGCTTCTATGGCTGGGACGATTTGAAGATATGGAAGCTCGCGAAGATGAACTATAAAAATACAAAAAGAATAGCAATGGATGCAAAATAAAGCAGTAGCCAATCCTACCGGTATAGTACTATAGTAGTTGTATATAGCAGCCATTTCCATTTCATTCCCACGATGATGGATTTTAATCTGCAGTAGTAGAACTGAGGATGTCTGTTCTTCGCATTCCAAATGTGAGAATATAGGTAGGAGGACAGGTGGAAGGTGCTGTAGAAACAGCACTTGAATGACGGCTACTGGATTGGGTTGTCGCCACGATTGGGCCCAGTGATGGAACCCAAACTTGGGTCATGCGATGGCTGGCCTTATTACTCTTTGTTTCACAAAGGCTTTGCAAGTACCAGTACTCCATGTATCGGTATACCATAGATCTCTGAAAGATACTCAGAAGATGCACATCGAATTCTCAAGAACAATGGAACACTAAGGAACGTACAGTGCTAATTTCCAAACACACCGCCGCTTCCCATCCAAACATAAAATCCACCTGTCAGTTACAATAAAGCAAATAATACACAACGATTATAATGGGAGTCTCCAATTCCAAACCTCACTCAGTCGAAACCAAATGGTTCCCTGATTTTGAAGCCAGTCTTCCTTCATTGGAAGGCAAGACTGTTGCCATCACGGGAACGACTTCTGGAACCGGTTACATTGTGGCCCGCACCGCCGCTCGCAAGAATGCCGACACCATTCTGTTGTTGAATCGCCCTTCGGAACGTGCCACAAAGGCCGAAGCCGACTTGAAAGCGGAAGACACCAAATCCAAAATCATTTCGATTGATTGCGATTTGCAAGATTTGGAATCCGTCAAGAAGGCGGCGGCCAGCATCAAGAGCAAGGTGGATGCTGTCGATGTTCTTTGTAACAACGCGGGCGTCATGGCGTTGGAAGACAAGGCCACCAAGGATGGTTACGATGTTCAAATGCAGACCAATCACATCTCACATTTTTTGTTGACCAAGGAACTGTATCCATTGTTGCAAAAGGCCAAGGAACTCCGTGGTCAAGCGAGAGTGACCAATCACTCTTCGGAAGCCCGCCACGGAAAGAAGCTAGAAGAAAAGTATTTTGGAAAGAATGGAGGAGATCTAGGTGGAAATGGATCTTCCATGGTGTTTGGTGGAGCCCGTTGGGTCCGATACCAACAGACTAAGCTTGCCAATTCGGTCTTTACCAAGGCGCTGGCCGACAAGTTTGGTGATTCTGGCATTATTGCGGCATGTGCTCATCCCGGTCTTGCTGCTACCAATCTACAAGTCACCACGGCCTCGACTGGAGGTATGGGAAGTGGCATGTGGATCATGCGCATGTCCCAATCCCAAGAGGATGGAGCCATGCCCATTGTCGCCGCATGCTTTGATGCGGCCACCAAAAATGGATCCTTTTGGGGACCCAGTGGCATGGGACAATTCTCTGGACCGGCCAAGCAGATCAAATGGGACAAAAAGTCAGAGGATCCTGACTGTGTGAGTGTCTTGTGGAAGGCATCGGAAGAAGCGTGTGGTGCATTTGCAATTTAGAATTTTAATTTGCAGTATAGTAGAAGGGGAGTGTCCTTTCTCCTTTTAATTAATGTCAGTGTTCAAAGTTGGAAGAATCTTTATTAGATATATATATATATACATATATACTGTACCGGGTATGTGATAACATTCAGCCACAAAGTACAGGATTAGTACAGTAGTCTTTCGATATATCATCTATATTATGAATGATTTCGTATACTGGCAAACGACTTTTGGAACTTCCTCCTTTTATATATTTAAAAACAATGGATATCAGATTGAACTTGCTCAATCCAAAAGGCTCACCATCCACATCCAAGAAGTCTGATCACAAAAGTACCGGTAGTTACCGGTGCATACCTTCACGCTTGCTCCTGATTCATTTGGGAGAATGAATCAATGAAGGAATCAATCAATCAATCGCAAAGCTATCAAAAATGAAACTGCTGGACAACTGCTGTGATGTATGATGAAAGGCCTCGCAACAATACTATGGGGGGTGGCCTGATAAGGCGCGTTTAATTCATTGCACTGAAAGTCTCCAATGCTTCAAGTTTCACCAATATAGACTCAAGTCACTCACTCAACTCTGCCTGTCCATAAAAGGTATCTTTTGCACATCACATTTTCGTGTTGAAAGTAGGCTCAGCTGTGAACAGCACCATTCAGTTGATTGTCGAATGAATGAATCAATCCTCTCTTTCCATCTTATAGTAACAGTAATACGACAAACACCTTCAAGTCAAGACTTGCATCATGTGATTCCTACAAGTACTTCTTGGCTTGTGTAAAGTGGTAAAATACCAATAATCCCTCCCATCGCAATGACATCGCTCGTGGGACCTCGCAGTTGCAGTTGCAGTTGCATTTGATGTATATATTAGCTGTAGTGTCAAGCTGCATGGGACGTTCCTTTGTTGCTCTTGACGTCAGAATGAATCAATCGTCAATCATCAATCATCAATCGTCAATCATCAATCATCAATCAATCCTGCATTTTATTGCACACCAAGATTTACTATTTCTGTACTGTAGCCTACAGTAGGTATATTACCGGTATGATTTTTTTTTTTTCTTATATAAAAAAAGAACACCCATCAATCGTCGCCAGCCACCAGCAGTTTGAAGTTCCGATGAGTTGAAGCTTGCAGATTTTTGATGGATTTTATTTGATTTCATGCAGCTGTTCGTATCAAACGTCAGAACACACACGTCACTTTTTATTCCACCGTCGTCTTACTTTCGCTTCGAAATCCTCGGAAGATCCGTTGTCACACCGTGCGAATGTGTGTATGTGTGATTGCCTTCCCCTCGAAGAAATCTCAAATCAGCAGGCAGGGGGTTCTTCGTCACGCACGTGAAGATTTCTTCGCCTCTTCTCGTTTTGCATACGTTTACATATATCGCCACGATTGACATACTCAACGCACACAAAACTGCCGTGAACCACACAGAGGAAGTAAGAAAGATACTACAGTATAACTATCCGGTAGGAGGTATCTTCGAACATACGGACGAGCTCGCATCACACGAGCTCGGATTCAAAAGAATGGGCACGAGACATCGAGATATTTAGCTTACTTTTATGCAGAGAATTGACACATGCATGACACAAAGTGTTTGATGACGAGGTTCGGGAAGCCAGAAGTCACTTTTTGATTGGAATTCTTGCTTCAACCAAAGGACGAAAACCTTATCCCTACAAAAAATCATTGCAAAGACGGAAAGTGTATTAATACTACGGTACATGACAACACATAACAATAGTAAAGTCTATCCAAACTACAACAACAGTAAAATCATCAAGCAGAGACAATGATGGGGCCCAGTGATTATTCAAACCGTGACTGGAGGCAAACGAGGGATCAGGACTCTCAAGAAGAATCCTCATCAGCTGACGAATCCCAATCTTCACCAATATCGTTAGCAAGTGAAACAGAGCCATCGTTGCACGAGGACACTGGTAAACATGGAACGTAAGTCAAAACACAATAGTTGGGTGATGGAATTTGTATGCCTTGGCAGCAGGAGCTCACTCGGCCTTTCTTGTTTTGACTCAAATCATCATCCGATCCGTGCATATATGTCTTCTCATTTTTCTTCAGGCCCATTCATCATCCCCAATTCACCAACAACCGGCAGAATCTCGGTAACCAAACGACCAATAGCCTACTAGTAAAGCCTATTCCAGTGCATGCAACCTTGGGCTCCTCATTATCCGAACTAGAAACAGCGTAAGTGTGACCATCATATGCATTCCGATTCCGATCCCGTTCCGACAGCAACGACTGACTCACCATGAAACGCCAATTCTACTATTTTAGATCCTCAGAGAATAATGAAGAGGATGGATCCAGACACAAACGAGTTCTGTCTTCCGACCAACTGGATCTTCTTTCCTACCAGGCCACAGATGTTCCTCCTCCTCTTGCCGATGGTGATGACTCGGAAAACACATCACGACAAGAACCAACTCCCATCATGAAACGAATGCGTTTCATGTCCATTGATGAAATTCTCACTACAGCAAAGCAAGATGATACCCACTATGTCAGTCCATCCTTTGCACTAGAGAGCGTCGAGGAACTAGATCTTCAGTTGGGGGAAGAACTGAATTCACCCACAGCACAAACTGCACTTCTGGACACTATGGCTGACGATATTGTTCACGCCTTTTCCAATCCATCCAGTACGGTTGCAACTACGACTACTGTTACTGACTCTCCTCAACTTTCACCAGTGTGTGTCCCACTCTTGACACCCCCACAGAGTCCAACACCGCAGTCCATGACTAGTAGTACTAGTACTAGTATGCTGGTGGAATGGCCATCCAATCTAGTCATTGAAAGTGCTCTGATGAGTGTGGCGAATGAGATACGGCCACTATCTCCAGCTTCTTTGACGGGCGAAGATGATGATGAGGACGAAGATGGTAGTAAAATGATGATGGAGACAACAGCTACTGCTAGTGATACAATGCTAATGGACGGCGCATCTACTCTCACCAAGAGACTGAGCTTTATTACTGTGGGATCCAATTGAACGAACATGGATGGAGCACCATCATCAGAATCAACTTTGAAGAAGTGTGTACCGTACCAGGAACTGGTATTATGTAACTTTTATAGTGTATTATCTTATTACAGTATAATATATCGTAGCTGCAAGACAATATATTGTAGTATTGTGAATGGACATGTGTGCCTACCGGTACCAGGTACTACGATACCGGTATGATTCTGCCGCTTCGACAACGTCGACCCAATCAACGGTTCGCATGAGTTTTTGTGCGACTTTTCGCGGTCATTCATATGCATGGAAGAATATAAGTGACCAAGATTATAATGCCGATTCTCAGATTTGGATATCCTCAACACTACGGTACTACTATTTTCAATTTCTTATAGTTGTTATTCCACAGATTCAAGAAGCACTGAATACCACCGTCTTTCACTGCCTTAATAACGTCCACAATTTCATATTACTTTTCAGCTCCAAGCTTTATCATTTTGAGAAAATATGCCGTCTCTCAAAGAACGAATGGCCGCTTTCCAAGATGCATCGTCTCCTGACAAATTTCAAGAAGAAAAACGTGCGACCACGCCGAAAGCAATGCCAAGAGCTCGATCTCGTTCACCTCCACCTAACTTCTTGACGAATTCCGGTGGAAAGAAGAAGCCTGTCCGAGGAAAGGTGGTCGAAAACCATGTATCACCTGTTCGGCAACGTCCCAAAGATTGGGATTATCTTTTCGATCTTGCGAATCGCTTTGACCAATTCAAGGCGGAAGAAGCGGATCAAAAGAAAAAGAAGGCTGCAGGTGAGTTGCCGCCTACGCCTGAAAAGGAAGCTAATGAGGAAGAGGGCGGTGGCACTGATATCCGCGCCGCTTTGGAAGGAGTCATGGCCGGGAGCTACACTGCCAGCGCGGACTGGTTGAATCAAGATTGGATAACCGAACATCTAGTGGAGAGCACCGGTGAAAACTACAAATCCTTGACATTCAACTTCAATGACCCCAGTTTGTTCAAAAAGTTCACCAAGGTACAAGATAAGGATCGAAAAGTCATCATTGCCAAGTTCATTTCCAACTTGCTGAGTCATCCAAAGTCTGGAGAGATTACCCGTCTAGATTTGCATGGGGCCCTCTTACCCGACGAATTTATGGAAGAACTGTCGGTTGAGATTTTAAAAAAGCCAACCAGTACTTTGAAGAATCTTCAAGTCCTGAACTTGGAATCCAATTTGTTACAAGGAAAGGGAATTGAAGCGTTGGCCAAAATGATTCGGCATGACCTTTCCTTGCGATACCTTCAAGTTCTCCAGTTGGAGAATCAAGGAAAAACAATGACCAGTGATGCTGAATCTGCCTTGGCTACTGCTATTGGACACAGCAATAGTTTGGTTGTCTGCAGTTTGCGAGTTCGTGGCGCTATGGAAAAGAAGGAAATTGACGACATTACTGCCTACAACATGGATCATCTCCGCCAGGCGAGAAGGTAAGAAACCATTATGATGGGAAATGTTGTTATGAATATGATTGGTATGATGACCGTCGAAACTCACACGATGTTGCTTCAATGCCCTGACAGAGAGCATGCTGCCAAGTCCGGAACACTCAAAACCCGCAAACGCAATGAGATGGAACAGTACTTTGATAAGATTGCGGCGAACGACGCAAGCATTACTGCCGTTGATATTGTCGGTGACCAAAAATTCTTGACGCTCAAGGCTGCGGAAAAGGTCAAGTCAGGAGCAGCTTTTGCAACCAATACGAATATCAAGACTTTGAAGATGCAAAAGCTTGGTTTGGACGATGATTTTGCAAAGCAACTTGGAGAATCATTGGCAAAGAATTCAACCCTAGAAAAGGTCGTGATTGATAGTAATGCGATCACTGGAGCTGGTATCAAAGCCTTGTTTGCTGGTTTGGGTCAGAATTCCACCATTGTTGAGTTTCAGGTCCGCCATCAATCCAAAACCATGGCATCGACCGACGAGCAGCCACTTCCGGAGTTATTGGAACCAAACAAGTCGATCATCAAGCTTGGTGTCGATTGCAGAGACCAGTTGATCAAGATGAAACTTGATAAGGTGACAAACAACAATCGGGAACACCAGCGCAAGCTTCGTGCTGCCGCTAAGAAGGCTGCTGCAGGCTAGGCATATACACGCACGGCCATTGTCTCAAGGTGCACTACTAAATGATAAAGTTCTAATGAAATAAATAAATATAAAGCTAGAAATGCATGTTGGGCCAGTATAAATGAGTCACTAGAGTACCTCTACCACTTGTGCAGCGTGTCAGCTGCTCGCTATCGTCCCCAAAATGATTCGTGAGTGTTTGACCACGTCCCCAGCGTATGGTATTGTATGTATGTATATTTCTACTTTTGTATCAATCGTCCCCGGTGGTAGGTCTCCCAAAAGTGACTCATTTGTTTGTAATCCTCGTCCCCTCTGGCGTCCCAAAAAAAAAGAGAGAGGTCAGTAAATCAATCGCGTCTGCCTTATATTATATGTCTCTCGTCCCCAGCGACCGTCCCCGTGGCAGCGCAATACAAGATACTGACCTCGTGCTCTATGGCATCAAAAGTATTTTGCAATGCTGTCGTGTGCTCCATTTGCTTCTCGTCCCCAGTGCGCATCATGTATGCCGATGCTGTGTGGTGGTAATAGTTCCATCCATCTATAGCCGCTGCTTCAAAGACAGGCATGCTGTGCGTTTGTAAATCATCTCGTTGCAATATGTTGTGATAAAATGTATTGTGAATGTGCCATGATTTTGGTATTCTTTTTCTTCTGCTTCATCATCGTCTTTCATCGTCCCCAAATGCCTGATATTCACATCCCATTTACATGCGAAACAGGCGTTCCAAGTTTTCTCGTTCTTGATCAAAGTTGAACACTTTGCCACCTGCAGCCTCTTCTTCAGAGGTCCCTCTCAAGGATGCGCCCCTATCACCTTGCATAAATGCTGCAGCCTCTTGTTCAATCGTGCCTTTGGCGCTGGAGCGTAGACTCTCGGCACCCAAAAAGACTCGTTGCAATTCTCTGTTTTCTGATTCACTCTTTGCTTCTCCTGTAAAGAAGAATGGCCTTGGTGCATCTTCCTGTTGCTGGTGCTGTTCCCGATTGCTTTCGTTGTCATCCACATCTAGAACCTGTTGGTACAAGGACGAGGCCGAGGATCTCAAGGCCGAAATAACGGGTGAGGATGAAAATGCATCAATCTTGAGTACGTACGACAAAAGGCACATCATTGCAAGGGCTGAAACTTTAATGAATTGGTTTGGGAATGTCATGTTTGCTGGTGTATGTATAATTGTTTGGATGCTAATGCGGGTCGTGGGCGATATCAGGATGGTTCCGAATGAATCAAAGTTTGTGTGGAGTGTTCTCGTTTGGCTCGAAAGTCGAAATGGCGATGGAAATGATGTTTGGCGATCGAATTTGTGCCTGACGTCAATCAATATTAAATAGATCATGTCGCATCGACACACGACACATGAGACTTCACGTACTAAGGTACAACTATAGTTTTCATCTTATCTCATGGTACATACCGGTACTAACAAGCACATTATATTTACCAAAAGACACCGGCACGGTCAGTCTGACCTCCACCTCCCACATCTGGTGAACCAAATCGGAGTGGAAGGACAGACCCATCAAATAATTCACGAATTTTCACAAGTTCAAATACTGCTTGTATTCAAATACTGCTTGTATTTTATACTGTATGATACGATAGTTACTATTTGTACTCAAAAGTCGGTAGCGGAATCGAAGCTTTTAAAAAACACCTGAAGACAAAGTAAAAGAGCTGTTGGCTCTACTAGATACGATTTGAGTGTACATATACTATATTTAATATGATTTTGGAGCATTTTTCTAAAATGGTAAGTTTGAAGCACAACGAAGGCTTCCACACTGCAAGATGTCCAGAGAACGTGTGACTCCTGTCTCTATTGGAAGCTTCTAGAGCCGTCCATATCGAAGAAACGAATGTTTGCAGTGCATTCTTTCACAAACAATAGTCGGAAGTTTATTGTGGCGACCCACTCGTATGTGGACGCAAACGCAACATGGGGCATCTCTTACACTCCCAGAGGAACCATTACTTGCGCTAATCTCTTTTCCCATTTGATATAAGGGAACAGATGGTTGCTTTGAGTAGTCTCTCTCTGAGCTCTATAAGTCGAATTTGGACACAGCAGATGGACTGCAAACCACACGCACCCATTGGGATTTTCAAAACACCGACTGTCTAAGCCCAGAAATAGTGCATTTTGGGATTTCATTTCACCGTTGATGGTTGAGCCACGGCTACCCTTTCATTGGACCGTCCGCGCCCACGGTTCGGCGAAAACCATGGTCTGATTCCAGTTTTGTAACTGACAATGACCCAAATATTGCGCTGACGGGCGCAATAATGGGAACAAGGGTAGCTTACTTCTTTGCAGTACCTTTTCACCTGTATGATGTATTATCACGTTTGGAATGCGAACTAAAATCAGTTCTGCTGCTCATCAAAATCCATCATCGTGGGCATTGCATACACAGTTCATCGACAGTAGTACTGAAATGACTAGACTACTACCCTAATAGGATTGGCTGATGTTTTATTTTGCATCTTTTGCTACTATTTTTAAATTTTTTTGTTCATCTTCGAACTTCAATAAGTTTGTTTCGATGACTTTTTGGGTGTCATCATAGATAGTCTTTCGAGTTTCCGTCTCGCTTGCATCCATATATCTTCACATCGCCCAACCACTGAAGCATCCATACGATCTTCCTCTCATTTCCACACTTATTTTTTATCTCTTTAACTTTCGCGACCGCCTACTGCAATGCTTTGGTGCAGTAGTATCGGATGCCATCTTTTTTTGGTGCCATTGTCATTTCCCTTCTCGTCGCTGCTGTGACCATCATTTATGCCATCAGTGTGGCTCTTGAGAAATTGGTGGTAACTGCCATTGTCATTTATCGCAAACTTGAGGCTTTCTTCTCTAAGCCAGCTTATCCTGGAAATGGAGGCTGCCTTTATTGCTTTTCTTGCTGAGGATGAAAAGAATACGCTGAAAGAGAAGAAGGCTGCTCCTATGGCTGCTGCTTCTGTGAAAGGATCTACTATTCGTCCTGACATGTGTAGTAGTAATGACCCTGCCATCGCGGAGCTTTGCGACCTATTCGCCAACATTTTTTCCCTGAAGGATACTACTACTACTGATGCTTCTAAAATGAGGGCTTTTGAAAGAGGGCTACTCGTGTTCATCTACCTCTTCCATTCGACCCTCCTGCAACATCAAGGCCAACTCGATGATCTTCCCCCATTGCAAACAATTGAAGGGATGGCAATGGTGGAGCTGGTGCTGGGATGAATGGGTCCTTGGTGGTGTAGGATTCCATTCCTTCAAAAACATCCCTGACAATGAAGTTAGGGTCAAAGCTACCAGTAGGCCAAGCTGGAGCTGCAGCAAACAGGTAAGAGGCAAATGGTTCCAGCTTCTCGTTGACTTGTTGGTACTCGAAAGAGATCATATCGAACCTGGCATATGTACCACCAGCATGGGCACTTTTCAAGAATTCTGCGAAACCGACTGTTTTCAAATTGCTATGTTTATAGCGGTTAAGATGGCGGATGACCTCATAGGTACAACATCCGTTAAGCATGCACGAGTTCTTCGCCATGCACCACGTCAAGCATTCTGAATATTTTCGCGTTTGATTTTCAAATACAGATGTTCATAGCGGTTAAGATGGCGGATATGTTGGTCAAATTTCAAATTTCGGTTGACGATGAAATTAAATGCAACTTTGGAAACTTTTCGATCGAATCAATCACCGTACCTCTAAAACATCCTCTAATCTCTAAAGAAACTTAGCTTGCGGCCGTATGGGAGGTTTTCGTTTCAATCACTCGTTGACAAGGTTTGTTGTCACCCAAAAATGAACAGCCTCACTTTAGGTAATCATTTTTAAAAGGAAAGGAAGTTGCAGGGGTGGGTACAGCAGCTGCTGAACGAATCTAGCTTGACCGTCCTTAGCATCCAATCTTGGGTTTCTTGTTCCAGGCAGACTTCTTGTCTCTCTTGGAAAGTCTTTCCAGTAATCAAAACATAAGAGAGCTAAGACTAAAACGATGTGAAGAATTGGAGTTTTCCGAAATCATGCGAGTAGTGGTGTTGGAGAAGGATACCCTCCTGTCATTCCATCTTGATAAACGCATTCGAATTGATGACAGGGACACCCAGAGCAGGAGGTGCAGTCTACCATTGACATTGAAACTAATCAACACGAAATATCGAGAATATCCAAATGTAATTGGTATGGTCGATGCCTATTGGAACGAACGGATTTTGCACCGTCCCTTTGGCCACAGGTATTACAAGTTGCTGGAAAGTCAGACCCACACATGCTCTTTCAGCTCCTGCCGTTTTTTGGAGAGAGATCGTGGTTTCGACTTTTGGAGCCAAACGACGAGAACAGGCGTGAAACGAGAAAGATAATTTTTTCGAAAATGCAGGGGAAGTCGAGACAGATGGATGGTATGATTTGAATTTCTCGAAATTCGTTCTGTAAGTACCTTTTTGCACCGATGTGCTGTTTGAGTCGGAGCGATCCTTACCCTTACATCCTCCAATCAAACAATAAGTGCTTGATCTTTATATTGGACTAGGTGCCAAAATATGTTTGAGTACAGGGTATATTGCTAATAATTTCCACAATTCAGCATGCCAAAGTCCCTGTGAATGAAGTTCACCATATTTTTGTCTTCTTTGCATGTACCATGACAGTTGCATTGAAGTTGAACCAGCAATCACACGAATAGATTAACCATCTCTAGTTCAATTGAAAGTCCGTGGTGAAGTCGAGGAACCAACTTTTCGACTCTTTATTGCACTTTACTATCAGTCTTTAGTACGACCGCAGCCGAATGGATATTTTCGATGGAAATAAACCCCTATTCGCTCCCTTCAAAGGAAGTAACAGTCGATCCCCCGTCTCGTCTTCAATCCGAATCACCTCGTGATGATTGATTTCAGCCGTTAGGAATGCGAGAGATCGGATAATCCAAGAATAGCGATATTTGATGCCTCGAGTGGGAACCACCAACCAATTGGTACCTTCATCGAGGTTTCCACTTTCCTCCATGTTTTTCGCTGTCTTCCTGCCCAAATTGCATTTGACGTTCCAAGTAAATCTCTTGAGCTGCCTGTTGTATCCAAGGATCCAGAGATGCGCGATCTTGTTGCTGAGACGGCAGCAACGATGTTCGTCCACCAAATGGTATCCTCGTGTCGCCACGATTCATGTGGTGGGATATCATTTGATGTTCTCTTTGTAGGTTTCTTAATAATTGCAGGCGGTGGAGAACCTCTGATCTCTCATTCTCTAGCCGATCTAGCTTCGATTGAAGGTACATACCCTTTTCCTGCAACGAAGAAAAGCCAGACAACCGCTTCGTCAGATTATCCCAGTACTCATCGTGCAGTGGCACGGGAGGCGAAGAAGAGTTCTCGAAAGAAACTATCTCCGGTTCGGGTACACGTATTACGCGCGGCATGAGGTAAAAGTTGGGCGGTGAATCTGGCGTTGCGTGTCTTCGCTCGGTGAGCTCTGTCTTTGATGGTCGTTTCATCTTCAAGGATAGACCCGGAGAGTCGCGAAGAAAGAGCTCATGGTAGAAGCTGTTGAAGTCGGGACCAGACAGGATTCTGTGGAATCCCCATCCATAGACTTGGCGATAGAAAGATGAATACTTGTTATGTTGGAAGAACTTCGGCAGCACTTCCGATTCAAATCTATCTTGTTGCTGAACTCGCCAAGCTCGTCCATGAGGAAGCCAACAAATGATGTCATTGAATTCAGGAGTGCTCAGAATTTGATGAAGTTTGAAAGGGAAATTGTGGGCTGTCGAGCTTGATGATCCCGATTCGTTTGATAGAGAGGCTGGACCTGGACTTCTGTCGCCGGATGGGTCGGTTACGTTTAGCTGGCTTTGGCTTTTCATGGGAAAGGATTTCTAATGCTGCAGCAGCTAGTATGAAGGATGAGAATGAATAGGAGTGTAAAGGTGTGAAAGAAATGAAGCAGCTAGCTAAGGTAGTAGCAATGATGTTATCCAGATTCGAAATCAGTACCGGTGTTTGAAGCTACTCTGTCATGATGTTCGGGACTGTTATGTGGATGGAGGCCCTCATCGCACTCATTATTATCGAATTCGGTGTTTCCGTCACCGCTAGTCTTGGATGTGAAGAGGACAAAAATCTATTGCGGAGAAATTTACATTGAAGTTGTAAAATGTCAAATGTTCTTTGTCGGGATTGGGATTTGCAAACGCCACCATTAGGATTATCACACCTATTGACGAACCTTCTTTTTATTCTACAATTTCGACTCCAAAGCATTTTGAATTTGGAGGAGAACATGTGTTGCTTTTTTAAATTTTTTAAAAAAATAAAAAAGTATACGATTCTCTAGAGGAACGAGCAACTTCAAGCTCAGCCAGGAAGTAGCTATCAAAATATTTTGAACTTTGGTAGCTGCCGTATAGTAATGCGAGGGTTTCTTTGCGAAGCCTTTTCAAGTTGAGGGAACAGATTAAAACTAGTCACCTGCTCTCACTCTGCCAATGCTATCGTATCTCTGGATCTGGGGCTATTCGCGTTCGGATGCGATAACGGCTAACTACAGAGTAGCTATAGCAGTGACCAGTGTCTCGCCTGAACTATGTGTTCGACTTCTCCTTGTTGGTTTTGCCGTCGGAAGAGATGCTCGTCATGGTAAACACTTGTGAACATGTAATGCTGAGTTTGTAAGTTGGATACCCTAGCATCACCAAAGCTTGTGCACGTGTTGTCTTGCATGCCTTTGAAAGGGGTTTCACAGTTGATCCTCCGTCTCCTTTTCACTCGGCATCTAATGCCGCCCAAATCACCTCATGATGACTCAACTTTACCCTAGAGGAACGGGACGGTTCACATATAATCCAAGAATGGCTATCTTTGATACCTCGAGTGGGCAGGCACCACCAATCAACTGGTACCTTCATCGACATTTCCACTTTTCTCCAGACCTTTCGCTCTCTTCATGCCCAAATTGCATTTGCCGTTCCAAGTAAATTTCTTGAGCTGCCCGCTGTATCCAAGGATCCAGAGAATCGCGAACTTGTTGCTGAGACCGTAACATTCCGCGTTGCAGAGGTAGTTGACGGCCACTTGTATCAAACGGTATCCTCATGTCGCCACGATTCATGGGGTGGGGTACCAATTGGTGTTCTCTTTGTAGGTTTCTTAATAATTGCAGGCGGTGGAGAACCCCTAATCTCTCGGCCTCTAGCTGATCTAGCTTCGTTTGAAGATACAACCCCTTTTCCTGCAACGAAGAAAAGCCAGACAACCGCTTCATCAGATTATCCCAGTACTCATCCATTATCATGGCGGGCAAAGAAGTGTTGTCTACCGACGAGTCAGTTTCAGACTCTGATATCGGTGGCATCAGGTAAAAGTTGGGCGGTGAGTCTGGCGTTGCGTGTCTTCGTTCGGTGAGCTCTTTCTTTGATGGTCGTTTCATCTTCAAGGACAGATCCGGAGAGTCGCGGAGAAAAAGTTCATGGTAGAAGCTGTTGAAGTCGGGACCAGAAAGGATTCTGTGGAATCCCCATCCATAGACTTGGCGATAGAAAGATGAATACTTGTTATGTTGAAAGAACATCGGTAGTACTTCAGATTCGAGTCTATCTTGTTGCTGGATTCGCCAAGCTCGTCCATGAGGAAGCCAACAAATGATGTCATTGAATTCAGGAGTGCTCAGAATTTGATGAAGTTTGAAAGGGAAATTGTGGGCTGTTGAGCTTGACGATTCAGGTTTATCTTGTAGAGAGGCTGGACCTGGACTTTTGTTGCCGGATGGGTCGGTTACGTTTAGCTGGTTTTGGCTTTCCATTGGAAAGGATTTTTGATGCTGCAGTAATATGTGAAGGGCGAGAAAGAATATGAGTATTGCAAAAAATATGTGAGCCAGAAATCCTTGTGAAGCCGAAGTTGCTAAGCTAGGTAGTAGTAATGACGCTCTCTATGTTCCACGTCAGTACCAGTTGTTGGAATAACGCTGTCACAATGTTCGGCCCTGTTATTTGGGTGATAGATTTCATCGCGCTTGATATTCGAATTCGTTTTTTCCGTCACTGCTCGTCGTGCGGACGTGAAGGATTTCATGCACGTTTGTTGTCTGCTGTACCAGGTATATATGTTAAAAACCGTTTTTGTTCTATGGAAACAAGATTTTAATTTTCGGAGCCTTTTTTATACGAGTTCGAATGCACATACTGAAGCATTTCATGGAGAACACACAGCAAAAGGGAATGAAGTCCACATGATATATATTTTATATAATAAAAACTTGAAGCTCAACCGCGGGAACTACTGTCATATTTCCATGATTTTTATCGTTTTGATGATAGATAGGCCGGCCATAGGCAAGATTATTTTCGGAGCCTTTAGAGAGGGGTTCGCATGCGCATGCTGAAGCATTTCATGGAGATCACACGGCAACAGGGAATGAAGTCCACGGGAACTACAGTATTATTTGGACCTTTGTTGCCGCCGTGCTTCTTTTCGGAGACATGACGTCCGCATGTGTACGGCATCTACTCTTGTTGTGCCAAAACCACTGTGGATCTAGTACTTTGGCCGTCACTGCCAAAGTTGATCATCGACAGACTAGTCCTAGTGCCAAGTGTGTCCACTGGCCCGTGTGTTCGACTTTCTTGTTGCTGCTTTTATGATAGATGCTTGTTATGATAAACGTTTCGCTCATTAGAAACATGGAGGCGAAATGCTGGGTTTGCTTTACATCTATTAGTCGTCGTGGAAGTGGACAGCCTCACATCACCAAAGCTTGTCCATGTCTTGTTTTTGTGCCAGTATCACCTGAAGTAAATACTCCTCTTGTGACCGTTTCAGGGATCTTTGTCTACGTTCCTCAGAAGTCATAGTACCGTTCTCCTGAAAATCCATTATATTGTCATGACTTTTGCAATTCGATGATATTGAAGACGAGATTTCCACAATTACACTCGTGTCGTCACTGGTATCGATGACAGCGTCAGAATGGTTGCACAGAATTCGTCCCAGGCGCTCCAAGAAAGATTCGTGATCTGCACTCTTGGCAGCAGTGCCCTGTGGCGGCATTGCAGGTTGCAGCTGAACCAGCCGGTGCCATGGGTCGTTCTGAGATGATGAGTTCGGCGAAATGAAAATATCCGTGTGGTTGGTTTGTTCAGTGCTGTTGTCTTTGCCGCATCCATCATTCCCCGAACTGTTTTCATCATCCCAGTCGCTATCACTGTCCTCTATTTCAAAGCGTTCTTTGATGGGCATTGACGACGATGAGGATTCGGAGGAATATCGAATCGGCATTGTCTCGGACTGATTGGTGGGTTTCATGAAAGGAACCTTCTGTGGTGACGTCGCCTCCTCATTAGCACAATTCTCTTCTTGAATGGTTCGTAGCATAGTCATGGCTTTCGCAGTAGAATTTTTGTTGATGAATGTGGTGGATGATGGATGTGGTGGACGATGGATGTGATATACGAAGATGATTACGTCTTTATTGAGAGACAGTAGCTTGTGATGTGAACCAAAAAATGCGGTTTCGGTCGGTGCGTACACGTGTAGTCCTACCGTATGGCGAGTGGTCAATTTTTTGCGAGCCTGCCGGCAATGGCTGACATATCTTTGTCGTGCATCAAATTGAAAATGAAGGTGGACGGTGGACGGTGGACGAAATGCACAATCTTTTCGTCGGGTAAAAATTCCGAAAATGATAGTGATGCACAGCACCTCCTAGGACGATCCAGGCTCGCTTGGTAGAGTAGGTTGGACCTACTGTAGACTCTTGTTGCCGGATGACTCGGCCATGCTCGGCTTTCGGTTGGCATGATTTCTTATTCTGCAGGAGTATGAAGTGATGCAAAGAGCTTTATTAGGCCGTCCACTTGTCCCGATTTCAACTTTACGGTGGACGAAATGTTTGCTTATATAAATATATATCAGAAAGAACGTAACATTCATGTTGAAGCTGGTTCGCCGCATGTTCTTTTTACCCCACGACAAAGGTGACGGGCTCGACTTGAAGAATCCAATTTACTCGTAAGCAGATAATAAATTGCTCCGAATTCTTCTGAATGAATCAATCATTTGATCATTTAGCGTTGAAGCTGCCGCACAGTGGTGCGACCATTCTTCTTTCAGATATACTATTAAAATACAGCAGTACGGTCGATTCTTGTAATGCCTCGCCATCTTATTCGCCACATGTTTTCTTTCTTCGGAGCTTGTGCAACTGGTGCCGTCACTTGACGTAGACCAGTATTCATAAAATCTTCTCAACAGAGTGATAGTACGAATCGTCCCAAACGTCTAGAAAAGGTGGGGTTTGATTCCCAAAAGACCATATGATGGTTCGACCTGGAAGTGTAGGAACTATGGGTACCTTCATCCCTGATTGACATATTTATCAATATATGACTTTTCTTTCTACCCCTCCCCGCTGTCCTCTTTTTGCCGAAATTGCATTTGCCGTTCCAAATATATCGCTTGCGCTGCCTGCTGTATCCAAGGATCCGTCGGTGCATGAAGCTGTTGCTGAGATCGAGAATCTCCGCGTTGGAGTGGCAATTGGTGGCCACTAGTACCAAATGGCAATATTGTTGTATCAACCTGGTGAATCCATGGAGTATTCAGTTGAGGTTCTGTTGGTTGGTCGTTTCTCGACACTTCCAGACGGCGAAGAACTTGTGACCGCTCCGCGTCTAGCCGATTCAGCTCACGCTGCAGATACTCACCCTTTTCCTCCAACGACGGCATGCTAGACAAGTGATTCGCCAGGTTATCCCAATACTCATCACCCATTGGAACAGCGGGGGGCGAAGAAGAGTCCTCCAAAGAATCTGTCTCCGATTTTGATACGGGCGGCATGAGGTAAAAGTTGGGCGGTGATTCTGATGAGGCTTGTTTTCTCTCAGCGCGCTCAGTCTTCGATGGTCGTTTCATCTTCAAGGATAGATCCGGACAGTCGCGAAGAAAGAGCTCATGGTAGAAGCCGTTGAAGTCGGGGCCGGAATGTATTCGGCGAAATCCCCATCCGTAGACTTGCCGATAGAAAGAGGAATACTTGTTATGTTGGAAGAACTTTGGCAGCACTTCAGACTCAAGTCTGTCTTGTTGTTGGACCCGCCAAGCTCGTCCATGAGGAAGCCAACAGATGATGTCATTGAATTCTGGAGTGCTTAATATTTGATGAAGTTTGATAGGAAAATTAATGGTTGTTGAGCTTGAAGACTCAGCTTTATCTGATAGGAAGGCTGGCACTGGACTTCTGTTGCCGGAAGAGTCGGTTGAGCGTATCTCGGTTTGGCTTTCCATGATTCATTGGTCAGAAATACAATCTTGTGGAGGAGGATGAGAATCAAGATTTTCATGTCTAATAATCGGCATGATGAGGAAACTCCGATATATGGTCCAACTTCAACACGTCAGGCAGGATGGCGTGGAAAGGTAACGAATCTGGTCCTGTTCCCGCAGCAAGACACGTTCCGGAACAACTGCGTGCGCTATGTCGAACATGAACAGCCTTTTTTATCGTTAAAGTGTTTTACGAGTATGCGTTACCGGTAATCGTATTTTAAAACTTTTTGGTTCTTTAGAACGGCGTCTTCTGCGACATTGAATACAGATACTACATACTCGTAGTACGAGTAGTCCGAAATCGTTCCGATCAAATCTAAAAAGTCCTAAAAAATACCTTTACATAGCTGGAAGGAGTGAGTCACTCTTCGGGAATTTGGGCCTTTCTTCGGAATTTGAGGCTCTTCATCCGTGTCCTCTGTATACTCGTACCTCTCATAGCTGTTCCGGTAGGTATCATTCTTGAAAAATTATTTTGGCGAAAACACAGTGAGAACATATTCGCCACCTCTTCCTCTGAGCCAGTACTAGTGCGGTACTGTAGTAGCGTTAGGCTGTGATTCCGTTCTATCGAGAATAGCAGTAGGTTTCCTCTGTGCCACACCATGTTCGACAAGAGCTCTCCTTGTTGCGACCGGTTGTACGAGATGCTCAAGCGCTTCGCTTATTGAAAAAGACAGGGCGAGGTACTATCAAGCAAGAAGAACAAAGGCAAGAAAAAGGCACTGAATTTTTTTAAAATAAGCAAAGGCAGGTACACAATATGGCTGTGATCGCTACATTTCCACTAGGACTAAGACAAAATCGAATTTAAAGTTTGTTTCAGCAATAGGCTGGTCTCGTTGGAGAAAGTATAGATATCACGAGCAGGACGTTGCATCAACGAGATAATGGTACTGACCGTGGGTTCAGTGGAATCATGATTACACTGGGCGCTTAGTGTCGCGGAAGGTTATTGATGCGTTGCCATTTCCTTGGCGTGGGCGGATCATCTGGTCACAAAGGTGGGGCGCAGTTAAAACGCGATATACGGGAAGGTAGCTATCGGGCAAGCTACACGACAGTTCTTCGGAGAAGTGAGGTAGTTGAGGCTGTGTTTAAAATAGGAAAGCTTTTCTAAATTCTTACTAACTTGACCATCAAGACGTAAAGGTTATTCTTAAATGCGACTTGTCCAATGTTTTGACAGCTTTAGATCGCAAAGGTGACATTGGAAAGCGTTTAGGTGCTAGTTACGAGGAAAACGAAACATAATTTGGACCACATACCTATACGCCTTTCTGCGGTGAACGATCAGTGATTGAGAGAGAACTTTGAGCGAGAATACGCCGCGTATTTTTGTGGTTCCCAACATAATATATTTTAAAAATAATAATATATAAAATATATTTTATAATATATAAAAGTTGTGGGTCACGGGAGAAATGAAATCCACCATATTTTTATACATCACTTCGAGCCAATTCCGGCCATTTTACAGGCAATCATCTCTACCAGACCCGAAAGTCCTTGATGGATGGCGGTTGCTAATTTCTCAGCTTCATCTATCTTTGTTACGATACGAGTAAGAGATGGAATCGCGTGGTGTAATATTCTATAATCAAAGTCACCTTCCGTCTAGTACTCCCTTCAATTCTTTGCTTTTCAACCGGAAGATATGACTTGCTGTTGGATCATGCCATGTTGCGAGCATCGTGTCCCGCATAATCGCCGCCTGCCATGTTGCGAGCGTCGTGTCCCGCATCATCGCCGGGATCGCCTCCTTCAAATCATTTACATCTTTCTTTACTTCCATTATATCTTCTCCGTTTCGCCGAACGCCCTGCCCCAGGCTGTTGAAATGCTCAATGACGCCGGGAAGCACAGCGTCAACGGTGGCAGTTCGCACCTCAACAGCATGCGACAATTCCAGTCGCATTTTCGCTGTGTATTCCTGAGAAAAGGGGTCGTGTTAGAAGACAAGGAAAAGCAACAAGCAACAATCAAACAGTACAGTACAGTGGAACTTACCAGGAATAACTGATTGCGGAAGAGCTCCGGAAAGGCCTGGAAAAACATGTGGCCATCGCACCTTTCCGGATGCAGGACCTTCATTGCCGCCGCGTCCTGCAGGATGATTGTTCTGAGCCGCAAGAGCATTTCTAAGAAACCCCTGGCGGTTCCTAAATAGTATCCACCCATGCGACTGCCCTTGCTCTTGCAAGCCGCCTCAACTTTTTCCAATGCACGATCCGCGAAGGGGAAAATTTTCTTCTCAAGTTCTTCAGGTGGAACAACCAACGCTCGCGGATTGTAGTACCGCCCCTCGCTGGTTGTAAACCCGGCAGCGGCTCTCATTGCCTTGAGTGGCAGATGGGTGCTGTAGCACTGGTCGCGGATGTTGACCGCCCAGTTGCCCAACATTCGAATAAATTCTTCGTCAATCTCTAGGTACTGAAGATTCATGTTTCCAAACAGCCTTCCAAGGTGCTGTAAATGTGTGGATGGAATGCCCAGCTTACCTAGAATCTCCCTCATTGAATCGCTGAAGTTCTTTGGCTTGATGGGCCTTTTCCGCCCTTCCTCGGCAGTTTCGGCTCCATTGTGTGTTCCGAATGATACCAACAGCTTGATATCATACCACGCACTGTTGTCGGTGAAGTCTGGGCAACGATCTTCCTCGAACTCGCCAGAAAGTTTGAAGCGAGACAACAAGTAAAATCCGAGAGCTCCGATCGGGCATAATAGTACGTTCTTGTGACGCATAGACCGTCCGTAGAACACCTTGCCCCTATTTGTTTTGCCATCACACATTTGCATGATTAAGCAATCCCAATCTTGAGACTCTTTAGCTTCGTTCCGACCCTTAATTAGAAAGCAATCAGATAATTCCGCAGAATGTAGACTTTCCATACGAAGAACACCACTCAAGGTAAATAAAAACATTAAGCGATGTCTTTGTCATAAATAAACATTAGAGCCATATATAAAATCTCAGACAATTAAGGAACAAACAATTTTCGTACCTAATTGAACCAAATGCGTTTCGAAGAGTGGATTTGGTGAAACCCTCCCTCCACATCTCCTCCTCGATGAGCTTGTCTTTCCCTTTCCCCTTCAACAGGGTATGGTCAGGGTTCATCTTCTCCTTGTGGTGCACTTTTTTCATTACCCCCTTGCGCCTTTTCACTAGCAGTTCTAAATCCTTGCACCAGGGAGTCCATATTTCCTGGTTCCAATCCAATCCAGTGGTTTTGTTTCTCAAGTTTTTTTCGTGGAGTTTTTTTATCGCACATTTGTACTGATTGAAACAGTCGTACCCTGGCGACGAACCCTCGCCCTCTGGTAAGTCACCGAAACATAAATGCGGTGGCACATGGTTTGTGTCCGTGTCCGGTGATCCTCGCGTTGCGCTCCAAATTCGGTTGTATTCCTCAAGATTGAAGTAACCACTGGTGCCTTTTTTCTTTCCACGTGGTCTCACTTGGCGATGAACAACATAATAAAAAAATTTATACACTTTTTCAAAGGTGACATGACATGGGACGGGATCGTCACCGTAGACTACCCTGCAAAACTCCAAAAATTCAGCCTCTTTGGGCTCGTAGGCTGCTTTCGTATTGGGTTTTGCAATGGCATCGAGCACGTTTCCAACCCATTGCTGATGTTGTTGCAGTTGCGACTGGGCTTCAACATGCCTCGCACCATCCGCCAGCGCCTGGCCTGGCGAGCGATTATACGGCTGTTGCTGAACAATTTCAGTACGACCCACACCAAATTGAGGAACAACCATAGTAACTACGGCAACTACAATTTTATGATTTCCAATCGCCGCATTGGTGCACCGTATCATAGGCCATTTGCCTTCCCCCAAAATTGGCTCAAACTTGACGATACCAGCACAGTCGCCGTCTTTGAGCAGTTTGATGCAGGACGGGAGTATCAGAACGGTCTGCCAGTCCTACGGAATGGACGAAATGACGTCAGTGAGCAATTAATAACGGGAGTTATTAATGGCTCGATGCGTCATCGAGCTGTCAGGGCCATATGTAAAATAACAGTTATTTTCAGCTCGAATTTAGGGCCCCGGCACTAGCGGACTGCAGAAACCTTTAGTCCCAGGTGAAAATAATAATATATAATATATAATATATAAAAGTTGTGGGTCACGGGAGAAATGAAATCCACCATATTTTTATACATCACTTCGAGCCAATTCCGGCCATTTTACAGGCAATCATCTCTACCAGACCCGAAAGTCCTTGATGGATGGCGGTTGCTAATTTCTCAGCTTCATCTATCTTTGTTACGATACGAGTAAGAGATGGAATCGCGTAGTGTAATATTCTATAATCAAAGTCACCTTCCGTCTAGTACTCCCTTCAATTCTTTGCTTTTCAACCGGAAGATATGACTTGCTGTTGGATCATGTGGCTCTCTCAGCATGTAGAAACCAGGAGCCTTAGTGGTAAATATCTATAACCTCGGATTTCCGTCTGATTCAGAATCGATCTTCTAATAGCACTAGTGGCCACCGTGTAATCCAGGCCATCACGTGATTCGTGCTTCTGTCGTAAGTAAAGATGAACATCCTTGAAAAATGGCAAAACTGTGAAGCAGTGTCAACAAAAAAGAAAATCATGATAAAAACCGCTCAAAATTTATCAAAAACTGGAGATGTTCACTTTTCCCCGTACTCATCCCTGTTGTCCTCTTTTTGCCGAAAGTGCCATTGCCTTTCCTGAAGTATAGCTCGCGCCGCCTGTTGGATCCAAGGATTCAGAGATTCGTGAAGCTGTTGCTGAGTCTGTAACACTGCTCGTTGCAGTGGTACTTGGTTGCCACTTGTACCAAATGGCAATAATGCCGTGTCATCCCGGTGCATCTGTGAAGGGTTCAGTTTGTATTGTCTTGCTTGGTTTCTCGATAACTGCAGGCGTTGGAGCACTCCTGTCCTCTCGACCTCTAGCTGATCTAGCTTCGTTTGAAGATACAAACCCTTTTCCTGCAACGAAGAAAAGCCAGACAACCGCCTCATCAGATTATCCCAGTACTCATCCATTATCATGGCGGGCAAAGAAGTGTTGTCCACCGACGAGTCAGTTTCAGACTCTGATATCGGTGGCATCAGGTAAAAGTTGGGCGGTGAGTCTGGCGTTGCGTGTCTTCGTTCGGTGAGCTCTTTCTTTGATGGTCGTTTCATCTTCAAGGACAGATCCGGAGAGTCGCGGAGAAAAAGTTCATGGTAGAAGCTGTTGAAGTCGGGACCAGAAAGGATTCTGTGGAATCCCCATCCATAGACTTGGCGATAGAAAGATGAATACTTGTTATGTTGAAAGAACATCGGTAGTACTTCAGATTCGAGTCTATCTTGTTGCTGGATTCGCCAAGCTCGTCCATGAGGAAGCCAACAAATGATGTCATTGAATTCAGGAGTGCTCAGAATTTGATGAAGTTTGAAAGGGAAATTGTGGGCTGTTGAGCTTGACGATTCAGGTTTATCTTGTAGAGAGGCTGGACCTGGACTCCCGTTGCCCGATGAATCATTCTGCATTCTGGTCAATAGTGATTTGTGAGGATAGTGAGGATGAAGAGATGCATCGCGGATACTAGGAATGACTCTTTCCATGTTCGACATCGGTACCGGAAACAGAATGTAACATCAATCTGAAATCGTGGTAGTCTGGTTATTATTTGCAGAAATAGCTTTTTATCACACCATGGGAAAGTTTACCCGAAGAAGAATCGCCTTCCGTTCTCTGCATTAAGTCTATATATAGAGCTGACGTTTTATTTTCGGAATGCTATAGGTTTTCAAAGCCGCTTTTAACTTCCGTGATGTAGACGACAAAATAGTAGTGAACATTGTGTCCTTGTGGCCGTAATTCCAAATAGAGAAGTGGTTTTATGTTCCCGCATGGGTCTACTTTGAACTTGTACGACTGCAACGCGTATGAAGCCCGGGTAAATGGTTTCCCCGCAAGAACAAAGGAACTTCGTGATTTTGAGCTACTGTATGATTGAGAAGAAAAGAGAATTGGGTTCGTATGATACCGGGGTGTTAGTAGGGGTTGTCAATGAACCCAACCCAACTATTTTTGGTTTATTTTTATTGACCAATAGAAGGGCAGTATTTTTCCCGATATTTGACCACCCCCTTTGAAGCCACGAACCAACTATTTTTTGGGAAAAGCCGGTAGTTTAGGGAGACGTACGATATCTCGTAGATATATTTGCCTACTTATTTTTCGTCGAAAAATAGCATGACCCAACTATTCTTTGTTTAAGTTTGGGCTACGTTTACTCAAAATTGAACTGTTCCACACGATAAATCTAAAACATTGGACAAGAATTGTAAATCTTTTATCCCGCGAATCAATTATCTCCGGGTCATTGAAGACCCAACTATAATATAGTTGGGTCTCTTTTCGGCACAACTATTTTTTTTTTTCTGACCCAAACCAACTATTTTTTTTTTTGGCTCGACCAATCACAGCTGCCCAAAAAAAAGAAAAAGAGTTGGGTTGGGTTCATTGACAACCCCTAGTGCACGGATGGGTTAGTGACATTGGAACTTGTGCATTAGCAGCTATTGTAGATACTCGTACTGTTTTCTGTGGGAGATCTTTGCATCCTGCACATATTCGCTCATACAAAATACAGTATGATATTGGATTTTTAGTTTCCTCTCTTCAATGTTCATGGGAATGTTTGCACCGCAGAGTGCAAGAAAGTCAAGAAAGAAAAATATCAAGAAAAAATATACTATTTTGCGCCATACACGAAATCAAAATGCATCTATTGTGTTCTTCCCCTTCCCAAGAAAATTATTTGCCACGCTATTTGCTACAAGGACCGCCTTATCGCCCATCAGCAGCACGACATGTCAGTAGCTGAGAGCGCAGAGAAAGTTTCATCAATTCATCTGCTCGCATCTGAAGAGCAAAAGATGAAGCGTCGTATGATAATGGTGCTGGTCTGCGATCATTCCTATTTAGGAGCTCCAATGATTGAAGTATCGACGTTCGCTGTTCCTCTAATGCCTCCAGTTCAGAGCTCAATAGAGTACCCTTTTCCTCCGAAGTGCACAACAATAGCCGACTGACAAGATTGCTCATATAGTTACGAGGTGGTGCCTCGGAAGAAGGAGGAAGTGCAGCAGCAGCAGCCTTTTCGATATTTTTCTCATCTTTACTAGGCTGCTGTACAGCAGGTGGGAGGCAAAAGTTAGGAGTAGAGTCAAAGTCCGCATTTTTTCGATCTGCAAGCTCCTGAATCGTTGGTCTTCTCATTCTTCGGCAAGATTCTGGTGAATCACGCACGAACGACTCATGGTAGTAGCTGCTAAAGTCAGGTCCAGATTGGATACGACGAAAGCCCCAGCCATTAACTTGACGGATAAAGGAGGCATACCGCCCATGTCGGAAGAAGACTGGAAGCACTTCCTTTTCGAAGCGTGATTGCTGCAAGACTCTCCATGAGCGGCCATGAGGCTGCCAACAGATGATATCATTGAATTCGGGTGTATTGAGAATTCGATAAAGCTTGGCAGGAAACTTGAGTGGGGCTTTTGGCATGACAATGTCTGTTGTTTGGGTCTTCATTGATGGAGCGCTGCACATTATATATAGGGGGTCTGGTATATTTTAAAAGAGAAATTGTGCAAAACAAAGACAGCCGCAGTTGTTTGACCAAGATTATACGATACCTGCCGTTGTTTTGTGAGAAAACGAGAAGAATTTCAGCAACAATCCGGGAACGGCTTCTTCGGTCTATCTGAATTGGCGTTTTGATATAAAACAAACACCCAAACTTTAAGTTCGCTCATTTAACACTGCTTTTTTTCTCACAAGATCTCGCACAATATATATCGAACTTATAGAAAACGGCTAATATAATACGCCACGTTTAGTCGCCACGTTTTGGAAAAAGCACCACGCATATATGAAATGTTTTTTAATCACATCGGACACGTACGTATCAAGTACCATACGATATATATTTATATATCTTGCACAATCGAATGCTTCACTATCACAGAAAACGGCCAATTAGCCACGTTGGGTACATCGAAATTGGAAAAAGAAACACCGGTACAGCAAACGGCATTCCCCAGGAAACGAACCTCAAACATAAGAAGGATTTGGTAATACGTCATATATTACACTTCAACCTCAGACCCACTGAAAAAAACAGAAGAACGGACAAAGAAGGATCGTGGAAGGGTCGTCTTCGACGATCTTTTTCTTCGAACCACCCGAATTGCTGAACGTCTACCGCATCATGACAAAAGTTTAAAAAGGTGACGGAATTGAAGCCAGCCAAATCGGGTACCTGGCATGTAAAGCGTATGATTTCCTAGTAGCCCAACTCGTCGGAATTTGCGTCATCACGAATGAGACCTATTTTATTGTAATACGACTCTCCCCGGATCCCAGCGGGGAGACCATATCTTACCTTGGTCCATTTGGCCGATAACTCTACCGTATGAATCACAATGAACAAAAGAAGGCCCTTTCCTTTCGTCGTCTGGCCGTCTGCTCTCTATCTTTCCGTCCTTACGCCCTCCGATCAGGCATTTTTGTTCCATACCTCTCAACGTGTAATATTACACCAGTATTAATACCGGTATCATCACAGAGTATTGCATCGCAAATACACAGCAATTAAACGCAGACAGGTACTGTAGCTCATCATCTGCAGGTTTCAACATAGCATTTCATTACAGCAATAACAGCAGCAAGATAACAGACCCAACTATGGTAGATCTAAACAGCCTCAAGGACGAGATTTCGTCCATTGGCAATAAAATCAAGGAATTGAAGAACATGGCGGTCAAAGAGTTGACCGTCACGGATGAGATTGGCAAGAATGTTCAGGATTTGCTCGCCAAGAAGCAATTGTACGCCGAACACAACAATGGGATTGGCATTGACGGAAAGCCATTTGCCAAGAATATGACCAAGGCCGAAAAGAAGAAGCAAGCACAGGCGCAGAAACAACAGCAGCCTAATCAGCAGCAGCAAAATCAGGAACAAAGTCAGGTATGTAACTGTAATACATTGTGCGTTATTATATGTATTCAAGTTATCTCACTCCATCGCTCCCCCCACTCCTTTCTTTTGCTTCCTTCATTAGGCACCCAAGGCTGAGAATGCCTCCAAAAAGGCTGCCAAGAAGGCCGAGAAAGCGGCAAAGAAGGCTGCCTACAAGGCCGGTGGCGGCGCTCCTGCAGCTGGTAGTGGTGGCGGCGGTGGCGCTCCTCCTCCGCAACAGCAGCAGCAAGGAAAGAAACAGCAACCACCACCCCAATTGGCCCAAAAGAAGGCTGTTCCTCCACCCACCATGAAGCGTGGTGGTGGATTCCAAGTCAAGCCACTCCAGATGGTGATTAATCCTAATGCTCCCATTGAGGATCGACCGGTGGTTGCCTTGGCCATGGCTGTCTTGACCAATACCGACATTGATTTGGAATTGACTAGTGATCACCGAATTGCCCAAGCCACACTCGGTGGTGAAGCTGAAGCTGGTGACGAAACTCCTCAAATCGTTGGAGACTTGAGCATGGCCCGATACCTCGTCGCACGAAGTGACAAGAACGAATTTGCAAGCGTCTCCAATTCGCAACAAGCACTCCAAAATGCTTGGATCGATTACGCTTCGTCGCTCAAGCCTCTATCCAAAGAACAAGCTCTCAAGGGAATTGGAATGACCTTGGGACATGCTTTGTTTACCAAGACTTATTTGGTGGGAGAATCCTTGACCTTTGCCGATGTGGCGCTCTTTGGAGCCATGGCATGGCCTTCTCAATCGAGCGATTTGGCCGCTGTCACGGCTGCCTTGCAAGCGAACGATTACACAGCAGCCCTCCGTTGGACCACCATGATGGCCAGTCATCCGGCCATTCGAAAGGCGACCCAATTGGCCATGGGCGTAAATGGAACCACCGAAGTGGGTGGCGATTTGTTGGAACCACTCGTCTCTGGAATGAATCTATTGGAAGGTGCGGTTCCGGGCAATGTTGTCACTCGGTTCCCACCCGAACCTTCTGGTTATTTGCACATTGGACATGCCAAGGCGGTCTTGCTCAATGATTACTATGCTCGTCGTTACAAGGGACGGCTCATTGTGAGATTTGATGATACCAATCCCTCCAAAGAAAAGGAAGAGTATCAACAATCCATTGTGGAAGATTTGAAGTTGTTGGGAGTCGATCCCGATGTCGTGACTTACACTTCGGATTACTTCAAGGCCATTTTTGGATACGCCCTGAGTATGATTGAAAATGGCACTGCGTACATGGACGATACTCCTCAAGAGCAAATGAAGCTGGAACGAGCGGATCGAGTCGAGAGTAAACATCGCAACATGCCACCCGAAGAAGCCAAGGAAAAGTTTTTGATGATGAACTCGGGCAAAGAAGAAGGCGCAGCTTGGTGTCTTCGTGCCAAGATTGACATGAACTCGGACAATGGAACTTTGAGAGATCCTGTCTTGTTTCGACAAAACTTGGAGCCCCATCATCGCAGTGGAACTACTTACAAGGCCTATCCTACCTATGATTTGGCCTGCCCCATTGTGGATTCCTTGGAAGGCGTCACTCATGCCTTGCGTACGACCGAGTACAACGATCGGGACGAGCAGTACCAATGGATTCAAACGACTTTGGGTCTAAGACGGGTCCGCATCCATTCCTTTTCCCGTGTCAATTTCATGTACACGGTCTTGTCCAAGCGCAAATTGGCGTGGTTTGTCGAACAAGGTTTAGTCGAAGGCTGGGGCGATGCTCGATTCCCTACCGTTCGCGGTGTGGTGAGACGAGGTGTCAATTTGGATGCTCTGAAAACCTTTATCTATTCTCAAGGAGCTAGTAGACGTGTGGTCAATATGGATTGGTCCAAGTTCTGGGCCGAGAACAAGAAGGAAATTGACAAACAAGCCAAGCGATTCATGGCCATTGATGCCAATACCAACGTGCCACTTAAGGTTACCAACGGCCCAGCCATTGATTCCAACTCATACTTGTCCACAGCCAATCATCCCAAGGATCCATCGCTGGGATCTCGTGCTTTGCGCATTGGCCAAGATGTTATTTTGGAGACGGTCGATGTCGAGGGCATTCAAGAGGGCGAAGAGATTGTATTGTTGAGATGGGGAGTCGTCAAGATTACCAAGGTGACTCAAGCAAACGGAAATGTTGGCTCGTTGGAGGGAGAATTCATTCCCGATGGAGACTACAAGACAGCCAAGCGCAAGTTGTCGTGGATGATCCAAACTGGCAGCAACCCCATTGTCGAATTGACCGAGTTTGATCATTTAGTCACAAAGGACAAGTTGGAGGAAGAGGATAACTTTGCCGACTATGTCAATCCCACCACCCTTGCTACCACTCAAGTCATGGGAGATGCTGGACTCAAGACATTGCAAGAGCACGAGATTATTCAGCTGGAGCGTCGCGGATTCTTCCGTGTCGATCGCCCGTACCGTGATGGAAAGCCTTTGATTTTGTACATGATTCCCGATGGAAAGACCAAGTCCATGTCCGGAATGACTGGCAAGTTGGCTCACCACTAGATGATGATTTTGGACAGTCATGGAAAGTAGTCGGTAGTCTTTGATTTTAATTTTAAAATACAACCATGTCGCACAACTATTGCACTACGAGTATGATTATATGTCTCTAACGTAGTATTCATGTCTCATGTCGATCCTGCAGTAATATACTATATAGCGGTACATGATAGCACCGTCTGAAAGCCATCAGATGATGTGTTTGGGGACTATAACAGCTTCGATTTTGGGGCACCATTTATAGCGCCTTCTCATAATCATCGTTTGAGGCGTATCCACTACCACTATACAGTACCTACATACCATACTCCCGACCTGCACACACAACAATATCATCATCAGAATATCATCGCATCTAACATTATTCCTAGTCTCACACTCAAGAATCAAAACCATCGTGTGTTTGCGGCCGAAAGAAATTGATTGAAACATGGAAGAAACCATGGCAAGGTTGGAACATTTGGGCATCAACAATCATGATGTCAATGATGTCAATGATGTCAACGATGTCAACGATGTCAATGCGAAAGACGATCGTGACTATACAGCATTGCACAAGGCTTGTAGCAATGGTCAGTTGGAACTCGTCAAGTTACTGATCGCGAAAGGCGCTGACTTGCATGCCAAAGGGTATGATGGATCGACTCCATTGCATCACGGATGTCGGAATGGTCATTTGGAGGTGGTCAAGGTGCTTCTCGAAAAAGGCGCTGGCGGGGAAGATCATACTAATGATAATACCCAAAACAATACCACGACACCATTGCATACCGCGTGTGATGAGGGGCATTTGGAAATTGTCAAATGGCTGGTCGAGAAACAAGGAACTGCTACTGTCAATTCGAAGAATGAAATGGGAGAAACTCCATTGATTATGGCATCTTTGGAAGGCCATTGGGATATAGTAAAGTTCCTTCTGGAAAATGGTGCTAATGCCGTTAATGATACAGCCTCGTATGGAATGCCACCATTGTATTTGGCTTGTCGTGGAGGCAACGTGGAGATTGCCAAGTTGCTGCTTGAAAATGGTGCCAACGTCAATCACAAAGACAAAGGTGGTGGATTTGGTGGTGGAACACCCTTAGACTTCGCATGTCAACAGGGTCATTTGGCTGTAGCCCAGTTGCTGGTCGAGAAGGGTGCCGAAATAAATACTACAGATGATTGTGAATCGACACCATTGCACGCGGCATGCTCCGAGGGTCATTTAGAATTAGTCATGTTGCTTGTAACAAAAGGGGCTGACCTTCATGCCAAAAACGATACCGGAAGGACACCATTGCACCAGGCGTGTGAGAAAGCGGCATTGCATAGACGAAATTATAACGAGATCAAAGAAGATCATTTGGAGATGATCAAGCTGCTTGTCGACAATGGTGCTGACGTTCATGCCAAGGACGAGAATGGCAATGAACCTGCCGATCTGTTTAAATCCGACGACGGTTCAGACGAGGACTTGGGACCACAGATTCTACAAAGTCTGTTAAAGTCGTTGGAATGATGATGCAACCTATAATTTATTAACTTTTACAGCACGTCCACCATACACATTAGGCGCTCTGCTGACCTACGCATTTTATAATATCTAGTAGCCTGAGAATCTGCTCAACTCGGGACAAGAAAAGTTCACCGTTTCATTTGGCCTTGGGATTAGATATACCGGTATACCGGTATTAGATTTTATTGTTAGTAAATATAGTATCAGTAGCTTAGGGTTCAAATATTGGATTGATTCATTCGACTATTATCCGACACTTTTCAACGGTTCTTTTGGGTTGACTGGCGTCCCCAAAAGCACCGGCACAGCCAAAATGCGGTTTCAAACCGTTTTCGCAATGCGATTTTGAGAGGCAACACGTGCGCATGACGCTTCATTATTGGGATTGCCACCATTTTCAATTTGCACCTGTTCTCATTTCCAATAAGTTATTGTTGGAGAGCTGTTGTACGTGTCATCATAATCAATCCCTACTGTAGCTAGCAACAACAACAACAACAGCAGCAGCAGCAACAACAACAACAAGACGAAGAAGATGACTGACGAGAAAAACCCTAAACCCCTCACGGTGGACATTCGTGTCTTTATGTTGATTACCGTCTCGGCCATGGCGATTGCCTTTGGTGTTGGAGTTGCCATGGGTCCTACCGCTGCGGAATTGGCCATGGCTTCGGCTGCTTCTTCTGCTGCTTCTTCTGCTGCTGGCGGATCCAAGCTTCCAAAGGTGCATTCGGTCGATGTTCGAAGTGTGGAGGAAGCCAAAGCTCTCAAAGGAGACGCGGCGGAACTTCTTCACGAACCAGCTGGACAGGTGAGTTTTTGATTGTACATTGCATTGCATTGTATTGCATTGTATTGTACTCGATTTACTCAATCCAATCTTACACGCATCCCATTCAAAACGCTCTTCTTTAGCACTTGCTTGTCGACATTAAAGGCATCGAAGCTGCCTTTCTAGACAGCGAAGAACGTCTTGCTCATGCCATGGTGGAAACTGTCAAGGGAGCTGGTCTTACCATGTTGTCTTATCATTGCCACAAGCTCATTCCCATGGGAGTCTCTTGTGTCGGTGTCTTGCTGGAGTCTCATATTAGTTTCCACACCTGGCCCACGGAAGGAGTCATTACTCTCGATTTGTTCACCTGTGGTCCCAATCCTTTGATTCCTGTGGTGCCTTCCATCAAGGCCCTCTTTGGAGTGCCTCGGGAAAACGATGAGATTGTCACCCAATGGTCCCATGAACTCCGTGGATTCCGCAGTAAGAATAAGATTCCCAACAAGGACAATCACAACTATGCTCTGTTGGATCACGATTCCGATTTGAGTCAAATGATTTGGTCTCCCATGGATTGCGTCTACAAGGAACAGGTCTATAGTGGACTCACGGAATACCAACGCGTCGATGTCTGGGACGTGGTCAGTTTGGAAGATCAACCCAGTCAAAATGATGTCCTCAAGGCCAAACTAGAGCCTACCGATGCTCGTTGGACGACCACCGAATTGGTCCAACCCACTCGGTACCTATTCTTGGACGGCGTTCTACAATCGGACAATACGACTCACAAGGAATATCACGAAGCACTGGTTCATCCCGCCATGTTTGCCCACTCGTCTCCCAAGAATGTCGCCATTGTCGGGGGTGCCGAAGGTGCGACCCTTCGTGAAGTTTTGAAACACAAGACGGTCGAATCTGTCACCATGGTGGAAATCGATCAACAACTCATGGACCTGGCCAAGGAATACTTGCCACAAATGTCCGATTGTTCCAATCTCGAAGGCCGCTCCGACAATTGTTTTGATGACGAATTGCTCAATCTCCAAATCCAAGATGCCAAGGATTGGTTTTTGAATTCCCAGAACGAAAACAAGAATAATAATTTGGATGTCGTCATTATTGATGCCATTGAACCTGAAATGTCGGCGGCCATTTCCAAGGACTTGTACGACAAACCCAAATTGTGGAAGTCCATTTTGGATTCATTGACAGAAGAAGGTATCCTAGCCATTCAAATTGGCTATGCTCCTACCATTAGTGACCCCAAACCGGATGTGGGATACAATGCCCCACGCGAAATCTTGTTTCAAACTTTGGAGTCCTTGCCGCAAGTGGAAGCCATGTTTGTCTATGAAGATTCGCATGTGGGATTCTTGGTTCCAAAGTCCTTTTTGATTGTCTGCAAATCCAATTCGTGTCGTCAACGCTTTTATGCGGCACCCGAAGACTTGAACATGGAAATTGCCAAGCGGATTGTGGCGTCCAAAGACAATACGGGCTCTCTACAATCCTACGACGGTGTCACTCAAATCTACTATCAAGTGGCTCCCAAGGCTTGGGAAACCATCTACTGTCGTCGGGAACCTACTCCCTTTGAGTGTGATTACCGTCATTTGGACTTTGGCAAGGGCATTTACGAATTCAAAATGGATGCTCCTGCCGATGAGCAAGTCTTTGAGATTGTGGCCGATGACCAAGGAACTCGCGTTTATAGTAAAGTTAACATCCCCAAGGGATCCTACATCATGGCGGAACACGCGGCAAATTCCTTGCAACTGTCCAGCAAGGCGGTCGACAATCTTTCGGCCAGCACCGATGTCGAATTTGCCAAGTTTGTGCAAGACCACGGACACGACTCTGCCTCCAAGGGAAGTGCTCGTCGGTTGGTCGAAATTGGAGCTTCCTACTTTTTGCGGATTGCCGATTCCAAGGCCGAATCCAATGTAGGCCGTTGGATTCCACCTCATCCGCAAGGACGTCGTCCCAAATATTCACCAGTCTACGAGCGTCATCGTTTGTCCTTTGATGTTTTCATGGTGGCCACCAAGGATATTGCCATGGGTGATGAGTTGGTCAAGTACAAGCACATGTGGTCCGAAGAGTAAAGGAATGAATACATTATGGAAGGTTGCCATTTGGAATTGTGTGAATTGAAACGGAAGCTCTTTGTTACTAAAAAGACGTATTAGATTAGTTAATAAGTTGACTGATTGTTTCCGTCCTGACTTTTGTGTTTACATGCAGTAGGTCAAAAGGGCAATGCAGAACGTGCTTCATCTTCTTTTTGGTCTCCTTCTTGTTGTTCTACCACAACGCCGTCCCCTAGTGTTCAAAACTTACCTCTTTTATCAAAAGTTACGAATGAAGAACAGAAACTGTGCTGTACCCGCGGCACTCATGGCAAAGAGGTTGGCAAGGGTCGATGCTATTCGTCTTGGCGAGTTCGCTCTATTGCTGAATCAAGTGGCTTCTTGGTCAGTCGTCTCATCTATGCAGCTGTAGTCTATCTCGAGATGGTGTGACGAATACCAACCGGCTCATCTTGATCGATCTTTCGTCGAAAAGCATATTCTTGGCTAGTTGAGGTTGCAGATGATTTCTTATACATACCATGAGACTACTGTATGTCAGAGGTGCAGATAGGAGTAGAATGCGTACTCTTTCTAGCAACGCAAGTTATTACTTTCTAGTAAGCAGTAAAGACCGAAGATTGATTGATTCGTAGACTCTTCCGGACTAGAGTAGCAAAACGACTGTGATTTGTTCTATGATCTATGGCATGGTCAAACCCCCATCAATCGAAATACTTTGTCCAGTAATGGCATCACTCATTTCAGAAGCGAAAAAGACAGATGCCTTGGCAAAGTCTTGTGTTGTGGTCGTCTTGCGCAAGGGTGTGGTGGTGGCAATTGCCTGAAAGATTTCAGGACTTGTTGCACTAGAGGCATCCGTAGTTTCTAGTAGACCACCAGCCAATATGTTGACACGCACTCCATACTGTCCTAATTCCGTGGCAAGGTTTCGCGTCAAACCCAAAAGCCCAGCCTTGGCAGTGGTGTAATCATAGTATGTTACCACAGGATTGTAGATCAAGTTCGTCGATACATTGATAATCTTGCCATACGATTGGGTCTTGAAAGTAGACAAGGCTGCCTTCGTAGTATTGATAGCACCCTTGATGGCCCCGGTAATCTGTTGGTCCATATTTTCCCAAGAGATAGTTTCAATGGAAGTGTAGGGCGCAGTCGCATCGAATTTGTATGTGGGCAAGGCATTGTTCACAATGATATCCAAACGACTACTCTTTTCAATAATAGTCGTCATCATGGAATTGACTTGTTCTTCGTCAGTGACGTCTGCTTGAACTGCCATGGCTTTGCCGCCTGCTTGTTTGATTTCTTCCACGACTGCATTGGCCTTCTCTTCGGATTGAAAGTAGTTGACCCAAACGGTAGCACCTTCTCGTGCATAGATCCTAGCAATCTCAGCACCTAATCCACGGGAAGCTCCAGTGATCAGGGCAACTTTGTTGTCTAAAAGTGGCATAGTGTTTGTGATGGAAATGAATAAAATTGCTTTGCCCTTTTTGCGTGTTTCTCATCAAAATGATGTGAAAAGATCCATCATCACTGACGTGTCTTTGCTCGCCTCTGAGCCACACATCCTTGATACCAAAAGAAAAATCGCGATGCAATGATGATTCACTTCAGTAAATGACTACTTCGACCGCGAAATAATCCTATGAGTCAGGTCCGCGGACATGCGATTCGTGATATCGTGCTATAGGTATAGTGTGCCGGTAGGTCCATAGGTAGGCAGATAGAATTGATGGATAATAAAGTGCCTTGCGTGATAACTTCAGCAAAATAGTTCTGGCCACATAAGTTGTTCTTTCACAGTAAGAAAGAAGAATGAAGCCGGGCGTATGCTGGTACCCTTACCAACAGGCAGGCAGGTACCAAGTATAGTCGGAAGTCGGAAGTTTAGGCATGCGGTGAGAATGAATTCAAAACCTAAACATTGTCACGTATAGGTAGCGTTGTTCTGGCCAGGAAATCAAATCTTGGTAGAACCAACTGTTCTGATTGAACTCAAGCACGAACAATCATCCTGCATCATATGTCTTGTTACAGTAGGTGTGTTATTCTTGTCTATTACGAAGCAATGGAGACAATGGTCGTCAATCTAAGAATATTTGTCATTCATTTGTCTTCTGCAGAAGATCCAGCTCCTCATCGTCCACAACTCCAACTCTGGATATCATAGTGGGCATTCGTGTCATTTACATGCAGTAGGTCAACAGTGCAGACCAAACAAGGCCTACAATGCTAACAACCACTCGAAATGTCGATTCTGCTAAACCCATAAATCGTGCTCTCTTTAGAATTGTCTCGTCCATGACGACTTCCTCTTCTGCCATGACACCCTCGCCTTCTTCATCTTTCTTCATTTCTCGATTTCTTCTTTTCATCAATGCTTCTACCCCCTGCTTTGTCGATGCACCCCATGAACGCGTCAGCAATTTCTCATCCGCCGTGAGGACAAACTGCATCGAAAGAGATTGCAGCAGCAACGTCACGTAATCTCTATCTTGGGCGTTGCGTATGAAGAGAAGGTACTGTGCGGTACCCGCTGCGCCCATCGAGACCACATTGACAAGGATCCCAAGATCTAGAAAAAGAGGTGCGGAGCCAAGGTCGCCTTGTCGGCTACAAAATAGCCTCAAGAAAGCTAGGGCCCTCACCTTGCCTGTGCACATGCTGCTTGTAAGCACAACAAAGTACATACAGAGAAAGAATCCAATGAACTTTGTCAGAGGATCAGCCCGGTTCGGGCACACGCTTGGTATCTCCTCTTGGATTACAAGGGCAATGGCGATTGGAATGACCGTCTGAATGACGAGCGCAACAAGCATCAAGACGAAAAGAAGGATCATAGAGACATAGTCATACGATCTTCTGCCTCCTGAACTGTAATCTTCTGAAAGTCTCAGAAAGGATACAAATCCGAACGTGTAGATAACGCTGCTAGACTTGACAGTTTCCCCCCATTGGTGCATTAGGTCCTTCGCGGTGGCAATAGCGGCTTGGTCAGTCATAATATCAGCAATAGAAGTATATTGAAATCACGCAGTTTTGCTTTCGGCGAGACGAGTCAAAACTACGAGAAGAAAAGAGTGTGCATTTTGTATCCAATGCTGCATATATATATGCTGCATTTCTTTTACTGAGAAGACAGGTGTAAATTGCACAGCACCGCGGTATTCATTCGCGAGGGCACTGCCGAAGGAACCGCGGTATATATGTGATGGGTGATGGGTGATGGATGTGGGGTGATGGATGTGCGTGGCCGGCAACAAAAAAGGAGACCGCAGCAAACAATGTGGATATTGAATAATATCCAGCATGGAGATTCAACATGCGAGCGAGCAGAAGGAATTTCAAATCTACTGCCAGCCTTGCCTGTCTCAGACATGAAGGCAAGTCATGCAGTCGCTTCGGTTGTTCGATGACGCGCAAAAGACAAATCCTTTGAGTATCTCCGGATATCTATATTTTGATAGTTTTGCCTGAAAACCGTACGGCCTATGAATATGCAATAACACCTGCTTGGTCATGCTCTTCAAGTCTAGTGAGGTATACGGTATATATATCCTTGGTGAAGAAAAAATCACTGTGGGAACAAACAACAATTGCACAGAGAGAAAGAAGTGGCGGAAGAATAACGATCTGGGTGGTGTCTGTGTCTTCCTTATATTGACCGACCGCCACAAGGACGAATCGATCAATCCGATTTTCCAAAGATGGAAATAGAACAAATAGAGCAAATACACAAGAAGCCCTCAAGGTTCCTGGTGCTTGTTCTTCTTGTCCTACTACTGTTGCTGCTTGTGCTGCCCGCTCGGACTAGTGCATCTGGCTGTTCCATCTCCCTGCTGCGTCAGTATAGATGCTCATAATCACGGGAATACAGTTGGGAACGATTTCTGTGCCTCTTTTGATGACAAGTCCTCTGCTTTGCCTTCTTTGGATATATAGGCCAAGGAGACGAAATTCAACAAGTCAACCAGCTACGCTATAATTGCAACAAGGCCAAAACTAGTATGAAGTTGTACTTCTTGAACCTTTTGGTTATTGTTGTAGGGCCCGGATATTTAGTAGGCATTTTTGGCGAACAAGTTCTCTTGGTCGGGGGGCATGATATTGTGAATCCGTGATGATTTAGAGCACTGTCTGGCATCTTCTATTTGGCTTCTTGAGTTCAACAATGAACTCATCTACATCATTTTTTTAAATCTATGAGTATTATGGTAGTCCTACCGGTACGAAGGGAGTATTTTAAAATGGTATAATCCTAGTGATACAATCTAGTATTGAATGGAAATGATGATACAGGTAATGTTACAAGCTCTATGATCCCAAGCAAATCCACAGCTATTCATTGGCTATGGCGTGTCAGTGGTAGTCGTGGCTTTGGATAAAAAGCATACAATAATGGTGATATCGTCCACTCGGTCCTCATGCTGCAACCACTGCTCGTAGGAAGCCTTTCTCAGTTTCTCGCAGGCATCCACTGGATCATTAGATTTCTCCACAATCTCCATGACCTGGTCGTTTTTCAAAAATTCAAAGAGACCGTCCGTGGCAATCACCAGAAACTTGTCATTCTCTGTCAATTCCCGAGATTCGATTTCTGGTTGGGCAATCACTCCAATATTCTCGGCCACCGCATCCCCAATGGACCTCGTAAAGGCCGTTCCCGGAAAATCCTTCCCCTTGACCCAAATGCGAGGTGGATCCTTGTGTGGATTTTCATCGTCCCCACCTTCGAGGTGTCCCCAATCATCGTGAGCTTCCGCCCTCCCTTGCAATTGATCAATGGATTTAATTTCGGCTCCCGCGGCTTGGACTCGTTCCCGTTCATCCTGTCGATTGGGTGTTTGATCCTTGGACAATGGTATAGCTTGAATGGCGGCGGAACCGCTTTCATTGACATAAGTACCCAATAAGGCTCGACTGTCCCCCAGATTGCACACTGTCATTCTTCCTCGATGAAAGCTTGCCGTCACCACTGTAGTTCCACTCAGATAGTCATTAATCTGATACGAGGAATGAATCATAGACGCAATTGAATGAACACATGAGAGTATGATGGCAACATGAGAAATGAAAAATTCAAGTGAGATACATATATATCAACAGTCGTGATCACAGACACCAATAACACTGTGATGATAATATCCTGACACTATCACTATCACTGAACTTACCTTTTCAGTGTCATGCAGTGCCTTGTTGGTTTCTTCAAATGCCTTGCGACACGATTCTCCATATTCTTCTGCTTCCAACGTGGACCAGAGTTCGGGTCGAAAGGCTCCCTTTGTGGATTTATTCTCGGCCTTGAGTTTGGCAATGTGCCTCGACGATCGTTTTTGTCGAATGTACTTGGCGATCGATCGTGGAATGTCCTTTTGGCAAAAGGATGCACATTCGTGTCCGTTAGCTCCATGACCGTCGTATACGGCAAACATGGCATCGTTGGCTTCTCCACCTAGTTTGAGAGTGATGGAATAATCATCTTGATTGGGTTGTCCGATGTCTGAATGAAATTGGCAGGCGATGAGCATGAAACGAACGAAATGAATGTGATAAGGTTGATTCAATGAATCATGATACAATCAGCAAACACAATGTAACTTCAAACACAATACACACAATCCACTAACTTACTGTTTGGATAATACCCTCGTTGCGTTAGGTACGCATATTGAATTTCTGTTTGTTTCTCAGTTCCTACAATGGTCGTTTCGACGTGTTCGCTGGCTATAATGCGTTTCCGCACTTCTTCGGGAATCAAATGACCCTTGCCATCTACTTGTGGAGGCAGTCCTTCGTCCAAGCTCCCTCCTTTCATGGTGGCACTATAGGTGGAATGCGCTTTCCTCAGGTCATGAGAAACTGCCCTGTGAGATTTCCCAATAATCGTTGGATGGTCTTTTGAGCTGCTGCATCCCATGATTGTTTGTATGTATGTATGTTTGTATGTATGTTGTCTATGATATAGTATGCTGGGAGGTTGTCGTGGTTGTTGCCGTTGTTCGGGCTCTACCGTACCGCGTATGGATGCAATTATATTGCGGTGCTACCGTATACTTTTCACTCGCGAAGCCAACGAACGAATGTCGCGAAATGGTGGAATCTTTCAGGCAGCCAAAACCAAAATTACGCCGTGTTGGCAGCGAATTTTCATTTTGCACATCCAGAAAAGGTGTGGAAGATTCTCTTGTGTGGTCGCGTCTGTCATGGAAGATTCGATGGCGTCGACCAGTATGACTGACCGTACAGAGGAGGAACGGAGGAGGAACTACTGTACGTGCCGGTACACGGACTGTATCCGTTCCGAATGAAGTAAAGGGGAGGGGAATACGTAACCCCAATTCTTGATTTCGATGCAACAATTTAATCAACCTCATCAGAATGATAAAACAATAATAAATGTATGCGATGAAACCAAACAACAAGTCATGCTATACTCTCTTCCGGGCTTTGTTTCACTGTTGCTAGCTTCAGTCTCCTATCTTTCACACCAAGCTCTTGCTGCTGAGGAGAATCTTTGTCGTGTGGTACTAGCAGAGAGCTCTATTCCGGAAGCCGGACTTGGCGTGTATGCACTCCAGGACTATGACTTGGGGGATCCAATTGTAAGTCAAACACTGCCATGCTGATATGCTAATGCTGATGCGGATTCTCGTTTGAAAGCGTATGGTTCGTTCATTCATTCATTCATTCTTACCTGATGCGTCATTCCTTGCACCGTTTGTACATCATAATAGGGACCAGCCAGCATTGCCATTCCATGGATTGATAATGTTCACATCTTCAACAACAACAACAACAACAATACGACTATTACTGAATCCCAACATCATCATCATCAAAAGTCACTCTTAAATTACTTCTTGTTGGATGCTGCGGGTATCGGGGGGTTTGGCGAAGCAATGAATGTCTCGCTGTTTATACCAGGACTCGCTTCGTTGGTGCAACACCACACGTATCTGGACAATGTCATGATTTCTGGAACTGTTGCAGTATTAGGATCAAAGAAAAATAAGGCGGCATCGTCCGCAGATCGACATGTTTCTGTCATGGCAGGCTCGGAAACCGCCTATTACAATGTTCAATTGACTGCCAAAAAATCTATAACGAAAGGACAAGAATTATTCTTGTATCCACCATCCAAACATCTCGAGTCGAAACATCCAAAACGACAAGCCTACCAAATGGCAGAAGATCTAGTACAAAAGCTGGGAGACTATTACAATGACTCCAACGACAATATGTCCATCACTCCCGCACAATGGACGGATCTATTGTATCGAATACGAATGGATGTCATGGAAGATTCCGAAACTGCCCAATTGTTACCCAAATCCTTGTACGAATTGAAGCTTGCTATTGCCAATAATAGTGAGGGATTGGTACAATCACGACTGCAAAGTCGTAGCGTGGATTGGATTGCAAAGCATGGAAGTTGTTTGGATAATATTGGTATGGTTGAAAACAATGGTGCTTCTTCTCTGGCAGCGAATACACCGACCGATAACAAAGAGACAACACAACGAAGCGCCATTGCCACACGATTTCTTCCCAAAGGATCTGTCATTGTCGAAACGCCCATGGTTCCAATAGATCCAGAGCTGATGAAAATGAAACCCAATCATGACAAGAATCATGCCGACAGTAATAATAACACTCGACAATTGCTTTGGAACTATTGCTTTGGACATCGGCATGCCACCACACAGCTTTTATTGTGTCCCACTACGGCAGCTGCCATGATGAATCATCCTCATAGTCATAGTTATCATGATGACAATGAATCATCATTCTTGCTATCCAACAAGAAGTCACCGAATGTTGGTCTACGGTGGAAGGAACCGAATGCCATGCTGCATGGTTCACTGCAAGACTTTTGGTTGACAGCAGTGAATCGGAAAAATCTGTTGGTCATGGAATTTGTGGCACTACGAGACATTGCGGAACACGAGGAATTACTCCTGGACTATGGGTCCGAATGGCAAGAGGCATACCAGTCGCATGTGAATGAGAATACATCCACAAAGTCCAGCATCACTATGCTGTCAACACACAATGACCAAGGGATCCAAACTGAAAACTATTCCAACCAGCCGAAGGAATTGGTGACCGAGTGTTTCGTGTATCCACAATTGAAAGCGGACGCTCAATTGGGCGACTGGCAAGACTTTTACGATTCCAATCAAATGATGATTCATCGAAAAACTTGGCCTCTGGAGCTGCAAAAGCTATATCCAAAAGAAGACGAATTTGCGTCTTGGTATCCCTGCAAAGTCGTCGAGGATTCCCTGAATGGTAGTAATGGCTCCAACGGCGACGACTCCTATAGTGTCCTCATTTTTGCACAGCACTTGCACGACGAGACTGTGGTTCGACGGTTCCGAGGATTTCCTAAGGATCGACTGCGATTGGTGTCTGCGCCTTATCATTCGGATCAGCACCTACCATGGGCGTTTCGTCAATTAATTTCCATTCCCGATGAAATCTTTCCATTGCGATGGAGGAATGACTACAAGCCTGCATCGAGTTGGAATTTGGGTGTGGTGGAAGATGGGTATCTGACGGACCGATCCAAATTGGAAGAGCAACAACAAGCTTACGAGAGAGCCTTGCGAGAAGTCGACTGTGGTCTCTACATGGGTGTTTCCAATATCCCCAATAGTGGTTATGGGATGTATGCTGGTGCCGATATTCCATTCTCACAACTTGTGGTAGGAAGCACGATTCCCGAGGTGCCAGTTGACAATTATAAGGAATCGCACTGGCCTGGTACAGAGTATGTATGGAATAGCTTTGGCCTGGCAGAGAATCCAGAATCACCATCCGTGCTTCGAGGGCTCTTTGGATCCATTGCCAATAGCCACAATGGAGTCATCAATATGGTCAGCCCAAAGATCCAGAATTCACCGTATGACCCCATGTTGGATCGAAGAAAGGATCCCGGTGCCGGAGCATTCTCGCCTTATGTCGAAAACACATTCTTGTCTGGATATCCAATCAAGGCAGGTGAAGAACTCTTTGTAACATACGGAGAGCATTGGTAAGTACCACCGGTTGAGTGCCTTATTGTCTCTTTCGTGCCCTATTCTTATAATGTTTCGTACTCCATTGTGTGTTGTTCCTTAGGTTTCGAAATCGAAAAGAATATGACACTGTGCCATTGTTGCAGCATTTTCGTCGGGCGGACAACATATTGGCGAGTATCTTGTCCATGATGACTCTGGAAGGCGCTTCGCTATTTCACGCGGATTTTGCCTTTCGAGCCAATCAAGACAAATTCAATATCTCGTTTCATGGCCAACTACAGGATGTTCTTGGCTTTTGTCAGATGGATGGAATCAAAGGCCAGCTGGATACAACTGGGGCGTCAAAAGTCATCAACCTGAGCCGCAAGAACGATAGGATGAATCGCATGCCCTCATCGATTATTGCTCGAATGGATCCAAAAGACATACCACATGAATCGTATGAAGGAATCTCTTATGACGCGGAGGAATTTGGATTCTCTACTATGAGTGGAGCTTCAGCTGAACTCCCATGTCGAGTCCTTGCGAGCGACGCGTCCACCGGACTTTTCGAAGTGCTCGTGTTCTTTGCGGATAATGACAAACGGCAGCTCCTTCGTTATCCATCATTCGATGCGAATAGACTCGAATTTCGGATACCGCCGAACAAGGGTGGATTATCTTCGCTATTGGGCCTTTTGCGCAATCATTTTCTAAAGGAGTTGGATGACGTTGGGTTGACCACTGAATCATTTCGCCGATTCAAGACGGCATTGTCCAATATTGATAGCGTCCAAGATATCACTACTGTGCTGAATCGTAACGGAACTGCCATGGCCACAACGAAACGACGGTCCAAAGAATGGTTGGAAGATAATGGTAGGTTTTCTTATTTGTTTGTGTTAACATGTTTGAAACAAAAAGCAAATGATTTCAACCATGCTTTTGTTTTTCGTATTCTTCTCACTGGATACAGGCATTTGCTTGGACCACGTTTATGTCAATCGAAGTACCATTACTAACGCTGGAAACGGTGCCTTTGCTCGGCGACCGCTAACGAAGAACACCATTATAATCGGCTCGCCAATGCTAGCAACCTCACGAGATCACAAGTTGCTGACAATGGTAACGAATGCTTCGCGCAAGAGCCTTATATTGAACTACCATTATGGGCACAAGGACTCAAGCGTGTTGTTCTTTCCAAATAGTCATGCAATTGCCATAAATCACAACAGTCCGTCCATGCCCAATGGAAAACCGGCCAATGCTCGAGTACAATTTAGCACCAAGGACAAAAAGAGTAGATACTTAGTACATCGCCCACTGAGGGATATCGAACGGGAAAAGTACTCATCCTTGGTAATGGAAGTCGTTGCCATTCGCGACATTGCACCAGACGAAGAAATCTTTGTCGACTATGGTGAGCCCTTAAGCAGTGTATCGGATTGGCTCTTTGATGTTGGTATCTTACTATCTTACTACCATTTTTGCTTTCGTTTCGACTTTAGGTAAGGAATGGGAAGCTGCATGGAACGAGCATGTCCAATCTTGGAAGGATCCGTGCCAAAATGCCAATCATCCTTGCTACAAATCTTCGATATCCATTTGGAAGATGAATCAAGACAAATTCAATATACAATATCATGCCTGGAGTGAGGACCACCTGACGTACTGTACGATTCCACAAGCAGAATACGAGGGCAAGAAAGATGTGAAAAAAGTTGTGCTGCACCTGGGAGATTCGTATCTAGGAGTGCCATGGGACCACGATGGATTCCAAGTATCTTCGTATCGGGATAATTCGGGAGACAGAGTCTTTCCGTGTTTGGTAATTGAATCCGATGAAGGGAATTCAAAAATGCAGGTGGCAATCTTTGACAATGACTCGTCTACCAATGGTTCTAATGAATCTGCCACACTTGTGTTGCGCCACTGGAAATACTTCTCACATTCTTGGGTCAGCTTTCGACCACGTCAATTCAAAGGTGACAGCATGAATCCTCTGGCCTTTCGTCACGAGATTGGTACTCCCAATGACGTTTTCCCGGAACATTGGAAGGATTTGTTGGAGTAAAGTGTATTTCTCCCATTGGAAGGATGTACCACAGATTGTTTCTAGAGTATTATTGAAAGTTTGAATTTGTTTGTTGAACGTCACCCTGATTTAAAAGTCGGAAAGTATGACGACATAGTTGTATTTTTGTGAGCTCTTTGACTGCATTTTTTTTCCGTTCAATATTGGGGGCTATCCAAACGCCCGGGCGTTGGACAAAGTTAATGTCACAAACGCCAGGCGTTTCGACCAAGTCGATATATAAAAAAAATGCGAAACTAACCATTTGCTCGAAACCGCTGTTGTTTCATGGTCGCGATGCAACTTCGAATGTTAAGTGGAAACTGGGAAACACATGAGGGCATTAAGAAGCGGCGTTAAAATTCTCTCTTCTCTTGAATTCTGTGAAGTTGAAAATTCTTCTCTTTTTTTTGAATCTTCGCCAGTCCAATCTAAGCCATCACCTTTGAAAAATGAGGCTTCTCGTTTTTGCATACCAGGCCATTGCATCAATCACAACTACCATTACAGCACCGGTACTGTTGCTGCAGATTTAGTCAGCAAATCATCATACACGCAAACATGACCAATCAAACCAAACACGACGGCATTCGGTTTCGGTTTCCTTTAAAGCTGAAACGAAAGTCGTCACAAGCAAGAAGCACAGCAAACCTTAAGCCTGATGTGATTCTACCTGAGACTGCCTCTGAGCACTCGGAACAAGATCCTTCCAATACTTTTGATCCTGCTTCCAATGGGACTCAAAGGAATCACGATTCAAAGGCCAAGGGGTTGAAGAAGAAGCTCCAGTTGCCATTCACTCTAAACTCATCTGCTTCTTCCTGTCAAGCTTCCCCGCAGATTTCGAACATCACAAGCGTGTTGGATGTCTTGTCAACAGATGTTCAATTGCAGGTCTTTTCCTTTTTGGATTTGACATCCCTCCGACACACGATGGCCACTAACCGAGCCTTTCGAGCCTTGTTGGTCTCCGACTCTTCCTATCAAGTGTGGCATGCCATGTGTCAGCAAAGGTTTTCGATGCAAGATTACGACAGCGAACACGGCATGTTTCTACAGGATGAATTTTCCCTCCCCATTGCAGTGTCTGGAAACAACGTGTTTTGTCGGTACAATCGAGTCAACTTGCCCTTGCTCTTATCTATGGTCCCTAGACAACTTCCTACTGGAATGGATGAGCCTACTACTTTTCCTAATAGCGGTAGTCTAACCGATGCCTTCTCCTACGGCAGTTCATCTTTTCGGACTTCCTTGATTAAAGTTTTCTCCCCAGAAAGCGATGATAGCTTGGTTGGTCCAAATCATTTGGACGCAAGCTTTTGCTCGACATCAACGTCTTCATCTTCGGATAGTTGTATTCGACTTTCTTTCAATGGCGATGCTGCGTCCGGTCATGTCGATTCGATCAAGGCCAACTATCCACTTCCCAAACCGACTCGACATGTACCTCTCAAGAAGAAGCGCAGCAAGATAAATCTTCCTCAATTGCGCAAACGAAATCGACCAGTTTGGAATCCAATGATGATCCCATACCAATCGTTGGCGGATCATACATCCAGACTGATCCATGTCACGCCAAGACTGGTGTCATACTTCGAGATTTCTATCACCAAGGCACCTGATGTAGAGCCCAGTCGTCCCAGACTCGCAGACCTCGACCAGTTGGAGCAGCCTCGATCGGAGGATTGCGTCGCCATTGGTTTGGCTACAGAAAGCTTTTCCCCACAAGCCACCTTGCCGGGGTGGGACATGACTAGTTTTGGGTACCACGGTGACAATGGTGGCTTATACCATGGTTCGGGACATTCTCAACAACGAACGGAAGCCTTTGGACCAGGTGATACTGTCGGAATTGGAGTCGATTATGTCTCCAAAACTATCTTTGTCACCAAGAATGGGCGGTACTTGGGTACTGCTTACGAGGTGTTCACGGTTGACTTTTTGACCTCACAGGACTTCTATCCAGTAGTGGGAATGGGTTCCAAGGATACCGTACATGTCAATTATGGAGGGGTTGACCAACCCTTCCATTTCAACCTAGCATCCTATTGTCATCGACAGCAGCAGCACATGGTGTCCGCCAAGTCTCGAATTGCAAGAAAGTTTCGGTTTTCCAACTAATTGTATATTGGGTGTATGGGAATATACTAGCGATGTATGTATGTATAGGTATTATTTTGAATACTGTAATGATCCGAAGAGGGCGTATTACGTTACATTGAATCCAACCACATCCATTCCGACAGATATTGCTTGATTGGACATTCCTACCCGGCCGGGCAAACTCTGCTTAACACTTGATGAATCACGATAATGTTTCGGCAGCTCCAAAAGTGGTCTCCTTTAGTCTTATTTGCAGTCACAATCGCTACAGTGCCATTGTGGATCTGTGATCCAAGTCCTAACTTCGTACCGAACATTGCAGTGTAATTGAACCAGCTCTAGAATTTCATCAAAATATTTATTTTTACAGTTATTGTTTGATGTTCAAGGAATCATGCTCGTACCGATACCTGTCTGCACGTTCCAGACAAGCCAGGGAATATGTTGCTACTAGCGCGTTCGTAGTCTTCTTCCAAGTCGCTCTCATCGTCAATGTCAAAATCGATTGTGCAATGTTGGTTCTTTTAGATTAGTTCTACCAGATAATCGCTGTTGTCGAAAAGAAGTTCATTTGCTCTTCGTTCAGAGAGCGAGCGAAGAATAACGATTTCTTCGCCGCGAGCCTCTACTCTGGCCCTGCTGTGACAAGAACACTTGCCTCTTCAGATCATCGACTTTCTGCATTTCATTGCTTCTATTTCGTCAGCTCCTGGTGAGGTGATCTTTTTATCTGGCGTGGTATTCCGTCAAGGATGATGCCGTTACCTCATTGAAATTTCAACAGTCTCTATAGTGTTTTCAATCGTTATAGTGCTGCTGTGTCACACCTTAATGACGAGCATCGGAATCTAATTGAACAAGCTAGATTTATAGTAATTTCTTTTTTTTAATTAGTCAAAATCTGTATTGTCACAGGTACCGTTTTCATTTATGTTCAAGGAATGTATTACGGAATCATACTCGTACCGATACTTGTCTGCACGTTCCAGACAGGCCGGGGAATATTTTCAAAAATGTATGCATCTGATAGCAGCTTAGTAGTCTTCTTCCAAGTCGCTTTCATCATCACTGTCCAAGTCTACCAAACAATGTTGGTTCTTTCGGATCATCTCTGACAGGTGGTCGCTGTTGTCTGAAATAAGTTCATTTGCTCTTCGTTCAGAGAGCGAAGAATAGGGATTTCTTCGCAGAGGGCGGCCTCTTCGTGCGGTGACATACAACTGCCTCTTCAGATCATCGACTTTCTGCATTTCATTGCTTTTGGTCATATTGGATGTGATGACGTTCGTTTCGGTTGGAGCACACATGTTGTTCTTGTTGTTGTTGTAGTGTTTGAGTTGTTGCTGTTGTTTTGGTACAGATTGAATTTATGACTGAATGAAATTCAAGTAAAATTTTATATGTTATGTCTCGGACCAATCCCGAAAAAAAGACACCACGAACTTCAATGCTGATTGAAGTTCATTAAATAAAATAACCTACAGTAACTAAACTACCCCTGTTTTCCTTACAAAATGGCTGGAAACAAATTAAGGCGAACTTCAACGACGGTGTTTTTATATTCCTTTCTCTGGGACCGTGTGGCAAAAACGTGTATTTCGAGATTCTCCGATCATCGAAATTTCGTGTTTCCGCGCGGAAAAGACGAACGTTACAACATGACCCGTTTGTCCGGACGGACACCCGAAAAAAAAAGGGAACTTTTAGGGAACTTCCCGGGGATTTTTAGGGAACTTTCCGGGTACTTTTAGGGAACTTCCCGGGTACTTATGGAACTTTCAGGGAACTTTCAGGGACTTTTCGGGAATTTTTAGGGAACTTTTCGGGAACTTTCAGGGAACTTTTGCGAAACAATATTCCCTCAAAGACAATAAACTATACAAATAAAAGAGAATTGCACTATGGTAGATGACGCTATTCAAAGGACGGCCATTCTCAATATCGTATTGAATCAAAACGAGAAAGTCAGTGTAAACGACTTCATGCTTGTCCATAGTATAACGAAAACGAGTTCCAATAGTGTCAACACGTTTCAATCTCGTTGAAGTTCTCCTGTTGGAAGTCGTACAGACGACTCCCCTGAGTCAGATAGTGACGAGTCTAAACCGTCATACATCAACCGTGAAAGTATGGAGAACCAGTCATGGGCAGATGTTGTTCGAAAGATGAACGATTGAATTACAGTAGTTTAAAACTGTGTAGAGAGTTTTGGGATGACCGAAAGCATGAGTTTGCTTTGGCCATTCGAAAACTCTTATCCCAACTAAAGCAAGTTTTATTAACGACTTTAAGGTTCATTGTATTAGGACTACGTTACGCCGAACAACTGAAGACTGATCGTCTCAGAGTATCGTAGGGTCTTTTATTATCTAACATTCTCCTGCCGCTGAGTTCTAGCCCAAATCTTGAACTCGAGAACTTTGGGGCTGTCGGTTTCTTGAATAATAGATGTGACCATCCAGTGAGCGAAGACAAAGACCTTGTTCTAAACAAGACTTTTTGGCCGAATGTACGCCATTGCCCATCTGCTAGTAGACATGGTTTGGGTCCATGTTTTCGGTGATGTGTCTCTCCAGCACTGTCCTTGGCTGATAGGCTCTTTTTTCGCATCGCTGGTTCTCCAATCCTTCAACTACTATTGTCCAGCATTATCAATCGCTCCAGTATTCATTGTAGGCTATCGACAGTGAAGAGTGCCCTTGTTGATAGCATTGGATTGTCCAAAACCGATGCCAATGGCATAATAATAATTCACAATTTGAAAAGTAACAGTTTCTTTGTAATTATGATGATGATAATGAAGGAGAAACCCAAACTGGATTCCGTCGAGGATAGAAGCGTATTTGAGAGACCACTGATCCAACTTGGAGAGAAGTTGAAGCAGAAGAGGAAGAAGCAGAGCTCGAACTTGAAGAGCAGCCTAGGGAGAGATAAGCTGAAGAAGAAGATTAGGAAAATATGAAATGTTCTTTAAATACTCCTTATATGAAATGTCCTGTCTTTGCTTCGCTGTCGCCCATTGGCAAGTACCTGGTACCGTGCCTGTTTCTCCATTCCTATTTTAAACTCCCTTTGATCTTATTCAGTTTTAAAACTACACTGTCTGCCTGTCGTCCCCATCAGAATTGTGGACATTTCGTTTTGGCATATCTCTTGCGCGCCAGCATCGTTAAAGCTGAATTCTTCTACTGTAGCGTGAAACACTACTACCGGTAGTGGTTTTAGTCAACAAAAATCTGGAACGGCCGGGAAATAGATATTTAGCACACAATTCTTTGGAGTAAATATTGATTTTCCCGGCCGTCCCTGTGTCAACATGCGATGCGAAAAGAGCAGTTGACTACACTGTTGCTGAAGAAGTTTCTAACAGAAAATCAATCCAAGTGGATTGGATCCAAAGACTCAAGGTTTGTAACAAATTACTTGTGTGCTTACTAACAAAGTTGTTGAAATCCGCAGAAGTCCTCAAGTCTACTATGAGAGACTGAATGAATCTACGGCTTGTTCTTGTGCCGTTTTGTCAAGTCTAGCATGCGATGAGTTTGAATCGCACATTGCGTCAAGAACCACCTCTCGCATGAACTGTGGATGTAAGGGCGCCTTTGTGACTACACTTTGATACGAAATGAAATGATAATGTCATGATCATACGACAAGCTTTGATCATAGAGGGCCCAAAGAATAATAGGCCCAAGGCATTGGAACTCTAGAAGCTCCTTCGGTTGAGTACAGAACTAGACCTTAGTCATCAGGTCCACGTAAGCACTCTCAAGTGCCTTTCTACAGACATCTATAATTCTCTCTTTAACTCTTCTGTAAAGGTTGGGTTAGCCGTTTCAATGAAGTCACTAGAATGTCCTGCATTTTACAGTATGCCGCCTGTTTATGCTGCCTGTTTTGGCGTCACCTACCGTACTGTACGGCAATCTTATTTTCATCCGGCATGTTTTCCGTTGGGCTGCTCAATTCCCTAATCAAGTGCTGGGCATTTTCAATATTTTAGGTATTAAAATATCTTAAGCTTTAGAGAACAGACTAGTGAATAAGATCGGTCCCGTTCAATTATGAGCTACTGTCGGCTCCTTGTTCGGTTTCGAATCAAGGAACAAACTACTAGTAGTGAAGAATATTTGCCTATGTGGTGCCGGGAATTGAACGAAAACCCGGGGAATTATAGAAATCCGGTGGATTGCAAATATGTACAGGAACTGACACTCATATTTCCAAAAACAACAGAAACGAGAGAAAATGTCGCTTCAAACTGTTATCAATCAGAACCAGCAAACCATTGCTTTCCTCGAAGCTAAAGAATATTACAGCGCGATTGTGTCATCATCGTCTGCGTTGCAGTGCCTTCGTAGCGTCCCACCAATGCAGCACGAAGAACATGAAGGCAATCTCCTGCTTGTTCCAGCGGCGAAAAGCTCCGTCTCACCATCATCTGACAACGCAATCGATCATTGCATGCTTTTTGCAAACATTCAGGGACACGATGACATACGTGGAAATCAAACATTCATGTACAGCCATGCCATTCCATTGCCTCCGAATGTGACTGATCATGCCACCATTACACTCCTTCTCATTTTCAATGCAGCGCTTGCTCATCACTTGGTGGCAATGCAAGACAAGGAAGATTCACCTAGATTCCTTCGCAGAGCAAACCAATTGTACACATTGGCATACAATTCGTCAGAAGATATCGAGCAGAACCCTTTGTTTCTCTTTGCTGTGTACAACAATACTGCATTGGTCGATCTACAGATTGGGGACAAGGACTCGTGGAACCCCTGCGTTGAGCACTTGGTTTCCATCTACATGGTTATGGTGGATGAAGGTTGCACTTCGCGACTACGTCACCTCCAAGGCTTCCTCGAGAGCCTCGTTTCTAGCACCCCAACAGCAGCCGCGGCTTGATGAAATCGATGGATAATTTTTTAAAATTTGATGTGACACAACAAGGTTTCGTATGCATACTGTCATAAGTGAGTAGCTCGATTGATGCAATTTGATGCAATAATATGTAGGTCTAGTGACTATCACTCAAAAGATACGCTATGTGGATGACTCTCGAAAATGTAAAGTCGCAGGCTTGATCTACTTCCTTGGCCTTTGCCATCGACATTCACTTTATCTGAACAATTGATTCATCCAATCCATTTTTGTCGAAATAGGGTATAATTTCTTTGGATTGACTTAACATAAGCAGAGTAGTAGTATTTCGCCTGCATACTTTGCTAATCTAGAAAAATCAAAAATCAAAAACAAGAACGTACTCTTTTATATCGTCTGCCATTTGTTCGTCTGCTCCATTTGGACTATTTATGTACTTCCTTTATTCGAGGAAGCATAATACGCCCAAGCAAGGAAATACAGTACCAGGTATAAGACGAGAGTATAGTCGATGATAGTCCCAGAATTTATCTCGTTGTCAATAAAAGGAGTCTTCCAATGAGAATCTTTTCATAGTACATATTCCAATCGGCATTCAACTCGAACCATGATGGCGACCAGCCGCACATGTTATTCAGTTCTCGCACGCCTCTCAATATTTCCTCCTACAGATTGCGGTTAGAACACAATTTTAAAAAAGGTGGGATCTTCTTCTTCCGAGCTCGAATGACGAGGAACAAGACATACTGTCGAACCTGCTTAACCTGATTGATGATATCAACAGTACCACGTGGTCGACAACCGCCTCTAGCAGAAACAATGATCGATCGAGTGTACCACTACTTACATCCAAGATGCCAAAGCGTAGCGCTTCTAAGTACCATAAACCCTTCGGTTGAACAAGTTTCGCCCTATCAATATTTCAACGAAGAATGCTCTTCTTAAACTCAACCTTACCCTTCTCGTCAAGCCTTATTCGGTACGAGCTGATCACCCACTACCACGGCCTTCTCGACAGACAATAAGTCGTCATGGGCATCAGCTCCTAAATAGTTCCTTCGATGGGTCTACTGGCAGGTTCATCCCGAGTGGCATCATGCCTGGTCTGCACCCCTTTCAATAATCAAGAACGGGATCCCAACTTCGATTCATGTCACACCTATAGACTGATATCCAACTTTGAAATAGCAAAGGAGCTACGCGCTCGAATTCGTGTACCTATTGATCTCTGCGTCACACTTCGCTAGACCCTTTTGACGAACCATTTCTCGAGGATGAGTGTGTTGGTACAATTGGCCTGACGAAAGACAGCAGCATTTGATTGTCGAGTGGATGAGCTACCAGCCAGGTTGGGATAGCGATAGTTTTGGTTACCGCAATGATACTGGTTCTCCCTACCATGGTGGTTTCAATGGAAGTTCAAAGTGCGACAATTCAACGGAACACCCCATCTAAACGACAGATTTGTTACCAGTGGTGGGTATCGATTCCAAGGATACTGTGGTGGTTAATTACGGAGGCGCTGGCAAACCTTTCGTGTTTGATCTGGCAGACTAGTGCCAACGACAACAGCAATATCTGCCGCCGAAACGAAGGATTTCTCGAAAGCAGCAAGCTATGGTGACCACTTTTATGAAATTTGACTATTTTATATAGCTCATCCGCTACAACAACTGCAGATCTATTTGTAGCCGGTAGTGCTTGTACTATTACCATGACCAAGCGAAGCAATCATATAATAACACCAAAATGCCGAAATGGTTAGCATACCCACTGTGCCTCATTGCTTTGAGACTGCGTACCCTGCTCCCTACTCGAAGAGATATGAGACATAACCAACATTAAAATGCCAGTATCCCTTACCGACCACATGAAACGGCAAATGCCCTGCTTTAATGCCAGTCAAAATTCACCGCACCGTGTATTCCAGCCATAGCATCATATTGCATGGATTTTAGGAAAGCATCATATGTCTCACAATAGCTTAGTGCAAAGGCTAAAAATCATAACTAAAACGGTATGGCTAATAGGACCTACTGATATTAAATAGGCAATTTCAATATTTAAAAAAAGTACAAAATATATTTTCTTAAGCTTTCGAGAATCCAAGTCCATTGTCTTCACCATATCGTTCCATAAATCTCATGAATCGGTCCCATTCTTCAGGGCTCTTCATGACAAATGTTGATTCAATGGCTTGTGGCTTTCCGTTGCTGAACTTGGCGTTGACGTCGGTCGTCGAAATTTCCCCCTCTTCGTCAATCATGAACATGCCAGTGACATCGCCTTCTGCGGCTGTGTTGGCATCAAAGACATTAGGACTGACGAATTGGAAGGTAGCAACTCCTGACGATCCATCACGAGCACGGGTCAGCTTGATGTCGGGGACAACCTTTTCCTTGAGTCCTCGGACAAATTGAATTTCCGCCGAGAGAGAAGTAACTCCAAGGCGTTGGGATGATGGGGATGTAGGAGCAAAGGCGGAAGCCAGGGGAGCGAGAGAAGCGATGATAGCAAGGACCTTCATTGTATTGAAAAACTGAGTGTTTGTAAAATGTATGGAGCTGGCTGTAGAAATACTGTAGCTGTTTGTGTAATGATGATGAGTGATGACACAGATGAACGATGTGTTCGGATCAGGTCTAATGATGTAGGTCGGATGTCGTATGTCGTTTTATATAAAGATACGTGGTTCCTACGAGGTGAGTGAGAAGTTGTGTGACGTGGTGAAATGACTAAAATGATCCATTCATTCGATTTCAGCATTGACTAAAATGAAGTCTTATCGGTTGAGTCCTATGGTACCTGGTACCTGGTACTCTCTACAGTATTATTCATTACAGTAGGTGTGATCTGTATCGGAATTGGTATCTGCTGCAAAGCTTGTTCGGAGAGTGGGTATGATATAGATAGAGTACAGGGAAAAAGTCTCGGTACTTTGCAGTTTGGGTACTGCTAGCGCTACTAATCTCACGATCTAGGAGGTTGCCTGTTATAGTTTAGATTGGGTCGCCGGTCTGCGTTCCATCTCTATACGATTAGTATCATGCTAGTAGGCATGGAATGGCTTGAATCGCATCGATTGGGTTTTCTTGCTGGGTGCTGCACCAAGAAGCAGTGATGCAACAAAAATAGCACTTGAAACGAACAGAATTGACTCGGTTCTATGGATCCTCCTAATGAAAGATGAATCACAATCATCCTCTTGCTCCTTAGCTGCATCTGGAAGCTTGGAGGCATGGGTCTCACGATCATTCGCGGCATGGAAGCTCGCACAGTCCCTAGCAATGGCATCCGGGCTTGATTTCAAATTCGGCATGTTCGCACTTGTTGTACTTGCTGTATCGTCGTCGAAAATAATGGACATAGAATGATGAAAACCATCCTGAGGGTTGGCTTCTCCCTCTGCTGATGCTTCGCAACGAATCTGCCGTTCTCTTGTGTTGATAGACAGTCGTCCCAACTCCATCTCAGCCCACTCTAGCTCTTCTTTTAGACTTTGGTTGGATCCGACGCTGTTATAATCATCTTCATCGTCCGTGTCGAACATTATGGATGCCGCCAATGTGATATTGCTTGCAGGAGTAGCTCCTCCTCGTCCTCCTCGGCTACGCTCACTCAGTTTCATCCAGTTTTCGCGTTGTTCCAACATCTGTTCCAGCTTACTAACTTCCTCTTGCAAGAATGAAGGGGGAGTATACGCAGATTCGTAAGATTCTTGTGGTTTCGCTTGAATAGTTTTGAAGTTGTTATTGTCTTCATTGTCATTTGTTCCATTTTCTGATGATGATGATGATGATGATGATGATGATGATGTTGTTGTGGTCCCAATCAAAGGTATTCCTCTTGTTTCCTTGAGTCTCCTTTGGGGCGCTCGGCATAATTGACGGCATGGTATTTGCATGGTTATTGATAAGTTCATTTGTATCGATGACTGAATCTGATGGTCTGCAGTTTTTTTTGTGGAAAGAAGGAAGAGCCTTGTTATGGTTGTTTCGATCATGATCGTCAATCTTGTGATGTGCAATTTCTCCATCCGCATTGGTCGCGCGATGCGAGAAAATGATTGGACATCACCGCTGACGAACACCTACGAACGTCGGTACATTTATTGCCAAACGGGGATATTTTGACTCCGGCGATTCGAAATCCGAATTGTCCCGCCACACATCTGTTTGGGATTCACCACGTCATAATATCTTGCTCAAATAAGAACCATACCGGTAGCATACTACAGTACCACCTCAGCATCCAAACCGAACACATTCGTGACGGAGTCCAAGCAACAGTGTGAAGTCATCACCTCTGTGGTACCGTATCTGGTACCTGCAACTTGGCTTGGTTTTGTCCAGGAGTAGTGGTATTAGCTGCCTACCGGTAGCTCTACCAACCACCCTGCTAAGAAGGCAGCACCAATCGGCCGAGGCTGGAAGAGCCGCATGGAAAGAGGAAGGGACAAACTTTTATTACGTGATGCAACAATAGTCAATGCACCAATATGATAGATGATGTTTAGGGATGGGGTTACCATACCGGTACAGTCTACAGTCTACAGTCTACATTACAGTGCCTGCTACCGGTGCGATGGATGAAACCAATCAGCATCTCGCGATGCGATTGATTATCGTGGTCTGTTCTCCATCCGAAAGTAGAGACGAAACTGACGACGGGCAGTGCAAATGACAAAAAACAATGATATGTCTGTGACTAATACCGGTAGCCGGTAGGTACACGTACGTGTGTACACGTACTATAAAATATTGAACAGCGATGTTAATTCAAAGATTTGTTTTTCTTGCAGAGATATCAAAAAAGGCGATTACAAAAAAAATCCTTTGCTACAATGAAGCTCTCAAACCTTGCACTGCTTCTTAGTGCCACCGCTACTGTCTACTATGCAGAAGCACAGTCCGTGGAAACTTGCAAACAGGGAGGAAGCGGCATGGTATCTACTGCCGATCCTGCAGCCACCGAGGTTGGATTTAAAATCTTGGAGGACGGTGGCACGGCTGTCGATGCCATGGTCGCTGTTCAAGCTGTGCTGGGGTTGGTGGAGCCTCAGTCGTCGGGTCTTGGTGGTGGCTCGTTTGCCGTTTACTACGACGCATCAACCAGCTCCATTACTACTTTTGATGGAAGAGAAACTGCGCCCATGGCCGCAACCGAAGATCGATTTGCTACCTTTCCTCCTGGGCTCCAGGGATTTGTCGGAGCTTGGCAAGGTGGTTTGTCAGTAGGGGTACCTGGTACCCCTCTTTTACTCGAAACCATGCTCGAAAAATATGGCAGCAAATCCATGAGCGAGTTGTTTCAGCCAGCGATTGATCTTGCCACCAATGGATTCCTGTTGAGTGCCCGTACCTTCGGATTGGCTTCGTTTCTGTTTGGCCTCGTCAATCAAGGAAGTTGCGACCAGCGACTTTTTTTCGCGACCCAATGGCTTTCGAGTACATGATGATCAATGAAACCTGTCAAGTCAAGAGTCCGGGAACCAACTTGACGAATCCAGAGTATGCCGCCACTCTCGAAAAGATTGCTACCATGGGTGCAAAGGAAGGCTTTTACACTGGAGACATGGCCGACGCCATTGCTGCTGGTAAGTGATTCATGTACGACTTGTTGTATTGTATCATGTATATAGAATCGACTGACTTGACTTAACTCACTCGCATTCCTTCGTTTCACTTACTTTTGCTTCCAGCTGTTCAAAACGACCTTGGTATCCCTGGAGACATGGTCGTGGCAGATTTGGAAAGCTATACAGTGATTGAGCGAGAACCAGTGTGTGTCGACATTGGCACCGATTCGGTCTGCGGTATGGGTCCTCCTTCATCCGGTGGATTGGCTGTTGGGCAAATGATGGCTCTGTTGGAACAAGTTCAAGACAAACTGGTCAAATCCACCATGGTGGATGATACTAATGCCTCGGTTCTCGACCCGACCAATGTCCATTTGTTCACTCAAGCTGGCCGATTGGCTTTTGCCGATCGCAACAAATTTGTTGGTGACCCTGACTTTACCAGCGTGCCGTCCGAAGGAATGCTCAATAAGGAATATCTTGCTGATCGAGCATTGTTGATAAATGCTACCAGTGATATGGGCACGGCCATGCCCGGAGTTCCTCCTGGTTCAGCGGGTATGCAAATGGCTATGGATTCATCTGTCAAGAATACAGGAACCTAGCACATTTCCATTGTCGATTCGTATGGCAATGCTGTATCCTTGACGTCGTCTATTGAAGCTCCATTTGGTAATGGAGTCATGGTGAATGGTTTCTTTTTGAATAATGAACTGACCGATTTTTCATTCGCTGCTGCTGATGGCGATGGCAATCCAATCGCTAACCGTGTGCAAGGTGGCAAACGTCCTCGCAGCAGCATGTCGCCCACCATTGTCATGAAGGAAGGAGTAGGTACTACTACTACAACACCAAAACTGCTCAGTGGATCGCCTGGTGGCGGGAATATCATCGCATACACCGCACAATCGTTGTGGAGTGTACTCGAATTTGGAATGGACCCACAAGCGGCAATCAATGTCCCCCATTATATGAACAACAATGGCGGGACGAGCTTGGAAGATCCGACTTCTGCTGAAGGATTGATGGACTACGATGCGGAAGCCTTGAAGATGACTCTCGAAACCGAATTTGGACATGAATCTGTCAGTATTGCGAATGACTTGACTAGTGGTTTGGCAATGATCTTGGTCGAGGATGAGTATTGGATTGGTGGTGCTGATCCACGTCGGGGTGGAGCAGTTGGTCCAAATATCGGAAATGATTGCGCTGACAATAATAGTACAATGGTGACAGCTCCACCAACCCCTAGTCCAAATGCCGGTGGGATGACAACCTCTCCACCAACCCTCAGTTCCGATTCCGAAAGCACTCCTCCCGCAACCGCAAGTGACGACGAGTCTGGTAGTGCTTGCAACTCGATTGTGGTGGGTCTTCTTTTGTCTACAGCCGCATCGGCCTTTTTGCTTGCATGCACCCTCGCATAAAAGCAAGTCTATTGTAAGACTTCAGTTCACGCTTCTCACTTTAAACAAGCATTATGATAAAGCATTGAAGTAGCAAACTAGGAGGTACTGTTATATGTGACGCCTTCGCCAGCTGGCTATAAGCTTTGCTTCGGCTCCCCATCGCCTATAGAAGCGGATTGCTTCGTCCATCCGCTCGTTGGACAAAGAGCTGGGGTTATAAGGCTGGTTGTACCTTCTCCGGTATCTTTTTTTCTTTCTTGCTTGCTTGATAGAATAATCTCTCAGCATGATGGTCCCTTTCTGAATCTGGTCGATATTATTCCATTTCCGCTCTACCGTTATTCCGAGCGAAAAGGTCATTCGTCCTTCTGGTTCCAATGTGGTGATGAACTCAATAATAACAAAGTGTGGATTCATTCATTCCCCAGCGTCCGTCGATAGCACAATTCATTCAGTCAACGGTTCAGTCTTGGATTTGTCGTCTATGCTTAGCAATGCCATGATAAGAATGGGGCGGGTTGACTATGAACTTGCTTGTTGATGACATTATTCATCAGGCAGTCCAAACTCCTCACCGCCAACGCAGCGCGATGACGATTCATCATTCAATGATTCGTTTCCCTCAGCTTAATATTCACATGATGACATGATGAGTTGAATGTATATCGAGATGAAGGACGACGGTACTCTGCTTTATGATGTGGTCCTCAGCAAGCGCACGATGACATTGCCTGATTGGGATCAATGATTGCCATATACTTTATTTGTACCCTCTCGAATCCTCTTCGCTTATTATTTGTGTGTGCGCGTGTACGTACGTGCGTACATGCGTGTACGGAAATTCTTGTCAGGATCTGCGCATAATAAAAGAAGCTCATCGATGAATAGCGTTATTGTTGTTGTTGTCATCCATTTTCAACTTTCATATTGAGCACAAGTAGGATCGAGCCCTCTTCAACTGCCACTTGAACCATTGATTCATCAGCAAAGCTACTGGACAACAATGACAACAATGACAAAAGACAAAAGCAATAAGAAGAAATTCTACAAGCTGAATCTCGCAGAGTTGCCAGACGATCTCTTTGATAAATCTGTCCCAGTTTCCAAATGGCTCGACTTGGCAACCTGCGTGGAAGACAAATTCCCTCCGAATTCATTGAACAAGACGCCGCCCATTGATCGACAAGTTGAGATCGAAAGAACTGTAGGGATCACGCTGTACATGCTGGGGAATGTTCTTCCATTTGCGCTTCCCATGCTCTCCTTTGCGGCACTTTTGTCAGACATTGGGTATCTGTGTCTGAAGTGCTTCCTGGTCTACTTTGGAGCCTTGTTTTGCCTCAACAAGTACTACTTTTTGCCAATCTTTGTCAAGAAATACAAACGCAAGAAATACTTGTCAGATACCGACTATGCGGACAATCAATACCTGTAAGGAAATCATCATCACCATCAGGCAGCACCATTACCATCATCTAGTATCACTGACGCCATCAATAACATTACTGACATTACTGACACATTATCTTTTTGTCCTTTCTTTCCAGATACACCGAACGAAACAATCAAAAGTACATGAACTCGCAGTTTGTCTGGCCTGAATCCTTACATCGTCCGTTGATGGAAGAAAAGATGGGCAAGAGTCAACTACACCAGCCGATGATATTTTGCGCTATTCCCCATGGAGCCGCCCCACTAGGCATAACAGCATATCCCGTTTGGTCCAAACTCTTCAACAATCGATTGTGCCATTGGACGTGTGCTCCAGTGGTCCTAAAGCTGCCAATCATCTCGAATTATATGAGACAAATTGGGTACATTCCGGCCAAGTCGAGACACATTTTGGATACCCTCACCAAAAAGGAGGACAATATTGGAATCATTTTGGACGGGATCGCTGGGATGTTTCAAAGTCATGATGAGGTGGCTCACATTCGAGCACGAAAGGGCATTGTCAAGATTGCCCTACGGGCCGGTGCACCACTCGTACCTGTTTATGGATTTGGACACACATCGCTATGGAAAGTCGTCGTTGATCCGTTTGGAATTTTGGAAAGACTGTCCGTCAAGATGGATATATCGCTAACACCATTTGTAAGTATATGCATATGTTGACGCTAGCAAAGCATGACATCCCTCGTTCTCACGTCCATTCTTCCCCATTGACAATAACTATTCTTGCATTCAGTTTGGTCGATTCGGTTGGTTCTTGGGTCCACCGCAACGGGTAGCAGTCGCCATGTGCCTCGGTGAACCAGTGAGATGTCCCAAGATTGCGGAACCCACTCAAGCGGATATTGATAAGTATCATCAACAATTGCTAGATAGCTACAAGGAAGTCTTTGAACAGCACAAGGAGGCGTACGGTTGGGGAGACAGGGAGCTACAATTTGTATAGAGAAAAATAGAAATTGCTTTCTTCTTGCCTACTAGGACTATGGTCGTATCAGCAGTATTTTTCAAAAGTTATCATTACAATATAATACAGCATTATATATCTAATATTTTAATCGTACAGCATTTTGGGAATCAATAATCGCCATGGGGAACGTCCTTCCAATCGTTCGTTTTGCGCCGAGAAAGCTATATAGTGCTGCAACTATCTCGGCTTTACTAGAACTTGATCACCTTTAGGCTAAACGAATCAATGTCATATGACTCTGCCACTAATAGTCCGTCTACCGTCAGACTGTATCCTCCTCCAGACAATCTATATATAGTGTTTCACATATATTATTATAAAAAAGCGAGAGTTCATATAAATAGTTTGCGTTAGAAATAAGTTTCGAAGCGGATATTGATCAGAAGAACTACAATCTACAATGACAGACTTACCCATTCCCTCGGTAATTCTTCATGAGTAGAATGTATGGAGACTGAGGCAAACACTTTCTTGTTTGGTATGTCTCCCACTTCTCCGATCCCATTTGCGTCAGAACGCTCTTGCCTTTTGCAACGTTGATAATTTCCCATCCAATAACGCTGCCGTACCGGTATAAACGGAGAAGGAAGACATGAGCACAAAACGGCTGGCTGGAAAAGAAATAATATATGCAACGAACAGTCACACATCATGCAAAGAAGCAAAAAACTGACCCAGTATCATCACCAGTGAGAAGTGTGAAATCAACTTCCTTTTCATTCCATGCGCAGCTAATCACAGAACCAATGACGCCACCACTACCCCCCTGTGCACCGCTCGAGCCACGACAAAAGGAGCCCGAACTATCCCATTGCGTGCATCCGATCTGCTTGATCCATTGGACGGAGGCCCTATTGATTCCAGAGTAGACTCCCGGTCTTTGTCGGAAACCGCAGCCTGCACCCCAAGAAGCAATGCCTGCAAAAAAACATCAATGTGCAAAAAAACAAAAATGAGGATGTGATCCAATCATGATCTATGATAGATATCCAAGAATAACAGATATATCGGAAAGCTACCGAATATATATACTCACCAACTTGCACGTGCTGGTTTCCAACCACACGAACCAGTGGACCACCCGAATCTCCTTGGCAGGAGTCGCTACCGCCCTCTTGGTAACCTAAAAACAGCGAGTGAATGCCAAGATTATTTAGCATGTGAAAAAACACAATCTGATTTCATGTACCGGTACATAAGTTTCAAGAGACTCACCTGCGCAAAACATGGTGTAATCGATATCTCCGTCATACCAAGCTTCTCCGTTGCAGATGGCGGTTGGTATCATTTTCACAGTAACATCTCGAAGAGTGCCAACACCATCATCATCAGCGTCCTCCTCCAATGATCCCAATCCCATCACTTTTAGGCTTTCGCCTTCCCGAAGATCACCTTCCTCGTTCAGTGTTAGGACGATATCTGCATCCAAATAAACAGGTGGGTCAATCTTCATCAACGCAAAATCATTCTTGGCTGAATCGTCATCATAGTACGGATGTCGTGCCCATTCGGTAACTTTGGCAAAGGTCGCTCCCTCCGTAGAGTCGTTACCCCTATTGAAAGCTCCCACTAGGACGTAGTATCCCTGGAGCGGTGGATCGATCGATAGGACGATACTAGTGAGAAATCTGAATCATTGTTGCATACCAATGATGATGATGCTTACCCGGTAATCTCCACAATGTGCCGCAGTCAATACTAGATCTGGAGCAATCAAACTGCCTCCACAATTACCAAGGTCCACTATGACGTGAAGATGATGTTTAGCGTCACATCTTTGGCAATCGGTGATCATAAATAGCAATATGTAAATAGGTCCTATAGTTATCAAAACGTACCAAAGTATGGATAATCACCAAGGTTCGCTTCCTCTCCTCCCACAATTTGTTGGACTGCTTCTCCTTCACCTCCTTCGTCTCCTCGTGTCCATTCGATCTCGTCGAGTCCATCAAAATCAAAATCAATCTCGTCAAACTCAGATGGTGGAGTGTCTCGTCGTATTCTCCCTCTCAGTTTGTTGTTTGCGTTATTGGCTTGATTTCCCTCAGAGGCAACAATGCCCCATATCAGAAAGCCAAGCACAACCTGAACGCAAAACTGGACCGTCATGCTATAAAACAACAACAACTAGGGTTCTATATTATAATAAATCGGTATACTGTATGTTGAATGTGAAGAATTCAGAATGTGACAATGAGACCATGAAGTGAAAAAGCAATGACACATCCGCGTCCAAAGAACCTTCTAAAAAATTCAAAATTGAAAATCGCGGCGGAGGCAAAACACATGATCGAACTAGTCGACAAACTCCAAAACAAAAACTGTAACTACAGGTATATGTTACTACCATGAATGCAAATGTACTACCGGTACCGGTACGTATTGGCAAAATGTTCCTTGTGAAGGGCCAAGTATGTATATGAAGTTATTACAGTATTTCTATTATACAAACTATTGTTGTTGTGAGTTGACCCCAAGGACGTCCACAGGATTCAAAAACTTGCTAGAACTTGATCACCTTCAGGCTAAACATTTCATTGTCGTATGACTCTTCCACTAGTCGTCCGTCCACCGTCAGACTGTACCCTCCTCCAGATAACCTATCATCCATCGTTTGCGTTAGAAATAATGGTTCGTGACACTGACAAAAGTAAGAAATGACAATGAAAGACTTACCCTTGGCCTCTGAAATTCTTAATTAGAAGGACGTACGGAGACTGTGGCAAACACTCTCTTGTTTGGTATGTTTCCCAGTCCTCCATTCCAATTTGGGTCAGAACACTCTTTCCTTGTTCCACGCTAATGATTTCCCATCGAATGTCACCCCTTGAAAAAGTAAGAGCAAGATGCGAAGCTTGATTAGTAACCGTGTACGAGGCAGGTTCGACAACAGTATCATCGACACTTACGCAGTATCACCAGTAAGCAACGTGAAATCTGTTTCTTTTTCATTCCAGTCACAGCTAATGACGGAACCAACAACGGAAGGAGGCGAAGGAGGAGCCACAGCGTCGTTGCTTTCCCGAGTACACAATGGGCCCAAACTTCCCCATTGAGTGCAACCGACACCCTGAATCCATCGATAGGCCATGTCCACTCTCGAATATATTCCTGGTGCAAGTTCCTCACCGCAACCATCGCCCCAAGACACCACTCCTGCAAACAAACGATCAATTACAACAAAAGGATCGTGAGAATAGGGGTATCATGACATTAAATGCACCGACAGGCACGAACTCAGAATAACGTACCAACTTGAACGTGAGTGTTTCCAATCTTTCGAACCAGTGGACTTCCCGAGTCTCCTTGACATGAATCTTTCTTTCCCTCTGGGTACCCTTCAAGTGGAGCGATGGTTATAATTCGTGTTCATTATGAGATATCCGTCGTTGCATCGCAGTGTGCATTCATCACAAAAACTCGTATACTCTTACCTGCACAAAGCATAGTGTAATCTATTTCGTCGTCATACCAATATCTCCCATTGCATATCTCATTGGGTATCACTTTCACAGAGACATCCCTCAATGGGGATCCGTTTTCTTGTTCTTCGCCACCGTCCTCCAATAATCCCACCCCCATCACCGTCAGGTTTTCTCCTTGTACGAGATCATCTTGATCGTTGAGTGTTATGACAATATCAGTATTCAGATATACTGGAGGATCAATCTTGAGCAACGCCACGTCGTACTTGAGTGTAACGTCGTCAAAGTAAGGATGTGCGGCCCAATCCACCACTCTCACCAAGGTTGAACCTTCGGTGGAATCGTCTCTCTTGTTTGAGGCTCCAATGATTGCCATGTATCCAGTGTAGTCTTCACAATGCGCCGCTGTCAATACCAGATCGGGAGCAATCAGGGATCCGCCACAGTCACCCAAATCCACTGGGATACGAAGAAATCGAAGAAACCATGATGAGTAGCATCACATTATTGGCAAATCGTGATGCACTTATCCTCAAAACGTACCAAAGTATGGATATTCCCCAAGATCCACTTCTTCTCCACCCACGATTTGTTGGACCGCTTCTCCTTCATCTCCTTGTGTCCATTCAATCTCGTCGAGTCCATCGAAATCAAAGTCAATTTGTTCAATATGTGATGGTGGAATGTCTCTTCGTATTCTCGGTCTCAGTCTGTTGTTGGCATTTGCTTGGTGTTCCTCAGCTTCAACTACGCCACATACAAGAAACCCAAACACTGGCAATATTAATCTTCTTCTTCTTGTGGTTGATGGCATTGTTGTATATTATACCGGTAGTGGCGGACGAATTAAATAGATTAAATGTCTGTGAAAAGGGTTTGAAGGCAAAAACGTAAACATGTGTGTGGGCGGGAGATTTGAAAGCACGCTGCCACCAACAATTTGAAAGCTGGCTGGCGTTGCATGCACATTCAAAACATCTCGAGCGCGTGCGATGGTCATACTGTAGTCGATCCCACCTCTACTGTACCGGTACCTCTGGTAGTGAAAGAAACTATTTGTGAAAGATTACTGGTGAAAGTGAGGTAATGTGTGCTAGTTGACTACAGGGTGGAAAGCAACCCTTGCGTAGGAACGATATTCAGAAAGGAGAGTGATGATGTTTGGTGCGGTCAAAAATCTGACCAACATATCCGCCATCCTAACCGCTATGAACATCGCAGATTGAAAACCAAACGCGCAAAATTGAAAATAATTCAGAATTTGCGAAGGAGAGGATCGAGGGTCTCTCGTGCATACAGTATTGAATATATGTGGCCGCGCGTGCGATCGTAACATACATTAGTGTTTTTGGAAAAGGCAATATATTTATAATATAAAATACCGCGCAAGCAGCAATGACAGCATAAAGAGACCTCCATTATTCCTACAATAGGCCGATTGGCTGATATTGTTACATCATAGGATGGAAAAAGGCTACATGAAATTCTAACGATGTGAGTTTGAACGTACAAGCACATTTAGAACCGTCAAACGGTCAACATGGACAATCCAAGCAGCTCGCTACAGTATTATGTGGCAATAACTTTTTCGTTATCCTTCTGCCATTGATTCTGTGATATGGACAATCTTGGAGGCTATCATCCAAAAGGAAGGCAATTTCCATTGACTCTTCGGGCCATTCATTATTCACGACCGCAATAACTGTTTTGCCACAAACAATTTTAAAAGGCGTCCAACACACTTGGATTTCACAAACATTTTCATTTGGCGACACTCAAAGAGTGTTTTTCACAATCCTATATTCCTATATTGAATATATATATAGCACATAATATCATTTGATCCTCACTTTGAAGCTACCGTAGCTAAAATTCGTAACAAATTCGTGGAGCGATGGTTTATTATAATCCCGAAACTACCTATCCAATTTGAATGTGCACCGTGATTACTACAAAAGAAGTCGTCGTCATCCCTGGGACATTTTTTGTGTGCCTCTCGTCTCATCTTCCAAATCAAAAACCCCACAGGAAGATTATGATCATGCAGTTTGTTTGTTTGTTTGTTTGTCAAACAGCTCGCACACCACAATCGACGGTTCATTCATGAATCCATCAGCCATGCAGTATAGAACATAGAACCAACCGCATAACTAACGAGGAACCAATATGGATGATTGATTCAGCACAAGCTTATAATATATGAATGCATGAATCAATCATAATAAAGCTACCAAACAATGGTCCTTCTTGAAAATGGCACATTGTCAAAAGTACTCAGGGAAAGTCCACCATTCAGCCTCAGTTCGTAACCTCCTCCTTGAAGTCTGCGTAAAATATATCGTCAGTCAATATCATATAATTCGAATGGAAAGAAAAAAAACGATGTGTGAGTCACATGTGGTCTTGGATGTACAGTATATAGTAGTATAGTAGACTGTATAGTCGTGCGAAAGTCAATCCATATATAATGATTGATTATCACCATGATATATCCAACAAAAACAACGATAACAACAACAACGATAACAACAACAACAGAAACACGTACCCATCACTGGCTTGGTCTTGAATCAAGAGTTGGTAGGGCGCTATTGGGATGCAACTAACCGCCCTGTATTCTTGCCAGTTTGCAAGATTCGACTGTTGGACCAGACGAGCCCCATTGGCTCGATTGGCAAGGCTCCAACTGATTTGGGCACTGCCATAATAAAAAGGAACGAATGAATGAACGAATGAATGAATAATAAATGCATCAATGTGAGTTAGCAACATGATGATGTATATGAGTGATTTCAATTCATTCCAAATCCATTTTGATACAAGAAGCGGTAACTTACCCATCGCCATCCGTTTTCAAATAAAAGTCAAACTTGTACTGGTTGGCACCGCAGTTATTTGGATCATTGGTGTATTGGTTGTTGTTGTTGCTGCCACTGTTCTGATTTTGACTTGGTGTTCCACCACTGCAGAGACTCCCACCACTACTTCCCCATCGATTGCAGGCTTGATTTCGAATCCAGCTATAGGCGACACTGACACGGGCATAGACTCCAGGCTTGCGTGCTCGAGCACATCCGTCTCCCCAAGAAACTACATATATATTGCAGTAATAATAGATATATCATAGATGACATGTGGTACAATCATGGTGGTGGTGGTGGTGGTGAGAAATGTTGTATATAGCACTAAAAGGTGCGGCTTACCTCTCGGCCATACTATATAACACTTACCAATTCCAACTTGAATGTGTTGGTTTCCAATCTTTCGGAGAATGGGTGCACCCGAGTCTCCTTGACAGGCGTCTCTTCCACCATTTCGATAGCCTATAATGTTGCAGTGTGTGAGTAGAGTCATTACATTGTGGTTAGAAAGAAAAAACAAGCAAGTTTGGACAGAATGAGTACAACACATCACAACAACATTACAATTGTACAATACAGTAATGATGATATATTTGCTTACCCGCACAAAACATGGTCTCATCATTGAGACGACTGCTATACCACTGCCTCCGTTGACACAATTGACTTGGCAAGCTGCGGACTGTCACATCCCTCACGGTATTCGAAAGTGGACCACCTTCAAATTGGGATCCCATTCCAACAACGTCCAAGTTTTCGTAATCCTGAAGGTTGCGTTGCGAATTGAGGGAAAACTGAACATTGGTATTGAGATTGACTGGAGGCGATATTTTGAGAAGTGCAAAATCATATCGAAAGAGGGCCTCATTGAATTGAGGGTGACGAGCCCAATCGACCACTGTCACAGTTGTCGCTCCCTGTGTAGATCCATCCCCATTAATATAAGCTCCCACAATCACTCGTTCACCTGAAAAGGATCCACAATGTGCGGCAGTTAAAATCACATCGGGTGCAATCAGGGTTCCTCCACATCTTCCCATGTCCACTATGATCGAGCCAAGAAAGAAAACAATGTGAATACAAGGTCAACATCATATACATATATATTATATATATCCATTCAAAAAGGAGACGAAAAGGACACACATACCATAATACGGATATTCACCAAAACCAGCTTGATTTCCGCCAACAATTCGTGGTTGCATTCTTTTCGACGAAACATCTTCCCGACGAAAAGCCGAGGAAAATTGGAGTGGACTTTTGAGCGTGCGGTTATATTGTGTTGACGCTGATGCAGCTGCTGATGTTTCTTCATCTTCTTCCAATTCATCTTCGTATTCATCTTCGTATTCTTCTGCTAATTCTTCTACTTGCACAACCACAACGTCGACAAGCTCCGAATTGCCTCTTAGATTACTTCTGGCTTCAGTTTCTACTTGCTGAGCTTTCACAGTGACTAATTGACATGATGCTATGCAATAAAGAAGCAACGAAAGCGTCCAAACCGAATTCATCTTGGTGACGCTATACGGTTGAATCTCTAGAGAAAGAGAGGTGATGACTATATATGATATATAATACTCGATCGTACTGTGGATTCTCGTTCTTGATTTTCTATTTTCATCGGATTATTCTGTGGTCAAATTGCATACCTACACGGCGGCTTGCGCGCTCGGGCGTCACCGCAACGGTATTTTCTTCGTAACGGTGTATAAGTGTTGAGAATTTTCAAACATGAGAAAGCCGTTGGAGTGATTACACACATGACACATTTAGGCGCGAAACGAGCTTGGCCTCTTGTCACTGTGACACCATGATGACTTTCACTGATTCAACATGGAGGGAAGGGATCGTGTAAAAAATGATCCAAAATACAGGAGCATTCGACATCCGACAAAATTAAAAGAACTGTGAGAATACGAGTTGATAATATAATGACAATGTTTCAGTTTTGCATCCAATTTGCGCTTATTGGCGTTTTGATATGCGGAATTGCTGTTGAAGCTGCAGCTGCTGCTGATGAGCACCAGCAAGCAAATAATTTAGTAAACAAACGACTGAGAGCGAGAATACGAAGAGACACTCCACCAACTGCCGACTTTCAGGAAATTGACTTTGACTTTGACGGAAACGAGGTTCTAGAAGTATTAGTGGGAGAAGATGAAGAAATGAATCTTGAAATTGTTGATGGAGAAGCAGTCCAACAAATTGTCGGAGGAGATGAATCGACACTTGGTGAATATCCATACTTTGGTAAGTATGCGTGTTTTGACATCTATTCACCACCAATATTTGAACCTTTGATGTGTGAGTTAAAATTAATCATTAATTCATTCGAATCGTCATCCCGCAGTGGATTTTGGCAACTGTGGAGGCACTTTGATTGCCCCGGATTTGATATTGACAGCGGCGCATTGCGAAGACTACAGAGGATACTTGGGCCTTGTCGGAGCTTACAACCGAGGCAATGATTCGACCGAAGGAGCGACCTTTGTCAAAGTCACCGAATGGGCCCAGCATCCCTATTATGACGACTATACGCTCAAGTTTGACGTGGCATTGATGAAGATTGACCCGCCTGTTTATTTGGATTCGGATATCGTCCTGACACTGAACGACCAAGATGATCTGTCGGAGGGTGAAAGCCTCACGGTCATGGGGCTGGGAGTATTGGAGGAGGACGCCAATGACGATGGAGTTGATACTCTTCGAGATGTTACTGTGGAAATGATTCCAAATTTCGTCTGTAACAGCGAAGATTGGTATGACGAAGAACTGGATTATACCATGTTTTGTGCAGGTGTGTGTTGTATAATGTCATTTTTCTGTCACGAGCGATATTCAGATTTCATGTTTGTATATCAACTAATTTTTGCTGATTTTTGTTGTTTTTGCTCTTGCTCCTGCTCCTTCTTTATAGGTTACCAAGAGGGTGGCAGAGATTCATGTCAAGGAGATTCAGGTGGCCCTCTGGTTCGAAAGATTGGAAACCGACATGTACTAGTTGGTGAGTACCGCATTCAGCTATGTGTCATCGTCGATATCGGGACGTTGCTCGGATCAATCTCATTTTGCTTTATTTGTAATCGATGTTTTGTTGCAGGAATTGCTTCTTGGGGCGGAGGCTGTGGTTACCAACAAAAACCTGGAGTTTATTCTAGAGTCAATCTGGCCATGCGATGGATCAAACAGGTTGGGTGCACGGAATGGGATAGTCCGAGTTCCTTTTGTCGTGGTCCGAGGAATAGATTGGGTGGCGTCGATAAGTGTGCTGTCAATGAAAAGGAAGTCGATTTCACTCTACTCACTGGAGAAACTGAGTACGTCTTGATCGATGGATGGGTTTTATCGATTTTTGGAATCCACTGTATTGCTAATCACCTTTTGTTGCCTATTATCATCAGTGGCGAGGTTGAATGGGAGATTGCCAGCTTTGAGGCACAACGGACTATACTGAGGGAAACTGGTGACGAAAAATGGGAGACCTATCAAACGAGAAGGTGTTTGCCACAGAATACCTACGTTCTAATGATCAAGAATCCAAGAGGCCAGGGGTAAGTCATCAGAGCATTTCCATTCATTATGTATGCTGTCAGTCTAAATGAGATCAGAGGTTTCTAACGCAAATGATGAATGAACTTTCAAACTTTTATAATTTGTCGAACGATAGATTGGCTGGGGGTGGATTCAGCTTGACGGTAGATGGACGGCTAGTGGAGGAGTTGTACGACAATGATTCGTTTAGCTTAAAGGTGATCAGATTCTAGAAAATGTGGAAAGACCAGATCCAATATTGACCTCAATACTCTTGAGCGCCGAGAAATTGCCAGGGAGATTGACCGTTGGACGTTTGGGGAAGGTTCAAATTTCGATCATCAAAGGCATGGCTCCAAGCACATAGCACGGCTTGGAAGAAGCCCTTGTCTCTCTTCACGTTGCGTTTGTTTGCATGACATCTGCATCACTTGGCGTACCAGATACTCCGTTGGCCCCATGAACTATCATAGCGTTGATGTCAGTGTTGGTCATTCTTGGATGGGTCGGAGGTCGGTGACGAGAACGAAAACCTTACTCCGAGCCAAGATAAAGAGCATTGGCGAACGACAAAGAGTCCAGTTTAAACGACATTACTGTACTACTAATCCTACAAGCGTTCAATTTATCTGAAATGACTTCTTGTGCCCCTTTCCAGTCCAATGCATGGACAAACTTCTTCTTCGTGCAGCTAATCACTCTTCCCTGAAATTCTGCAGAACCCTGGTTCGGTTCGTGACGTCAGAAACATCAACAATCTTCAAGTTGCGACCATATTGGCCAATTATATACGTGTCTCTTGTCGAATATACAAGAACGTAGAACCCGACTAAATGTCAAGAATGGCGTCATGTCAATAACCGACGTATATTTGACACCAAACTGCGTAACATCACTGGCTCACAAATACACCAAACCTGACATCACCCACCACATCACACAAAAATCCAATCAACTCAATTTTATAAAGCTAAAGCGTAGCACACAAATCAAATGATCTCTGTACTGAAACTCAGTATGTTAGCACTTTCCTTTTACTCCACACTGGCTGAAGCGAAGACGGGCACCCGCGCCTTTCAGCAAAGTAGTGGTGGTGGTGCTGTCATCATTCCTACTCAATCATCATTCAATACCGAACAAGAGGATGGACTCTTGGTGAATCCACAACTCACCGAGTCACCACTTTCTATTTTGGCAGACGACTTTGACCATGCAATGGTCGTCATGAATCAAGATGATAATGACATTCATGTCGGAAATCTTCTCTCGGCCTGCGAGAAACTCCAATCCACAATTCGGGAATTGGGCTTTGTCAGCTCGGCCAACGACATGGCCAGTAACATTGCTAAAGTCCGAAATACCTACTCCAAACTTCCAATTACCCAACGAGACTCCATGCCTGCTCTATTGAAATACGAACAAGATGTAGGCATTACCGAAAAGGACAGAATCAAGGATTCTAGTGCCACCATGGGAATTTTGTGGCTCGGTCGCTCTATAAACTATCAACGCGATATGTTCCTTTACATATTGGAACACCCAGAAGCCAGTCCTTATGATGCCGCCAGTCATGCCTACGGTGCCACAGTCAAGCCACACTTGTCCTGGCCATTGCAACGGCTTGGACAAGCTGCACTCAACGGTCTTCGTTCTATGCAAAAGGAAACCATCCTCGCACACATGGGAGGATTTGACGAAAAAGAATATAACAGTGCCAAAGACTGTGCTACCAGGCAACGGATGAGACGAGTCTTGGCCTCTTGGAATCCAATCATTCGCAGATGGAACCAAGTGCTAGAGGACATGGGCCTTGAGAAACTGTGAGTACTACTGTACTGCCTCGTGACTCCTCGACAATTACTATGATGATTCTACTGGCGGACAGGGATCATCACATGCTACAAACCCGACGACATTGAACATGATGAAACCATAGAGATGCACAAACAAGCTATCATTGTATAATATGAACTTATAAAGAAACACAGGCCAGATCATGTATATAATACTCAGGACGACCATTCTTCTTGTTCCCTAGAAAATTATTTTGAAGTCAATTTAAAATTCAATACTGTATGTAATAAATAATACTATCTGCACTTCCAGCCGCACCGGGTACCAGGTACCAGGGTACCCGCATGCAATAAGTAAGGTCTACAGAAGTAGAAGTTCCCAAATGGAACTAGATCAGTTCTATTGCAACTTCAATCCAAGCATTTTTAATTTGTTTCTATATTGTACTATTCATTTGGCTTGGTTCTATAATATTTCATATTCATATAGTGTCCATGTCGTTGGTAGCAGAATGGATTGTGAAGGAAAAATTATCATGAATTGGACTATTATTTAAGAGTACTAGTTCTTACAATAGCACATGAATTACAAAACTGGTGTGGCCAACGGATTGGAAGTCTGACCAAAGCCAAGAGTTTTTCGTTCTTGACATTGTGGAGTTCGTATCCGCCGTGGGAGTCCGAGAGAAGCGCCGGCATTGGTGTTAGCCAGCCCTTTGCCTTGGGACCAGCGATTTTGATTTGGAGATTGCATCAGCTGAGGAGGCATTGCCACCACTTTATTCTTATGCCGTCTTGGAGAAGTCAATGGTGCAGTATTAGGTCCACAAGAAGGAAGAGTATCGGAAAAGTCAAAATTATCGGCAAGAGATGGCCGCGCAGGACCTCTGGGAGGGCAGGCCCTTCTTCCCATTCCAGGATCCATGGACCATCGTCTCGATCCATGGCGTGCAGTGACACTTGTCAGCTCGCCATAGAGACTCACGGCTCGCAAATGCGAACGATGGCAAGGTTCTTCCGTCACGTTGGAATATAGACTGGCAATCCCATCAGGATTGTTTTCGCCTTCGTCCATCTGACGCTGTTGTTCCGAAAAGACGGCATTGTGGGCACAGTCCATGAAAACATGTCTTTCTTGATTCTGTGATTTCGAGACTAGCCCCAGTACGTCGTCGTCTGGCCCCACATCCCCTACCATCTTGAGACGCTTCAATAGCTTTCGCTCTCGTTTGTTCATCCACAAATACTCGGCTGCGGAGTAATAAGAGGCGGAATATTCTTCATCTGTCAACTCGTCCAAGGTTGGAATGTCGTGGACTCGGTATTCCTCCGCAGAGAAGTGAATGGCTTTGCTGGCTGTCATTATTGCTGTATGGTATTGTATGTCTCGTTCAATACCAGTAATCGGTAGGATACAGTAGATGCGTTTTTTTATTTTTGTTTTTTGCTTGCCTTTGTGGTTGATGAAGGATCAAGTTCAAAGTGAAAGTGTAAAATTTTATAATTTCATTTGTGCTCAAAAATGTGATGGTGAAGGGCGGTCGTAAATGTGATTCCTTGGGACATTCTGGTCATACAAATGACCTATTGATAACCAGTCTTCCCTTTTTCTTTTTTCTACTTAGGTCAGGGGCCAAAATGGTCTTAAGGAACTTAAGTCACGGGACTTTTTCGACGGTTCGACTCTCCGAAGAAATCACGACCCGAAATTGTAGGGGCAACATCATCTCTTTTGTCGAGAACGTTTCGTTCTCAAATCTTCCGTTTCTTCCTGAAGAGTGTTCGCTCTCTTATAAATCTTCAACAGGTCATGTGCTTCCAAGAACCTAAGCAAACCTCTGACCAAGAGCAACATTATGGGCCCGATACACATCAACTTAATCTTGTCAACATCAACCATCCGATCGGATTCGTCTTTACCTAAGGAGCATCGCATTTTGTAGTACATTGACTCTTCCACCATTGTTTCACAAGCACCAGTTACAATGATATCAAGGATTCGACTTCATCACCAGCATACCGTAGCACCATTTCGTAATGTATCGACTCTTCAAATGATGATATATTATGTATATTATATTACCCCCTTACCAGGTACCATGGGTTCTACTTCATCACCAGCATCGCGCAAGTAGTCGTGTGAACTATTTTACAAGTACCAGATGTTGGTATTTTGAAAAATACCAGATACCATGGTACCTAGAAGCAAGAAGACAACTTTATCTTGTTCTTTTATTAGTACTGCAGGATTTTTCCTACAGTAGATACATCACCTGTGATATCAACAGTTTCTCCGAGAAACGACAAATGTCATTGGACGAGCACTTAGTAGGCAGGAGAAGATTGAGGCATGGCCTTGTAATGAGTTGGTGGAAGAGGTGTTTGGTGGTGTCCGTGGCACTAATGTACCTTCTTGTTCTTGTCGTTTCTGTTTTCACAACTGGTAGGCGTGTCATTTCTAGTAGTAATAGGTATGATGATGGCCATCGTGTTAAACAATGATGATGCCAGAATTCCTCCAAGCAAGGACGCAAAGTGTGAACCTTGATCTCGTCGCCACTGTGAAGAAAGTGTTATTAGCACTATGTGACCCTCCTCGTCGTGCCCTCCTTGTCGTGATCTGCGGGACTACTGTAAGGAAGTGCCATTGTGGTACCAGGCATGCTGAGCACATGTTTAAAATATAGCTTCCAATATCGCGCTGTAATAAATATATTATATAAAATAAAAAAAATTCAGTCCCACTTACCGGTACACTTAAATTGACGATATATATGTGGCGTCCAAAATATGATCGTGGAATAGCGAAGAAAGTTTTATTTGCGGAACACGTGCCTATTATCCTCATTGGCCGGCGCTTTTGTTTATAGAGGTAAATAAAACCGGCATATATATGCCAGCATTTCTTCTAAGACAATACGCAACAAAGCAGGTGATCACCAAACTGCCCAATTCTTCAACACTGCAAGCCTCAGAAGACATTATCGGGGACGGAATCAGGCAAGATATTCGTTGATAAAGGATTCACATATGTGTATCTGGGCTTGAAACTTGCCACATTCGTGTCTTTCCAAGGTTCAAATAGGTTCTGTGCGGCGACATCATTAATCTGAAAACCTGAAGCCCAAAATAGAATCACTTCTTCCTTCAGATTGTTTTCTGGCGTAAGGTTGCTCAGGCTGTATGGACCGGAATAAGGTGGAACAAAATCTGAATGCGCATAACATGAATGCAGACACAGACATAGATACTACTTCGAAGGACATGGAAACATTGAAATCATCTGATTCCTCAAAGCCGAGACTGAAAACGGATAATGAATTGGGATCACCACCAAGGACCTTGCGTCAAGTCAGACACATACCGTCACTGGTTCCACCACTTAATGGCGACAGTTCGCTGGACGGAAGGGAACCCGATGGGGGATCTCCAGTCGTACACAGCGGCGAACGAGTTGTCGGGCCTTTGCACTTACCATCATCAGAAGCATCATCATCAAATTCATCAAATGCTAACGTTGTATCTCAGAGGAACGGCCGAGTACTTGCTGCGGGTATGGCACCTGTGCCAGAAGATAGCGTTGTCAAATCAATTGGTGTCCGCCAACAACAGCTTCCTTCTCAGCGAACGATGTATAACAAGAAAGAAGTTTCCAGTTCGTTTAGCATGACTGCTTTCAACGAAGAGGATACTGATGCCCCGTCATCAGGCCATTTCGGCATAGAAAGTGATGACAGTTCCGTATTATCTTCCGCCAATGAGAGCATTGAGATTGTTCCAAAAGAAAAACCAAATCCATCATCCCTGTTGAAGGTGAGCAGGCAACCATCTCGACGGGCTGTTGCAGTTCGACAGCGGCCGTCATTGGCCACTCCTACAACCGCTGTTGGCGATCCATTGCAAGCGGAAGAACCAGACGCTGGCATGTCAGTTGTGCTTTCAGCTTCCCAACGAAATCTCAGTGCACGAACCTCGACACAAGTCACTCGGCAGTTGTCCTTGGCACAACTTGACACATCGGAGCCGGAGTCCATGGAATCTAACTTGGGTCATATGTCTTGTGAATCAACCACGGAAATGCAACCAGCGGGATCTTCCCATGCTGCACGACCAATTGTGATGCCTCAAAAGGGAAGAAAGCAAAGAGTCTCTCGAGTGACAAGGGTTGGCACGAATAATGCTCAGATTACCTTTCAAGCATGGTCGAGAAATGAAAATCCAAATACCAACAATAGGAAAAGCACAAATACGAATACTGACAGCAATGTTCCCACCGCTGCGGTACCGCCAGTCAAAAGTCTTATCCGAATGCTACCAGCATCACAACGAAACCGCGCTGCTCGTGCCTCTACAACGGTCACCCGACAGCTGTCCTTGGCAAAACTTGACACATCAGAGCCGGAGCCCATGGAATCTTCTACGAGTCGAATTTCTTCCGTATCAACGATGGCAATACAATCAGTAGGATCTTCCCATGTTGCACGACCAGTTGCTCTGCCTCAAAAGGGAAGAAAGCAAAGAGTTTCTCGAGCAAAACGAGTGTCTAAAGCCGTTCCTGATATGCATAATGCTCAAATCACCTTTCAAGGATGGTCGAGAAATGAAAGTCCAAAATCCATCAATAGAAAACCAGATGGCGAAAGCAGTAACACGACATCTGTAAGCAGTAAGTCTCGTATACATTCTGTCAATATGGCGACGGGGGAGATGATTGGCGCTGCGGAATATAGCACAGGACTATATTCTGTTGCGGAGATGCCGGAGAAAGGAGGCCTTGGCTCGATGGAAACTATCACCAAGGATATTAGTAGTCGCAGCACCTCCTCTCGAAGTATCAGTCTGAGTAGTTTACGGGACACGACAGGCCGGAATTACAGAAACCTTGGCTGGAGTTCAACCGAAGCTACCACGATTGAGAACAGTGATCGGAGCACCTCTACTCGAAGCATCAATGTTAGCAGAGGACGCCAGCAGAATTATAGTTCCGCGCATACCAGAAACAGTCATTCGCCATCTCTGTCTCCAATTGAAGATTCATACAGCTACCGGATACCGAAGCATCAGCAACAACTGTACCAGCGACAGCAGCAGCTGCGAAATTCAACTTTGGCTTCACCTTTTGCGAGCCCAACGAAAGCTGGTTCCAATCGGTCATTGCCAGTCAAAGAAGTGATTCGAAATATTGTGTCTCCCCCAATGCTGGAAAACGCGGAAACACCACTACATTATCGAGCCCAGCAATCATTCTCCAAAGAAGATCCTCAGACAACCGATTCATCCATTGATGCATCAGATGACTCGATTGATTCTTTACCACTAGAGACTCCAGAGACCAAAAACTTTGATGGCGTTGCAGCAGGAGACGAGGACGGTCCCGAAATTATTACGGACAGCCCAAAAAGGAACATGAGTGCTGAAGACATGAAAATTCAGAGCTACAACAACAAAATGGGTCGCTCAGCTTCTGCTAGGACAACATCTCGCGCTCCGCCGATGACAGGGAAGCGAGCCTTGTCCACCTCTAACGGAATCGGTGCTAGCTATTCTCATTCTCAATTTGTCGGCAGTGATTCACGATTTCGCTCACCCACCGCTTCTTCTACTCGACACATTTCTAGTCGGACAGGGCCAGCATTTGACGAGGATGCGGGATCAGTGTCTGGCACTGAAGTACCAGGAGCAGTATCGATTGCCCGCGATGGAAATGAAGCTATCTATGACACATATCGCAGAAAGGGAAACTTTACAGAGCAGAACTCATCGCAGGCAGTTCTAAGCGTGACGAGCGAACATGATATGGATACATCTTTTCGTGGACATCGGCAAGACGAAGAGCAGCAATTGCAGCGGCCAGCTTCTGCCATTAGCATACAAGGCCAACGGCCAGTGCCTGCCACCAGTGTAGCTACTGCGTCCGTCTCGGTAGTCCCTTCGGGTCTTCATGTGAGAGGGGTTCATGCTGATAACGAACGTGTCTCCTTGGCTACTTTGAATTCAGTCGATATGGATGCGGACAAGACATCATCTGCATGCTATCGCAAGATATGTCTTTTGGTAATGATTTTACTTGCTGGTGGTGCCGCGGTAGCCGGTTCATTACTAGCTCCTAAGTCTTCTGACACTCCTTTACAGAATTCCAACAATCCTCCGAGCAACAAACCAAGTGTTGCTCCATCAGAAGGTCCGAGGGATTTGGGCAGGCTGGAGGATATTCTAGAAGCATTGTTGCCGCTTTCAACAAAAGAAGCTATGACAGATTCGTCCCATGCGCAAAACCTGGCAATTGAGTGGCTAGCATTTTCGGATCCCGCACAACTCGATCCTGGGGATGAGAATATGAGCGAGCGCTATCTGGTTGCACTCTTTTATTATGCCATGCAAGGGGATAATTGGTTCACTTCTGATAATCATCTCTCTGGACGGCCAGTGTGTGATTGGAAAGGAATTACATGCACTACTACTTCACCTAGTGGGACAAAGGAAACAGTAATATCCATTCAGCTTGGTAAGCCAAATCTTGCCCCTTTGCAGAATCTACATTTTCTCCACTATAACCATCTCATTCTCTTTCGTTGCAATCAATTGCAGAACGCAACAATTTATCAGGTTCCATCCCCAATGAGATTGGCAGTTTTAGTTCCCTGCAGCGTCTGTACCTAAGTAAGTATCTAGCTATCGCCCAACTTGAGTGGCCCAAAGACCCAGCATCAACTCAACTTCCTCTTTCTTCTGTAGCTGGGAATCAAATCCGGGGAAGCTTACCAGGTACGCTTGGGAACTGTACAAATTTATTTGAGCTTGGTCTTGGAGGCAACGCAATTTCATCCACATTCCCATCCGAAATTGGTTTGCTGACAAACCTTGTGGAACTAGGAGTCGAAAGCAATCAACTGTCAGGGGAACTTCCAGCTGCGATCGGCAGCCTCAGTAGTCTGTCATTTCTCAGTCTGTCGCGAAACAGAATCACGGGCACTTTACCGAAGACAATGGGAAATCTTCGAAGCCTCGAGGCACTCCTAATGCAGTCGTGCAAAGTGGAAGAGCTTCCTTCGGAAATCAAGGAACTTACTCAGTTGAAGCAAGTGGACCTTGGAGACAATCTGCTGTTCGGACCTATCCCTTCGTGGCTTTCGAGTCTGTCCAGTTTGACGAGCTTGAAGCTCGATTTCAACCAGCTATCTTCAACCATACCCTCTGATTTCGGAAACTTTTTTAATTTGGAGCGGCTATGGCTAAACGAGAACAGTGATATTACGGGTGATGTACCTTCAGAACTTGATAACCTATCGAAGCTTGATGACCTGCAATTGCACAAGACGTTCCTGACAGGTGGACTTGAAAGCGTATTTTGTTCACGAAATGGATCTCTTCCGACATCTTTGACCGCAGATTGCAGAGGTGTAAATCCAAGTATACAATGCACTTGTTGCACCACATGTTACTAACTAGTCAATGAACCCAGTCATCCAATGGACGAATAACTAATATTAGGTTGAAATAGAATAGATCAAGAGTGTCACCTGTGTTACATTAGGTTTGTTTCACCTTATCGATTCGTCATACAATGCTCAAAGCCCAATGAATGGGCCAACATATGCCTCGAACTGGCATGTAGTCCTAATAACCAATCCCAAAACTAAAAGCATCGACAAAATCACACAGATCCTGATCTGCCCATTGTAGACGATTACGTCGAAAAGAGACAGATTTGGATTCGCAATCAAGTCACAGTATCGACTTCTAAGGACAATGGCTTCCTCCAAAATTTCGTCTGAAAGATACACAGCCAATAATCGATTAGAGCCAAAGAAGGCAAGAGAATGATTTCAAGATTCCATCTTTTCACTTACCCAACGAGTAGTTAGTTTTGCAACGTGCTCCACCATTTGTATATCGAATCCATCCAAATGGAGTATCTCGTTTATCAATTGCCCCAAGGTTCTTCCATTTGCCACCTTTTACTCGGTGCTGAACTACAGAATCACTAGTAAGAAGCAACATGCTTCCATCGCATTTAATCTGCACCATCACATCAATCGTCTCTGGATAGACAACAGTTGCGTTGTACTCCTTGCTCACAGGAGCGTCTACTTCATTGTCCCATTTGTCACAATCAATCGAAGGTCTCCGCATAATGAACGTTCCAGAAGTAGAATGAAAAGTGAACCGATGTTGCCGAATCCTCCTTCGAATATCTGCGATGCATACGACGTTTGTTTGTGATATAGGTCCCTTCGTTTTCTCCGCTATCGTTGTCGAAGAATCCGTTTGCATCGGCGGGAGTGTTGTATTGTTTTGCGCAGCGGGATCGAGCCTTCCGGCAACCTCAGCCTGCATCTCAGAATAGTAGCCATCGAGTCTTCTCATGGCCTGGTTTCGAACAGTCTGAAACGTTGATGTCAGATCAGAGGCAGGCGCACCTGGATTCAGAAGGAATCGATCAATTCCGAGAAAGGACTTCTCGAGCTTCTTGTCCATACTAGAATCTAGTTGTTGCATCGCAGAAGCCAATGATCTGTGCACTGATGGTGCATGTGAGAGGACTCCTTGTGTCTCGACCTCCGCGTTTCCTAACAATGGCCTCTGCAGTTCTTGCTTTCCGGTTTTTACTCGGGGCCGCTCAAATGATTCCATTTGGCTAAGGCTAGCCGCGCAATCCGATTCTTCTTGAAGCTTGATGCTGGAAACCTCTTGCGATTTTTGCGAGGCATCATACGTGGACTCGCCGCCAGACGACTGAAGTCGTTGCAGCAGTGCTGTTATTTGGCTTTGTACCACATGAAGTTTCTCGTCTAGTGTCTTGTCCTTTCTGGAGTAGTAGTCGACTTCTTGTCTACTCGCTGCAACCAAGTTCTTGATTAAGTATGTCTTTTCTGTAACTGGCGCCGAGTTGTACTGATTCGCCATGCGCTCGCATGATTCCATAGCCGATCTGGCATTTTGAAGTTCCTTGTTATTTCTTTCCTTCTGCTGCCGCAAATCTTCCGCTTCTCGCAATGCGTTATCAAGCTTGGCTTGACTTGAAACTGCCGTCTCGGTCTCTTCCATTGTTTTTGGGGAAAAGTAGGAATCAAAATGATCATTTTGGTCTGTTTGTATCGTTAGTCGTTCCGTAACCGATGCAAGATTAGTGTTCAAGGAAAGTTGGCGGCTTTGCCGAGACGAGACGATTTCAGAGCTGGGAGACTCGTCCGTGTTTGAGTCCATTGGATGTTTCCACAGCCCAGCTTCAAACGAATCATTCCAAAACGACGACTTGTCGCCAGGTGTATCTTCTTCGTCCGATTTCTCTATCTGCCCCAAATCAGAAATTGCTTCTTTTCCCTGCGCCAAACATCGTCGAAGTGTCAGGAGACTTTCGGAGGAATGTTCAACTCCGTCACATGAGAAGCTTCCATCTTCACTTGACTGTTGTTCCATTTCCAATTGGCCCTCTCGAAAGGCAATTCCTTGTTGCTGGTCTGCCATTTGCGAAATAAGCGATTCTCGGTCTCCCTTTTTAAGTTTCGATGGTGAAGAGTTCAGCTTTTCTTGAATTTCAGTCAAGTCCATCGAGAGTTTGGCGAGTTCTTGTGTCAAGAAATCAACTCTGTCACTCTGCTTGCTAGTAGTAGATTTCTTTACGCTTTTCCCCTGAACATCCGAAACGTGCAATTGAAGCAGTTCCATTACTTGTACTTGACGAGATAGCCACTTTGCTTCTTGCCCATTCCAGCTCTCAGTCAGTATACCGTTGGATGGCACGGATGTCTCCCCAATGTATTCCTCTGCGATTTGGAGGCAAGAAGTCGCTCTCTTTTGAAAAGCATCCAGCTGCTCCAACGTTTTGGTTGCATTCGTGTCCTTCCGGTTAAAGCTCAAGGCCAATTGCAAGATTCCGTCATCGGCAAGCTGAACTTGACTGGATAGCTCAGTTCGCAGGTCCCTATGGTTGATTTGGTTCACTAGGTACTTGACAAAGGGATCCTTCGAGGAATCGGCATACAACAGCTCAAGTCGAATCGCCTCCAAAAGTTCTTCTTGACTTGACCATCCTGTCATTTCTTGCGACGACTTTATGTGGTGCATTGACGACTCGACCATTTGAATGTAATCTTCTATTGCTTCTGTCGGAACCAGCTTTTTCAATTTCTCATACACAGTGTGAACGACTGGATGCTGCTGATGATGGTGGAACGAATTCAAATAAATGTCCAAAAGTGCTCGTCGAAACCAAAAGATGGCATTTTGAGTTTCATCCAATGACAGGTAACAATCCCCCAGCTTGAACATGAGTTGTGGGGTAGGCCTAGCATATTGTTCCCATTGCGTTGCCGTTTGAAATGCCTTTTCGAATGCAACCAAGGCCGACTGATAATCTTTTGCTGTGACCTTCTTGTCGCCACGAGCTTCATACCGCAACGACTTTTCAATACTCATCAAAAAGTCCTGAATGGACTCTTGACGCTCATCATTGGATGATTCGACCAACTTTCGAAACGCCCACCGTACGGCTTGCCGAGCTTCTTCTGTGGACTTGTGGTTGGAACCACACATTCGAAGGCGTATCCGTAGTGCCATGGAAAATGCTTCGAGGCATCGTTGATAATCGTTGTATTTCTTTTCACCAGTCGACTTTTGCAGAATGAATCCAATCCAAAAGTATGTCTTGGCTGTCAATAAATGATAGGTGCCCAAGACAGGCTCTAAAATCAGCAAGGCGGAAGTGAAGGCTGATTTGGCGGATTCTGAACGTTTCGACTTCCATTCGGAACATCCTTTGGAACAAAAGGAAGAAGCTTCCTTCAGAAGGGACTCCTTTTTCCTTCTTGGATTGACGGGCGTCGTTGACGATGTGTATTTTGGTATTTTGGAAGCTGGAGTTCTTGATCTTGGCTTCTTGTTGGAGACGGCTGACGTACTACTCCTGGCACTACTTGTTGCTGGAGGAGATTGAAGGATGGGATCCTCCTTACTGATGATGGTGTCCATGCTTCCCATGAAAGATCGATTGACTACTGTAGTTGGTGTATTGGGCCACAAGTTGATAGTATGATGATATTGTTGGAACTTTCCCTCACACAAGAAAACCTCCTGAATTCTGAAAGACTTATTTTCGGTGCTGGAAATAAGTCTCAGCTTCCATGGAAGATGAAAAGTAACGGTAACATCAAAATCTGGTATTCCCGTTGAATTTTTAATTAACGGTCGATTTCTTTTACCGGTATTTTTTTGAGAATTCTGTCAGTCTGCCGTCGTCAGTCACATCCAACAATTTGATGGATATGCGACGACGCGCGCGCACGACGATGACATCAACAGTCAGATATTTGTAAGGCATAAATATCATAGAACTTGACCACTGAACTTTCCAACCTGCTTCCCGCCTTTCTCTTGCAATCCAGACATTGATTCATCTACGAGACGTTTCATAGCGAAACCATGCGAACGTTCAAAGTGATTTTCGTTGTTCTTTCCTCCCTGTTGAAGCTTTCCGAATGCTTTCAGAATAATGCTCCTGTTCTTCTTCCTAATCACAATAACATTGAGACAATAAGGACACAGAGTGGCACACAAAGCACTTTGTTCTCAACGTCTTCTCCAAGTGAAACGTCCAAAATTGATAATGCCTACTATTCGCCAGCACAAATGCCGTCCTACATGACAGCATCCTCGTCTGGAGGCCAAAAGCGGCGCATCACGTTGACCCGATTTTTGTCGCAATACGTCAAGGATCATCCAGAATACAAAACACTCAAGAATATTTATTTGGCTGTCCAAATGGCTTGCAAGACAATCTCTCAGCTGGTCAATCGAGCTGGATTGGTCCTGGATACGACGGAGCAAGATGAAGGGAGCTCTGATTTTTCGGATGGACGGTACTACAGCATGAAACGTCTCGACAAGCTTTCCACGACCGTCATGAAGAATGCTCTCAAATTTACTGGAACCGTGCAGATGGTAGTTCCTGAAGCCAAAATGGGAAGCGAAAAGCCAGAGGAGCACCAGCCTGGGGTTCTCATTGCCTATGACAAGCATCATCTAGCCTGTTTGGATCCAATGGACGGATCTGGCAATCAAGATGCTGGAATTTGCACAGGAACAATCTTTGGTGTCTACGATCGACCTGAACCGCTCCAACAGGATACGTCTTCCGAAGAGGACGACCAACATCTTCTAGAAAACATTCTGCAGCCGGCTCGCAACATGCGGGCTGCCGGGTACTGTATCTATAGCAGTGCAACAGTCTTGGTGTTGACCTTGGGAGAAGGTGTCTATGGATTCACGTTGGATCCTCAAATAAATGAATTTGTACTGACGCATGAGAATGTCACCATTCCGCAGCGAGGAAATGTCTATTCTTGCAACGAGGCCCATTCCGAGGGATGGCAGAATGAAGGATGGAAGCAATATCTACGAAATCTCAAGCTTGGACTGGGAGAATCCAAGAAGCAGTATGCCCATCGATATGTAGGGAGTATGGTGGGTGATATCCATCGCACTTTACTCTATGGTGGAATCTTTGCCTATCCTTCCTGTACGCAAAGGATGCAAGGGAATCTACAATTGTTGTACAAGACCAGTCCTCTAGCATTTGTTGTAGACCAAGCGGGAGGAAAGGCCATGGATGAAGATGGGAATGATCTGCTGGATAAAAAGCCGGAACGGATTCACCAGAAGTCGCCATGCTTCATGGGATCGCCTAGAGACATGGACGAGCTCAACAGCTACCTAAAGAAGAAACCTTCACAATGAGCCATGCAAGGAGGAGGGCTCGGTTGTCTCGATGATGATGATGATGATGACAACAATAAATGTGATCGATTGAAATGAGTGGCTCTAATTATGAATTCATTCATTTATTCATTCAGCTACACGTGAATTATTACAGCAATACATTTGTGATTTGTGCAACCATGAGTACACATTGATGGGCTTTCATATATACTACTCACAAAGTTGTCTTCGACTAAAGTGCCAATATGATAGCCATAAATCATTAATATACATTGCACAATATATGGGTTTCGTCAGTTTAATGGTAACCTACTTATTCCCATCATCAGGGTTGGGATGGGACGTTTGGATTGCCACCAGTAAATATAAGCCGACTACTGATTGACTGCCCCTACTGTAGCATTGGAAGTTCCATTATTGGTCAGCTTGTGAATGGTATTTAAAAAAATGGTGTCGATTGATACGATGAAAGTTTCTCTTCACACTCTTGTAGACTTGAAAGTGTGTGGTTTCCCGCTGTACAGTATTGTTATGTCAGCACACTTTATTTCTCTTGAATGAATTCACTGAGATGGATCATTTGGTGATACACCAAAACTAAAGAATGGCGGCATCGTGCAAACAATATCGTTTGTCCGATTGATTTGAATCTGGTCTTCAAAGAATTTCTGTTTAGTTTCTGCAGCGTCGTCACTGTGCAACGTGTAATTCGTTCTTGCTTCTTTCAATATCAATATTGGACATACGGTGAACATGAATGATCCTGCTCATGAGGAGAGTGCTGCGCTAAGGACGAAGCAGTACTCCTACTAAGGGCAAATCGAAGTGAGCTTACTATTAACCAATCATCGATACATTGAACCAAGGAACGCAAATAATGAGATATACAGGTAGATGATGTTTGGTGCGATTGTTGTGTTTGCTTCATTCATCATTTCATCTTTGTCATTTTTTATCAAGAGTCAAGAGTACAAGTATACCGTATAGCAGTTCAGTCACTGGTACCGGTCTGTCCGTTGTTGCCCAGCTCATGGGAGCTTGCGGTACTGTACCTTACAGTATATCTACCGGTATGCCCAAATACCTTCGGCCTATTCGTGCATTCTCTCCTGTCACATAGCTAATTATTTAGTTGAGAACAGAAAGTGTGTGGGAGGTATGCGGTATGGTACCAGGGGTACCCTGGTACGGTACCGGGTACCTGGTACCTGGTACGCCAACAAATCTAATATCACAGATCCGAACACTGTGATCACATTTATGATGTCGTCTTCACTGTCACACGTAAAAGCCTTCGAACCCCCCATCAAGCTTCTATAAGCTTCTGTCCCGATTATGATGATGATTCAGAATGGACCCTTTCGACTTCCGAAAGGACTATTGTAGATCCATGATGACATCAAGAACATGAAAAATAATCCATACAGTACCATTGCATGCAACCACACAAAACTTTACGATGTGCCCACCATCAAGGATAATTCCTAGTAAGCCACCAAGGTCTTCTCCATCCATTGCAGCTCTTATCGTCTTTTCTATCATGGTATCTTCAAAAATAACAAGAATATCAGCATTTTGTCAGAAAAGATCAAGGATGCTACGTAACTCAAAAACAAGTCGTAGGATGAGCACAATAATCATGGCGAATACGTACAGATGCCGAATACCCACAACTTCTACTTCACCAAGTCCCAGTAGACATGAAAATAAAACTTGGCAGAGGACGCATTCCAATCCAGTTTTGGTCTTGTCTCTTAGTACTCGAGATTATTCTGATGATGCAACATCCAAAATAATAGGAGAAACGAGCACACTAATGATTCAAGCTGGAACGTCGGTCCAAGAAGCTTACAATCGTGGTGTCCAAGAACTCCAGTCGGCGAATGTGGTTGAACCAGAAGCGTCCATGCCTCAGCTACTGGCGAGTGCACTAAATTTGGATTGGGAAACTGGATATCGAACTGTCCTGCAACCACAGACGCTGAGGCAGAAATTGACCAAGGAGCAGGCCAGTACCTTGTCCAAGCTTCTCGAACGAAGGCTGAATCATGAGCCCGTTCAGTATATCTTGGGACAGTGGGACTTTTTGGATTACGTCGTGGCAATTCGACCTCCTCTCCTTTGTCCACGACCAGAAACAGAGGAATTGGTTCAGCTGGTTGTTCAGGATGCCAAGAAGATGAGAATAGAAACTGGGAAGGAGCAGCTGAAGATCTTGGATGTTGGCTGCGGTACTGGTGTCATTGGTATTTCCTTAGTGGATCTGCTTCATGATGCCAAGGTCCATGCCATTGACATAGACCCAATTGCTGTGGAAACGAGTTTGGAGAACGCGAGACGTATTCTGAGCGAAAGCACAGTTGATAGGTACCAGTGCAGCTTGACTCCTGTGGCAGAATATTTCATCGAGTCGGACGAGGACCCCTATGATATGCTTGTCAGCAACCCGCCGTACATTCCCACGAGTGATTATAACGATTTATCACCGGACGTCATTAACTTTGAATCCAGGGATGCCTTGGAGGCCGGAGAAGATGGATTGGCTGTGATTATAGATATCATAAAAGGCATGAGAAGATGGTGTAAGCCTGGTGCTCCCTGTTGGATGGAAGTAGATCCGACACACCCCAAGTTGATAGAAGAACTGCTGACATCGAGCGACAAGAAGGTGGCAGAATGGGGTGTTGAATTTGTTTCTTCTCACAAGGATATGTTCGGAAAGGATCGCTTTATCAAACTACAATTTGAGGATAAGAAGGATTAAAGTATTATTGGATTACAGTGGTATAATATGCTACCATTTCATGTATAGCCGCCGGCATCGTTGTCGATTGATAAACCGTCGGAAAGGATAACCCTGGTCCTCGGATCCTCCATTTATATCCTTCCCAAGTGACGTACAATTCTGACATCATTTGTGAAAACATCAAGGAAATAAAATAAGTGGGAGAGATTGATTCCGCACAATAATAATATTATTATACTGAATATTGATATATAGCGAGACACCTATTATATACATCATCACACTTGTAATCGTGTCAGAGACCTTCAGTTGACACCCCACTGATGGACCGAAGGGATCATTAAAAACACGAGAAAGGAGAAATAACCAGCTTACTACACATTGAACACCCACATCCACATCATGATCTCTACTGCTTGTCGGAGAAGAATACGATCAGTGGCATTGCTTATTATTTGCATAGTTGGCACTTGTGCAACGAACGCCTTTGTCTTTCCAAAGTCCACCAGCAGTAACCTCGTAAGGAATCAAGACAGCACGGTCATCGCCAACCATTTGGAGAAATATTCAGCAGCCAGCAATACGCGACTATCATCAACGCTTCCCCAAACGATTTCACAGCTGTCGAATCCAGCTTCAGCGTTCACTCAAATGACAAGCAGTGTGCAAGGAATCCCAGCAATTGCATACTTTCTTGTATTGTGTTCAGCAGGATTTGGTGTTCCAGTCAGTGAGGATCTCCTTTGTATATTTGCTGGCACTATGCTTCCAATTGCAAAGATTCAAAGTCCAGCACGACGAATCAGATTGATAACGGCATTATATCTTGGTGTGGTGATTAGTGATTTGATTACCTTTTCAATTGGCCGAATGATGAAAGTTGGTCTCTTGGAGCCATTGCGAAATCGAATGAGTCTTGGTGAGGAGCAGCCAATAACTTCTGACAAAGAGGGCGTAATAGGTGCTGTGACCAGCACCGGAAGCAATGGAGAAGTCAAATTGGGCAAGAGGGATCGAGTGCTTCAAAAGTTAGAATCTGTTGGTGATTGGGCAGGCTTCTATGCTCGCATGTCGGTTGGATTTCGCCCGTAAGTCCACTGGTGTTGTGTTGTCTCGCGCTTAGTTTTGTTGAAACTAGGTTCGTTCTCATATTGTCGCATCTTCAGCGCAATGATGATCCTCGCTGGATTCTCGGGAAACGTATCCTTTACCAAGTATACTCTGGGTACAGCAGGTGGAGCTGTCATTAGTCTGGCAGCACAGTTGTTGCTGGGGTATTCCATGCGGCACAAGCCCTCCGATATTCTGGCACTTTCGTCAAAGCTATTGGTCGTGGCTCCTGCTGTTCTCATTAGCGGATTTGCAATCTTTTTGATTCGGCAAGGAAATTCAAAAAAGTTTCCGACACTGGGCACGGAGGAAGCCACTACTACTACTAGCACAACTACTACCATCGACAAACGGACTTCGACAACCAAGCGACAATGAGCTCATGTTTTCGCTGGAAATATCATGAATATACATGATTCTTCTTGAATGACAATGCTCCTTTCTAATGACCTTCATCAGGAGTGTTGTGCTATCTAAACCCACCCCCGCTTTGGTTTAGTATTTTAACTTCTCATGATAAGGTGCATTATCATGGCACATACTTCACATACAATTCTCTGTTCGACCTACGACTATCCTAGCAAATTGCATACTTTAGATTTTGCTAACACCGTAATCAAATTATCGCACTACTCTACTAGAGTATACCGCTAGTGAGATACTAGGAACTGGTATATTATTACCGCACCGTATGTACGAAAACGACTACTTCGAGTAAACGAACGAAACAAAACCAAAGACGATCGATGCGATGAGAGTGATATGACAGATGAAGAGAATGATGATGTGATGAGACACAACAGGACACCTTCATGACCGATTTCCTTTTGTTCCACTGCTATTGCCACTCATCTGTCACCGTCTATTTGTACCGATAATGAATCTGAAAACCTTGAAACGGCTACAATGGCTGCTCTTTTTGGGTTTCATATCGTCACTTGCTTCACTTGTAATTTCATCTTTTCATCATGAAGAAGGGGAACACCCTCATTCAGATTCTCTAATACGGGGCGCTCTTCCTTCGAAATCAGAATTTGCCTCTTCCGCTGTGCGAAGAGGGTCGATCACGATGGATAAAGGAGTCGTCTCGGCAGAAATAAAAGCAAATGACAGGTCTGGCATCGAAGATTCTTCTGAGGATGACGATTCTGAATCGTCAGAGGAACAAGTGAAGAAGCGTGGACCCTTTTCTCCAGGTCGTTGCGCCTTATGCTTCTTTGGGCTGCCTCGATCTTATGAAAGTGTCGTCTTGCCTACTATTGAAAAAAACATTCTTCGACCCAATGCGAAATATAGATGCGATGTTTTTGTACATTTCTTTGATCAGGCAACGGAGGCGGCAGGACGATACAACGATGGCGGGAAGATTGATCCATCTCACATCTACTTTTTGGATGGATCAGTGCGAAAAGTATACGATGAATTCAATCAAGCTAGAATGAACCGATCCTCCATGCTTCCCGCAGTTGTTCAGTTTGTCAATGACACGGACGACACTTTTATCACAGCACGGAGACACCAGCTGAAAAAGTATCACAATTCTCGAAATGAGCAAGGGAACCAAATCTACTTTCCGTGGAAGAGCAACTGGAAGAACTCATCCATGGACAATATGATCAAACAGTGGCATTCAATCAATGCATCCTTTTCGCTGATGGAATCGTACGGTCAGTCGCATTCTGTGAGATATGAGAGAGTGGCCATGCTGCGGAACGATGTGCTGTATGTGACGCCGATCGATATCTATTTATTGGACAACTTGAACAAGACTATTGACTATGACAACAGTCACTTTGTGATGCCTCCATTCTGTCGGTATCCAGTCAATGACCGTATGATATATGGGCCATATGGGGCTGTGCGGATATGGGCCACGCAACGATTTGATTTGATCGAACACCGAGTACGACAAGCCAAGGACGAAGGATACGAGATGCACTCGGAGAGGTTTTTGGACTCGACTGTGCTGCCTACCATGGAAGCCTTGGGATATCATCGACACATGAATCCCGATGTATGCTTTGTGCGGACGCGAACGAATGGAATCGTGATGGTGAATGATTGTTTTGCCGCTGGTGTGACGAGAGGACTTGTAAAGGAGAACCGTCGTGATATCATAATACAAGCTTTAGGTCGCAAGTGTTCAAAAGAAATCACCGATCGAGATGATAACACCGTCTTTTACTTGGATTGTGACAATGTTGGCGAATCTACGCAGCTCTCCAAATCTGAATCCCAAGATGAGTCAGTAGCGTCAAACGATGCTAGTGTGGAAACATGGAAGACGCAGAATCGACAAATGGTGGACGACTCCACCGAATCTTCACAGGATGACGATTCTGAATCGTCAGAGGAACAAGTGAAGAAGCGTGGACCCTTTTCTCCAGGTCGTTGCGCCTTATGCTTCTTTGGGCTGCCTCGATCTTATGAAAGTGTCGTCTTGCCTACTATTGAAAAAAACATTCTTCGACCCAATGCGAAATATAGATGCGATGTTTTTGTACATTTCTTTGATCAGGCAACGGAGGCGGCAGGACGATACAACGATGGCGGGAAGATTGATCCATCTCACATCTACTTTTTGGATGGATCAGTGCGAAAAGTATACGATGAATTCAATCAAGCTAGAATGAACCGATCCTCCATGCTTCCCGCAGTTGTTCAGTTTGTCAATGACACGGACGACACTTTTATCACAGCACGGAGACACCAGCTGAAAAAGTATCACAATTCTCGAAATGAGCAAGGGAACCAAATCTACTTTCCGTGGAAGAGCAACTGGAAGAACTCATCCATGGACAATATGATCAAACAGTGGCATTCAATCAATGCATCCTTTTCGCTGATGGAATCGTACGGTCAGTCGCATTCTGTGAGATATGAGAGAGTGGCCATGCTGCGGAACGATGTGCTGTATGTGACGCCGATCGATATCTATTTATTGGACAACTTGAACAAGACTATTGACTATGACAACAGTCACTTTGTGATGCCTCCATTCTGTCGGTATCCAGTCAATGACCGTATGATATATGGGCCATATGGGGCTGTGCGGATATGGGCCACGCAACGATTTGATTTGATCGAACACCGAGTACGACAAGCCAAGGACGAAGGATACGAGATGCACTCGGAGAGGTTTTTGGACTCGACTGTGCTGCCTACCATGGAAGCCTTGGGATATCATCGACACATGAATCCCGATGTATGCTTTGTGCGGACGCGAACGAATGGAATCGTGATGGTGAATGATTGTTTTGCCGCTGGTGTGACGAGAGGACTTGTAAAGGAGAACCGTCGTGATATCATAATACAAGCTTTAGGTCGAAATTGCTCGGAGGAGATTACGGATAAGGACGACAACACAGTATTCTACCTGAAATGCTAAAAATGCAAATGAACAATAGGTCCGTATGTAAAGTTCTAGCTGTGATAGCACACAATCTCTGAAGATGGTATACCGGTACAGAGCAAATTATTTTCACCCCTACAATATGCCCCCTTTGGAACACAGTATAATGTCAGTCCCCCAATGTATAGGAAAACAAATGACAGGCACGCATATAATATCATCATCATCGAATACAAACATAATACCACATGAAGATAGACCTCGCTTTTTATTGCGAATCATCTTCACATCCTACATTGGAACCAGACGAAGTACGAAAGGAGGAAGGGGAAAGGAAGGAGAACAATCCACATACATCACCACTAGGAGGTTCGATTCACTCAGCCTGAGATTCGCTATTGCGAGTCGATTGATTTGGCGCAACATGAGCTTGACTTCTAATTTGACATATGCGCTCGTTTTTGCATGTCTCATTGCCCAATTAATGCTGACTTATCGAATGCCGATTGGTCCGAATAATTCACAATCTTTGGACATTGAAGCGAAGTCACTGAGTGCGAGCAAATGCCACACTGAAAATACTGCAAGATTCGAAGATGACAATCAGAAATTACCGAATACCATCTTTCTGGATCCTCACCAGCCGTACCAACATCCTTTGACGAACGATCATTTGCTTGGTAAATATTCAAAACACGAGGGCCATGAAATGGACGTGGTGGTCATGGCGGCGCATCCTGATGCCACGCTGGCTGCTTGCATTCACAATCTGTATCACTTGAATGGTTTTCGTCGATTCATTTTTGTTGTCAACGATGCAGCAGACAGTTGTCCGACGATCTTCGATCTGATGCCACAGCACGACACCGACGAGTCTCCAAGAAAGCATCACTGTCTTCAGCACACTAGCTTTTACACTAAAGCGGAACTCAAGTATTTATTTGACCCAAATGGACCATACGCAGCAATCATCGAAGGACCCCCTGAACTCATCTTTCGGAATGGCCAATACGTAAAGAATCCTCGAATGGGCTGGTACCTACAGCAATTTAGCAAGCTCATGATTCCTCGGCTGATACCGGATTTATCGGAACACTTTCTAACTATCGACGGAGACATTATGTTTACTAGACCAAAGCAGTTTGTCGTTGCCGGATCCAACTCCTCAGATCCACCAAAATACGTCATTCCAAAAACCAGAATACCTCCTTTGCAATGGAGTCGATTTGTGAATCTTACCTTTCCCGATCTGGAAGCTAAAAAGAGCAATTCAGAAAATAACTACGTCGTTGGTTGGATGATGTTTGACCGCGACGTCACGGAAGATATCATTGCGGCAATTAACAAGATTTTGAGTCGAAAGGGATATCCAGGATCCTTTCCATTTAATGTATTGCGGGTTGGCGAAGAGCTCATCAAAACCAATGAATACTTTTCGGAGTATTACACTTACGGACTCTTTGCGCTGAATCACACCAAACCCCACGTTCCGAATTACCACGGGAGACCACTGCGGAACACTGGAATTCTTGACTCTTGCATTTTGAAGCAAAGTGCTTACACGGAGGCACAGGAAAGCGAGAAACGACCGCCTTGGGCCATTTGGGAAGAGCACAAGTACCTCAGTCAGAGTGCATGTGTCGAACCTGATAGCGTGTTCAAATTTACTACGATTGGAATCATACACGATCAAGAAAAGAAGGACGAGACAAGTAAATTTCTCTTGGATCTTTCCAGCAGGCTAAGCAAACTCGGAATGGACGTTATTGTCAGTAATGATCAGAACGCAGAAAGTCTTGACAAGCTGTGGAACGCGTCACAGGTTGTACTTGCCGAAACGACCACATTCTCCAGTCATGGTGCAGTATTGGAAGGGAAGAAAAGGGGAAATCGATTGGCCTTCATCGAATACAGGAAGGAATCATCATCAAGTGCTAAGGATGTCCAGAATAATGGCTCAATTGGTCGTATCAACAGACACGCATGCACCACCATTTTCTCATCGCGGTCCTCCTTCACAAGTATAATAATGGACTCTGGAGAAGACTACCAGAATCCAATACTCATTCCGACTACGACGCCTGAAAAGATGGACGAATTGACAAGGGAATATCTGTCCATCATGCGATGGTGCTTCTACATGAGACACAATCTACCAGAGCCATAGCTATAATTTTCCACTTAGCAATCATTACTGTACATATGGGTAGCGAGAGAGAGAGATTGGTCCACTTAGGATTGCAAAATACATTGCTACAGTATTCTAAACATCTTGTGCTTGCTATTGCGTTAGATATTGACACACATGCAATTCGTTAGAATACATACCAGTGTTTGATTCCAAATCATCGGCCCCGCCTGATCCATTATCTCCGCCCTACCGTCTCCAAGACTACTTCATTCATTCAATTTGCAGCATACGATTTCCATCGAGATTCAACCTTTCTCCCTGCCGATTGCTCTTGATTGGGTGGGCTTGACTGGGTCACTTACACATCAATCGCCCGAGGCAACGAGTCGGTGCTCATGAGAGAAAAAGATGTCATGACAGAAGAAACCACGCCGTCTGCGCCCACACGACTTGGTCTTGCTCCTTTCTTGGCGTCCCCCACAGGATCCCCATAGGCATGGTAATAATGAGCTCTCCAGTCTTCCCCATCGTTGTATTCATCCAGCATCGAAACCATACAGCTGACCATGCTGTCTCGTTCCAACTGTGATTTGGCCTGCAAATCCAACGAGCCATTCAAGGTCAGTATACTCCAACACATCTTTTCGGGAACGGATTCTGCCTTCTTCAATGACTCCGTATTTTTGCCCACATCAATGAATTTGATATCGCCCCATGCAATGTTGTGAACTGGCCCTCGTACGGACAACAGGCTGGATGCGCCTAGGTTGTTTGGCAGCTTTGTCTTGAATTCAGATTGCCAGACAAAGGCTTCATCATTGATGCTGATCCACACCCGTCGAGGCAGACTTTGCACCCCATGCGCCACCATTCGTACACCGACTATTCGCAAGAGTTTCATGGTCTCTAAGCGGATTGGAAAAGTAGGAACACGTTCCAAGGCGGGATGTTTGGGCGATGACATGGAGGATCGTCGTAGATTTATTCTAGAGCTCTTTGGCAGGCGATGATAGTTGGCATACCGTGAAAGCGGATCGTCGTCATCTTCTTCGTCGTCTAATATATCGCCCCTTCTGGTATGGCGAAATAGGTTTCGACCATTATTTTTTGATTTGCTTCCCAATAGGCGGTCACTGTATTTCCTGCTGTTTCCGTTTTGTCGCAGCCCCGTTGATTGTCCAATGATGGAATATGATTCTCTCTTGCGTATTTGTCGCCGACGAAGAAGCAAATAGACAAATAATATGCCAAGGACAATGGTTGGTACGACTGCCGCAATTCCAATATGGTTAGACGACGAAATTGCTGAGTAAGGTTGTTGGAATGCTTGCGTCGATGTTGATTCCGTTGCAACTGTACTAGCTCTAGACAAAGGGCCTCCATTTGCATCATCTTCAATGCCATTGAATAATCCATTGTTGGTATTGTATGATGGTGCGTATTGGTACCGGTAGACAGAATTTGGATGCAAATTTGCATCGACCGACCGAGCATCGAATGCGTTGCCATAAGCAGTCATTGAGTACACAGCTTTTTCCGCTTCCTCTTTTCTGTGATCGGCTGCAGCGGATCAAATGAAGCTTGGTTGATTGATATGGAAACAGCGATGAAATCAGAAATGTGCAACGAGAATGATTCAGAATTTCAGAAATTTCAGGCCATATATAATTTTCATGATCAATTCTGTGAATGCTTTGACGGTGGATATGATAGTTTCCTTTCCTTTCCAAATGTGCTATTGTAGGTAAATCGGTGCAATAAGTACAGTACGTTCAGCCAACGATAAAGCTTCAGCGGAGGTGCAATGATGCGTTGAAACTATGATCGAGATCATCATAATCTTCAAAACAAACGACGATTTCAATCAAGGACGGCGCGCGTGGACGCAGGCCCAACTGCGTCCGTGCTTCATGAGCATAAGAATCTTACGGTATGTATCGTTCGTGCACATAAACGGTACGTGTACCAGGTACCAGGTACTACCGGTAAACGGTGTGCGTGAACATTTGCTCCACCTCGGCAACAGTGGCAACAGTGCGGTGCTGTGGGTTCTTGTTTTATGGTGGCGGGGTCTTTAGTGAATTTTTAGCCAATGAGAGTTAGTTGATTCACTAAAGATGAGTCTATTATTAGTGGTATGAGGCAATCACAGCTCTCTATCATTAGTGATAGATTGATTCGACTAACTCTCTTCCACACTAAATTAGTACTCTCCAGATTTCAAATGATGTTACGGGGATGTTAGGTCCAAGCTCCATACGGCCCTAGCAGTTTCTCTTTGTCTTATTAAACAACTAAAGACCTTATCTTAAAGACCAACCTTAGCCCTCGATCATGAGGAAGCGCTTTAGATCCCCTAGGATGACTTTGAGCTGCCCTGAAGAATGGAGTGATAGGTTGGCAACTCAATTGGCTGGTACTACATGAGGTAATAGATAGATCAAACAATAGAAACTGACTGTTCAATCTTACAGATAGAGCACTACTATATATTGTCGAGTATCATTCAAACTTCTCTGATGGCAGATTGAAATCAACTGCTGATATTGGTATAGGGGTACTAGGTAGGAATCTCTTCACCCCTGGAATCAAGTCATTGTCTCAAACTGGTGCAAAAAGGTTGATTGAATTGCCATCAGAGTAGAATATACAATACTCAAATCTGAAAGCATCATCTATTACTATACTGTATCAGACTTTCCTATCGCGGCTATGGCCAGCAAGGAACCATGCACTGTTTCTGTCAATGCTTTTGCCTGTGAATCTTACTCAAAACCGGTTGATTATCTGGCTACGACCACCCAGTTCTGATGCAACACAAGAGTGAATCTCCGGAAACGCTTGATGCCCACTTTGAACATTGTGAAACTCCACATACTTTGAAGTCTGACAATGCAAAAGAATTCAAGTCCAAGCACTTCAAACACAAACTTTGCAAAGCACAAGTTGAGGCCAAATACACTGAACCCAAGCATTCTCAGCAGAACCTTGCCAAACTGAGAGGAGGCAGACTAAAACATGTGGTTCAACATATTTTGCTATTGACTGGCGCTCCTGCCAAATATAGGTATTACTGTTTGGAATATGTTGCTTCTGTGAAAGCATGAACGACAAAGAGAGCTCTTAGCAATAGAACGTCATGGGAAGCTGAGTTTGACATAAGCAAGTGTCAATTCTCTTTTTGGCAACCTGTCTGGTTTTATACTCCTCACAGAGCGCTCCCACAACAAAGAATGATGAAAGCGCGTTTCCTCAGACTCAGTCCTAACTCTGGTGATGCATTTACATATGTTGTTGTCACTGAGCCCAATGATGAGAAATCTCATCGCCAAATTTTTACCCGCTCTGTCATCTGACCACACCATACAAGCAAAAGCGCCTCCCACACGCGGCCAAGCAGTTCTACCGTATATCAATACCCTGTACACCTACCGCCATCAGTGTTGGTGTTCATACTAGACATTGATACCTATAGGTGATACTGTAGCTCTCAGGGCTATACGTGGGTACATTGCCACTGCTGTGATTTTCCACAGACCTACATGACATTCCTGACCTTTGGAAAGGAATTGGGATATTGAATATTGTATGGGCAGAAGAACACTCAGGGGTAGTCAAGACTTGAACTTGAGACCTCCGAGTATGCTTCTGTTAATTGATCCTACGTCCAACGAAGTTCTACTGCGTACTGACCAAGAGGAGCTTCAGCCGCTCTCTGCCCAGGACCCACCAAGAGCTCCTTCCGTTCCGACTGCTGAAGTTGAGCTACCCACCAAATTGCACCCCCAAGATCAAGAATTGTTAGTAGCCAATTCTACAGCTACTGTCAATGCTACGCCTGAAGGTCCGCGGTTACCACCAAATGGACCTGTCCCGGTGACACAAGAGGAGCCAACAAATTCCTTCATGATGGAGCAAGGTGAATCTGCCTCAATTTCTCCTGATGGAGATGAAGACTCAGTTCATTCCGCCAATGAAGCCCTCAATGATCACCAAGTCTTGCCAAAGTCGCTCGATGTTCATCTCCGGAATATTGCTGGATTGACGGAAGATGAAGATCTATTTGATTCTATTTGTGGACGTACTCTTCCTGCAGATCTTATGGAAGACTGATGAGACGTCGTGGGAGAAATATTGTGCTTGCCACAAAGATTTTCCTTACAACGTCGCTAAGTACATTTGCTCCAAGAAGATCGGATCCGCCTCTGGTAACCATTCAAATGGACCACATCAACGATGGGCACCTACTTTCTTGCAGAAAACTTGCCGTGTTATGTGTTGTTTTGTTTGATATCATGGATATTCAAAACCTATGTTGAATACCCACAATTTCGTTGTCCTTGTGAGGACGACAGTGATCAGATTCAATTGACCAAGATGCACAAGAAGTCCCAGCCCCGCCAAGTCAGAAGAGCCAAGAAAAAAGGCCGTCTATGGCGTCCTTTGCCCATTTGGTATGGCATTCTGATTCCGCGGACAGTAAAAGAAGCACTTGCACTTGATGATGATAATGGGAACCACTTTTGGCATGAAGCAATGGAACAAGAGATTGCTTCCCTGATTGCAATGAATTGCTTTGATTTTCACTCGAGTAATTACAAGCCTGGCCCAAATTCTCAATTTGCACCACTGCGAATGATTTTTGAAGCTATGCAAGATGGAAGACGCAAAGTAAGATTGGTTTGCGGAGGTCACCTCGTGGACCCACGAGGCATCTCGACCCGGTCAACAGTTGTGAAGGGTGTCAGTGTCCACCTTCTGGACATGATTGCCAATCACTACGGTTTGACAATTGTCCATGGTGATGTTGGTAATGCATTCATTACCGCTAACTGCCTGGAAGGAATTCACTTGGACCTGAGTTTGGAGAGCGCAAAGGCGCTATTATTACTATTAACAAAGCCCTCTATGGGCTCCAAACTAGTTTTGCAGCGTTCATGAGAACTATTGGTTTCCAATCGAGTTGCTATGACCGTGACGTCTGGATGAGGCTATGTGAGGATAAGCACTCACATGGATGATTTCAAAGTTGTGGCCAAAGATTCCCAACGGTGGGTCAATGCTATTGCTGGAGCCTTTCAACTGAAATGCTTTGGAAAGCCTGACTACTACCTTGGTATGGATTATAATTTTGACAAGGAGACGAAGTGTTGGTTTACTGGTACCAATACCTATGTGGAAGAGTGTATCTGAAGGATCCAAGCTTTGCTTCCTCCTGGCCATATGCTCTGCACCCACAACACTCCTGCCCCCCTACGACGGGAAAGCTTCCCACCCTGAAGAGGACAAGTCCAAATTCCTTGATGACGCTGGAAAACGCCAATATCAGATGTTGGTTGGCATGGCCCAATGGGCCGTGACCATTGGACGAATGGACATTGCATATGCAGTCTCTTCGCTCAGTCGCTTTTCCTCAGCGCCTCGTGAAGGCCATCTGGAGTTAGCTTTCTACCTTTTTGGCTATCTAAAGAAATTCCCAACAAGCAACTGCCTGTTGGCTCGCGTCCGCTTGAACTTTGCCCGAAACTGACAGCGACCAAAGGTACATTCAAGGCAGATTTCCTTGAAGAGTATCCGGATGCAAAGGAGGACCGAGATCCCAAGGAACTCAAGACCTTTGGAAAGCCAGTACAAACAAGTGTCTTCTTTGATGCCAATCTGGCACACGACCTAGTTACTCGGCGGTCCATAACTGGACTCCTTGTCTATGTCAAAAGCACCCTTGTTTCATGGACCTCCAAGCGTCAGGGCTGCATCGCGTCGAGCACATATTGCTCTGAATATATCGCTATGCCCGCGGCCACAGAAGAGGCAATCTCCATCCAATATATGCTCCGTTCACTGGGTGTTCCTGTAGAGGAGCCTACCAATTTACTTGGTGACAACCTGGGAGTCATCCAGAGCGCTGCCATGAAGGATGCAGATCTTAAGAAGAAACATGTCACGATTTCTTACCATTGTGTTTGTGAGGCCGTTGCAGCTCAAATTATCAAACCAATTTGATGTAAAACCAATGAAAATTGGAGCGACATTTGTACTAAGGCATTGAGTGGCCTTAAACAAAATGCCATTCTGTCTAGGACGATGTTGTGAAAAGACAACATCTCTGCATCCACCTCAGCACCTTGCCGTAAGACAATCCATTATGCTTCTTTGGTATTTATTTTCGATTTTTTTCTTGGGCTTCTTAACACGTGGCGAAGTGCCATGCTTGAGAGGAGGTGAATCGAGTGTGTTGTCTCCGTCTATTCCAGACAAAGAGGAGGTCAGGATCTAGTTAGTCGTCAGACGATTTACTAGATTGTCTGTCCATATTCCGTTCCCAACTCACTCATCACATCACCATCTAGTCACTCTATGAGTTTATGTTGACAGACATCATTTCAATAATGATGTAGGCGGTTCAGACGCATCGGTTATCACATCAAACATTCATGGATTGTACCTCGTTCTAATCTGTCTAAAACCTGGCTAACGCCAGGATCATAGTGTATGATCTTGCGACGCCGTGCATGAAACCAGCACTGTGTTGTATAGCCCCTTCATTGCTGTGACAAACCGACTGTGACGACTAAATAAAATTGCATGATTGACTACATGGACTACAGTTCCCCGCCGATCCAGTACACTCCGGTACATTGTAGTACATACAGTACAGTGCGACATACACTAGGGTATATCCCGAGGATCTGCAAGCTGTTTATTCGTCCAACAACTATAGTGCACTTTTGCTCAGAAGTCTTCTTACAGACTTCCAGATGCGCCGTATCCACTTTTGAACTGCTCATGAAGATTTTAGAAGAGATCTGATTCTTCTTTGCCAGGCGAAGAACAAAGTGCAGATCTAGTATTGAGCTCTTCCGTGTTGTCATCCATACAATAAGCACAGACAAAAGAGTGAGAAGCAAATACTTCAGAAGGGCCAAACGTAATCTCACTAGTCAACATGTGAAATGTATCACAGAATCCTCCAAATGCATCTTTTGCAGGAATGCAAAGTACTCTGCTAACAACCTTCTGTTGAAATTGCTCTCATGGAGACCATTCATTGGAAACTCCTTGATAGAAGCAGTTCGACACGTCCGATCGGACAGACGGACAAATGTCCGTTTGGTCCGTTGATTTGGGGGATTCCTATCCAAGAATTCAACAATAACTAAATCCAGCTAATATCATGACATCTGAGATGTCGCAGAATTTGGGGGGCATAGGCCACTCGTTTTTTGCGACTGTTTGGCCATTCTTTCCTTGCAAAGATATTCAATATGCACTTACATCAGAATCTCTGCGTTTTATCATCATAATATTTTGCTTTGGTATATTCCATTCATTGTTACAATCCATCGCCATTGGAAAAAGCAAGAGCTCTAACTTTTAAATCATCAAATAGAATGAGATACAGCAAGTATCACCTACATCATGATGTGCCCACCGCCAATGACAAGTAATGAAATAATGAATGATCTGTCTTTATTGTAATGAAATAATGAATGATCTGTCAAAATCAAATGATCCATCACGAGTCAAGGAGGAGTTGATTGTTCAGGATCGCTTTATGAGGAGCCAGAAGCAGTAGTTCTAGGGCAACAATTTGATTGTTGATGTGTGAGGTTTGACAAAAAAGGAATCAAGAATTGTGAGGAATATTTCAATTCCATTCAATTCACTGAGACAACCAAACAATCCATAAAGAGTCAAAGAGGAGTTGATTGTTCAGGATCGTTTTGTGAGGAGCCAGAAGCAGTAGTTCTAGGGCAACGATTTGATTGTTGATGCGTGAGGTTTGACAAAAAACAAATCATGAATTGTGAGGAATATTTCAATTCCATTCAATTCACTGAGACAACCAAACGATCCATAAAGAGTCAAAGAGGAGTTGATTGTTCAGGATCGTTTTGTGAGGAGCCAGAAGCAGTAATTCTAGTGCAATCTTGTATTTTGAATTTTTGTACACGCATGCTTGCCCACAATTGACTTAGTCGACCGTTTCCATCATGGAATCGATTCCAACCTGAATTGTAGTCCTTTTGATCAAACGACAGTCACACACGTGCTTAGATTCAAAAAGACCCGCCTTTTCAATCGTTCAAATGACCAAGTCTCGAATATTCAAACTTCGCAACACGCCTGCCTGCAAGATCCATTCAAGGGTCGTCTTTTTTTGT